CGTTAGTCATTTCTTTGCGACGCTATAGGGACGATCGTTCTCCCTGGTGATGACACCACCTCGAAATCCACTTTTTGCCCCCCCTTTTCATGTATCCTGCAGCTAAATGCACTACGTACACAGTCTGAAATGCAGGTGCCCCGGGTTCAAATCCCACCGAGGGATATATTTTGTCAAGTGATATACAACATGACAAAAATATTCAACATTGTTATTTTTAATCACCTACTACAGAAATCTATTGGATTCACGACGGGGGGTTATCCAGAGAACACTCCTACCGAGCACATAATTAAGATCACAACACAGTATCTATTATTTACACAACTACAATGTGGGGACGCGGAATTGCTTTTTCCACCCAACGTTGGGCGCTTGGCGTTGCGTCGAGTCGTCGCAAGTTCTGTGCGGCGCTTTTGCCAGTCGATCCACGTACTTCGAGGTATTCCATGCTCCGCACAGAACTTGCGATGGCTCGTTACAGTGGCTTCGAACATAGCCAGGAGCTTTCGCTTTTCGTCGATGGAGTATGACTTCTTGCGGTGTCGCGTCGGCATGATGTCAAGTGAAGCGTTTCAAATTTTGAAATTGGATAGGCCAATCATAAACTTGCATTAATACTGCTTTGTGATTGGCTTCGTGATGGATAAATTCAATTTCAAAGGTGCGTCGACAATGAATAAAATTACATCAATTTAGACAGGTGGTCGGATATTTTGGGGGGGTCGGACTTTTCCGGGGTTCTCTGTACAGTACTGACACGCTTCCTAATTATATCGAAATTCTTTGATGACTCTTTCTCGAGCAGTGTAATACTTACAGCAATACAACTCGTACTACAAGATAGTCCATTACTAGGTCAGCCTATGCAGCATAGTCTGTGCATTCGCAGCTCTCTCTGGCATGAGGCATCTTAGCCGCATGTACGGGCTGGTTCTTGAAATACCACGAATTTGGCAAGTTCCAAGTTGTCGTTCTCTACAGCTGTTGATTCAGGCGACATGGAATAAGGTGTTGTTGATAGTATTGGTTGTTGTTATGAGGAATCGAGAGTTTCGTGACCCGTTGTGCAGTACGCATTGAGAAATCGCTGAGCCTTTCCTGCATGTACTACATACAGTCAGTACACATGCACAATCTGCAGGTTGTATGCAAAGGGGATGAATAAAAATACGCATACGAATACAAATATTAGCATAAAGATGTTCAAGCGAATAATAATTTGTACCTGACTCGCGCATTACACGCCCAGATTCAGTGCCTGTTTACTCGCACGTGACATCTTGCCTACGTACTAGTAACGTAGATTTCCAATTTAAGAGACATGGGACAATTTAAGGGAATCACCCACCTTAAAATTTGTGATGAAATATCTCTTTAAATAAATGTTCTTCTTGATCCCATGTGTTTTATATGAATCAATTAACTAATGGGCTCTATAAATACATAACCGGTTAAGGTTGCATATGTACCTGACAGAATTTTATACCCTAACCACAAAAAATATATGCAACGATCAATACTACGATCAAGCTTAAAATATGTCTCTTAAATTGTCCGCTACTTTTGAGGTGCTTCTGCTTAGAAAATGGGACATTAGGACGTGATAGATACTGTGAAAATGGATGTCTCAGTGATTGTTGGATGGACCTGTGTTTGCAGTTCAATTATCAGTTTTCAGAAGTCGATACCCATTCCTCAGTGCCGATTTCCCGGCAGCAACAAATATGTCCCTTAAATTGGAAATCTACTTGGTATTAATATATCCCGACAATGGTACACCACGATTAGAAGGAATAATCAAGAACCTTTAATTAATCATACTATAGTAGTGATGTATTTGTGTCCTGTTCCCGCAACTCCCTGTGGAATATGTACGCAAGTCTTGTGATTTCGCTCTAAACTGCCGGGTTTGTCGAATCGATCTGGAATCACGCCGGGGTTCTGATTGGTTGAATGTACTCGTCCCTTTGTGTAAGAGCCAATCAAATCCACTGCACAAAGGATTAGCCAATAGTAGATCGATTCAAGATTCGATTCACGATTCGATGGTCTGGAAATTCATACTAATACTTCGAAGTAGTATCGAATAATCCACAGTAATACATGACCAATCAATCAATCGAATGACATCGTCGACATCCTCACTTATAGTAGGGCACACCACTGTCGTACTATTCTCAAGGAATCGTGTTATCATAGTACGTGCTTAGAATACTAGTATTCTTTTGAATGATTGGTGGCAAGGGGCACAAGGGTTGCTTTCTTCGTCACACTCAGCTTGGAATCCCCAACTACTATACTAGTAGTAAACTCACGAACGAAATATAATGGAGGATGGAGTAGTCAATCGAGCACGATGGCGTTAAACTGCCGCAGCACTTGGTTGACCAAGGCGTTCTTTATGGTCGTTCGGCTCATGTACGCCGTGTAGTCGGCGGCGGCATGCTGGGGCGTGGTCTGCAGAAACACTTGGGTGTATCCGCGCAAGGCGCAGAGGGGGCTGCCGTCGGGCATCGGCACGTTCTCGCAAACTAACCATCCGACGTACACTTCGGGCGAGTACGAAGCCGTGGTGGCGTCGTAGTGCAGCGACCGGAGCAAGAGCACGACGCGGTCCCGTGTATGGGACACGATGCTCAGGATGCGGCGCCTAGTCGATCCGTCCGACGTGCGGTGGGTGACGAGGGCCAAATCACTGCCAAACATATCGAGCTACAAGTAGTATATGAGACGAGTTGGGATCGTCCAGTGCAGGTACTTGAGTGTCGGACGAGGATGACGACGACGGGGCTTCGAACGTGTAGTTTCGAAAGATGCTGTGGGCCACGTCGGCGGAATCGGCGCGCATGAGACTGTACTTGCGCATTTCGAGGAACGCAATGTCTTGGCCGACGTCGTCCAGTACAATGCTGAACGGCCGGCCCTCGGCCGACATGGGCAGTCGCGAGTACAGTTCTGGAGTGAGTTTGCAGAGTTGCTGAGTCATGATGCCTCGCAGGGCTTGGTCGTGCGCCGCGGGGTCGGCAGGGAACGAATGCATCATCCAAGGGTCCCTCCGTGGATCCAGAACCATCTACATGCGAACAGGAGTGTCGGAGGGAAACAGCGGTTTCTGGTACCTCAGACTCGGACGGCTGCCATGACAAACTTTGGTACACGATGCCTTTTTCCACTTCGTGGACAAGGGTATGCCGAAGCCGGTGTTGCTCCTCGTACGCACGTGCGATTTCGGCTTGTAGCGCCTGCACCTTCGCCAGGTAATTGGTCGACGACGGTTCTCGCGCCTTCATGCGCTTAAGTTGCGCCTCTAGCTGCCGCACTTCATCCTTGAGCGCCTGGGCTTCCAAATGCGCCACCTCTTTGCTTCGGCGCTTCCGTAATCGATCCTGGAGCCGCCGTTTCTCGCGATACTCGCTGGTGGGCGGCTCCCGCAAGCTGCTTCTTCCTCTCAACGATCGTTTCATTCCTCGAGAAAGCTCGAGGCTAGAAAGAGACAGCAAGTCGCCTTCGAGGACCGCCGCCACCTTCAACATCCCATCCCGCGACATTTTTTGAAATGTAGAACAACGAAATTGTGAGTCATCCGGTTCCAATTGACGTCATCCGGATACATATCCATCTCCATAGATTTCAGAACGTTTGTCTCATTAGCTTTGACGATTTACTGTACAGTACAGTATTGTACCATCATGCCCATCGGCGCGTTCACGTTGGTGTGCAACATTTTCTTTGCGCACTACTGGCTCAAGGAGAAGCTCACAGTACCAGTAATTGGAATTTGCACGACCGCCATCGTACAGACACTGATTGGTCAAAATATTAAATTCCTTGGACATGATTGGCCAATTGATTTCATGTGAACGTCGACGAAGACTGAGCCTCGCCAGGCTTACGAGTGCCAAGTCAAGGTGCATATCGCGGGCAGTACACCTAAGTGTATATATGTAGAAGTCATGTATCGAAGTCGATACCGCATATCTCTTCTGCGCTTACATAGAGCCTCCATTCTACGAATCATTACGGTACTAACGTTATACTGCGTTTCTGCCTTTCGCACAAGGCCGCTTACTCTCACGTAAAAATGTAATCTTGCTCAAACTCCTACCGGTACAGTTTGCTCACACTTGTGTGGCCATATATCGGTAAATTTACGTTAGTGTGCATTGCGAGCTGCACGGTAAATGCCCACGATAGTGTTGTCCAACGAGTTTTCAACATCCACCTTTTAGGGATCCCAATGGTGCGACGGTATAATCAGACTGTATTTTGACATTTAACGTCACTGTACAGTATGGCAAGCCCAACAGTAAAACGGTATATATCCGCATAACTGACACTTCCGGATATGGAGGCTTGGTTCTGGAATGCCATCGAGGCTGGTGACGACGAGGGCACGGATGACGCTTGGGAGATCCTAAGCTCGAATAACGGACCTCGCCAAACACCGGGGTCAAGAGCGTACGTTAAACGACACCATGCTGAACACCCAACAAACTTTTTGCATTGTTCCAGTATGTTGCTTCACCAGGTAGCTAAGGATCGTGCTGTGCGATGGGCTCTCCAAACCAGCAGCATCGCCCATTCCCCAGCATGATACTGTTTACAGCTGTTAATCCCCCGCAAGCTGTTAATCCCCCGCAAGCTATATAATCCAATATAGTTCCTGTTTAAAACGTTCATAACTACAGTACTGGTAAGGTAACGCATCGAAATCCCGAACACTTTTTGCCGAAAATTTGACCTGTCCATTCAAGTTGATGTCCTGGAGAAACTAGACTACTCTGAGAAAATCTGAGGGTACCCAAAGAAAATATAATTCAAGCTCCATTTTATTGTGCCATTTCCAGCACAATTGAATGAGTTTTGCGATTTGGACGAAAATTATTATCACCACTTTCACGCCGAGATGGGAACTTCAAGAATTCCGAAATCGCGAACACTAAAATGTCTTGTGTTAAGTATGATGCTATAAAAATTTGCAAAATAACACCGCCAATTTTAATCTGGATGTTTAAATTCAAAACGTCAATGAAAATCATTATATTCGACACCATTTTAATGACAGAATTCAACCACAGCATAGTGGATGCAAATATATTACACTTTGGAATTAAATTAGATTGAATTTGATTGTGCCAACATGGAGTGGTGAATATAATCATAGCCAATAGAATTTGATCGGCCACCAAGGGAAGTCATTAATTGGTCAAAATTGACACTGTTCGCGATTTTGATGCTGTTCGGGATTTCGATGCGTTACCTTACGACAACAACAAACAACACTATATGCAGCGGCCAATCAAGAACTCCCATATTATCCGGATAATTTATCCGACTTGGCCATTTCGAGTACTACGTAGTATACAGAAAGTCTACGTACGTAGTACTACTATGTACTACAGCTGTACTATATTCATTATATCGAACAAAATAGATTTACGAATGGTTCTTACGGATAGCACATACTAAGCCTTTGAAATACATTTTGCCGTCAGACCCAAGTGGGAAGTACCAACTTCGCCACAAATACTCGTCCAAGTACAAAGGGAGATGCGGTCGGTGCATTCCCCGCATGGCCTTCGCGAACCGTTCGATACGAATCTCCCAAACGCCTTCGATGGATTGCGTGTGCGCTCCATTTTGTGGGTTCACAAAGTTCTCTGAATGATTGACCCAATCATGGTAGTAGTCTTGGTTAGCCAACAAGGTGTTGTTCACGAGCGTGTGACGTTCATTTGAAGAAATGTATGATCCAAACTTGTCCGATCTACGAGACACTTCCATGTAACGATATAGACGTATATAGGAACCTCTATATAGCATCATATAGTGTCTTACATGATATGGGTCCCAGGTGCAATGTGCTTCTTGATCAAATGGGACAGAGTCGGCTTGGTTCGGTCCGCACCAGTGACAACGCCGAACCATTTCTTCGTGCTCCGATCGACTCCACCAAATATCCAGTACTCAGGGTAGTGGCCTCATCGATCTCAACGGTGATGCCACGACGGCCGACCTATCATAAACGACTTGATGTGAACGATATAGACCTATCTCGATATAGACGCATATACGTATAGACATGTATACGTGCAGATCTATATAATAACGATATAGTGATGAACCTACCACCATAGGCGACCGCAGAATTTCACTGGAACAGAGCTCGCGACAATAGTTGTACCAATACACGCAAGCCTCGATGGAGATTTCTTCTTCCGCGATGACGACGCCCAGCGGCTTTGTCGAGCGTGGAATGCGATTCAAGTCCTGGTTCCAAGGCTCCAGAATCCCTATGACGAAGTTGGTACATCTGTTGTTTGCGTGGGCGTCAAGAATGTTCACTGCCTTCGTAGGCCTTACGGCGGCACCGCCAGCGCTTGGTCTTCATAGCAAAACTCATAGCACCTAAACACTGGGGCATGACATGGACTCGGCTAACAGACCGACTTGCATGCACCCTCAACACCACATGCCACGAAAAGTCAGCCACGTCCGCCATGTCATACAATTCCACATCCACCGGAGCGTCGTCCATAGGTACTTGGTCCAGGGGATCGTCCTCAAACGGTGGGTCATGGCCGGCGTTGTTAACATGCTCCATTCGCTCGATTGATGTACGCAAAAGTGAAAATGAATTGGTGGCTGTAACAACATGTATCGACATCGTCAAGTCTATGCGGATATTAGACGTTAACCGGACTCTATATAGACTATATAGGTGAACTATATAGGATATATTTACGATATAGTCCATATAGGTACTCTATATAGACTATATCGTGACACTGTATGGGCAGTATACTTTTATGATACGGTATATACAGATGCAATTATACTATATATACACTATATACTATAATTGTATACACTATATAACCTATATAGTGTATCTATATGGACTATATCCTTTAGTTTGTATAGGTACATACAGCAATTATTAATAGCCCTATGTGTAAAAATATCCACAAAGCTATGGTACATCGATTTATCTTGTAAATACCATGGAATGGAAAGAATCAGAAGTCTTAGATTTAGTTTCGACGGCGGCGGCGTGCACTACGGCGGACTTCATCAGTAGGAGTCGCGACAGGCTCTACAGTGATTGGTTGCACTGGAACGTCGACTGGTGCGTCCACGTCTAAAGCACTAAGCACTTCGTATGGGTCAACGCCAACTTTGCGACCTATTTGCATCATCAGCAAAAGAGTCGCCTTCGCTACGCAGTCACACCGACAAATACTATCGGCATACACGGCATCATCCTCGTTGGATGGAGCGTCCTCGAGTGGCGGGGCATCGATCTTCACTCCAAATGTTTCGCGGCCGTTGCGGACCCACTCCAACTTATGGACAGACACAACATGTGTCTTGAACCCATCGTTGGTTGGAGTGCTGTCGCGTCTTGTCACATGCCACGCCGTCGTCGATCTTGCACAACCACTTTCTCATCTAATTGCTGCGCTGGCTCGACATTTTCGCAATGGTAACATGGTTGGTGAGGCTAAATCCGGATAAATTATCCGGATAATGTTTCTTCCATTCGATTGGGAGTTCTTGATTGGCCGCCGCATATAGTGTTGTTTGTTGTTGTCGTAGTTTTGAACGTTTTAAACAGGAACTATATTGGATTATGTAGCTTGCGGGGGATTAAACAGAGGAGAGCCCGACCATAGAAGGAGCTTCGAGCACTCACGAGACACCAAAAGGCTTGTCTGCGACGCATGGGCCATTTTGACTGGGTCAAAGTAAATGGACGGAGCCGAAATCATTGCAAAAAGGTCCCATAACACTAGCTGAATGTGATCTTGAGCGGAAAAATCGGGGGTCTCTTGGGAACACAGTCGATCCAGCGCGGCACCTGGGGAGAGCGTGTCACCCAATTCATCCTCGAATTAGCCGCAAAAAACATTCAGGACTTGAGCAAAGGGTAGGTTGCGACCATCGATCTTGAATGCTGCAGGCTTGGTGCTGCTGAGCAAGCGGCATAAAGCGTGGCTAGTAGCTTTGCTGATCCAGTAGTCTTCCAGGCCAGGATTGGCAAGCGGAGGCCGAAAATAGTTCGGTTGTGCTTGGAGGGTTTGAAGAAAATTATCGCCATATTGCATGTCTTCCAAAGTTTGGACACAGAATTCAGAGACCAGCGAAGTCAGGGTTTCCTTGGAAGTATTGCCGACATGAAATTGGCTTACCAGTTTCTTCAACAAGAGCTTGGAGACCGTTGGGCTGATTCCAAGCGTCGTGGGCGAAAGAAAGACCTTGAGATCGAAATCAGGGATGTTAGAGTCCGGTTCCAAGGTGAAAATTTCGTAGCGGTTCGACAGAGGGACTTCCCAGTTGCGCGTGGACGTAGAGGGGTCAAGCTTTGTCTTGGCCTTGACTTCCACAGCTTCTAATTCTTCCGATGGAACTTCAAAACGCGGGATTTGAGTTTCTTGTGCCAAATGGACGGAGAGTCATTAAGCGTAGGTAAAGATGCGGGCGAACCAGGTTCCGGAGTGTAGTTGTTGCAGATGCAGACGAAGTCGGATGGTCGGCTTGAGGCTGCTGCACTGGAACATTGCGTCGTTTGCCCTTGATACTGGGAGGTTCAAAGTCATTCAGCGCTGAGATCTTGTGAACAACAAAAGTCGGAGACTGGTCTTCAAGGAAAAATATTTCTTGGAGCGGCTCATCGGTTTTCTTTTGCGACCAAAGAAAATCAGGCACGCGTTTGGAGTTGAAAATGACTTTCAACGAGTTGGATTGGAGTGAACCAACGGAGTGGGTGGGAAATACGAGCACCGGAGAGCAGCCGTGGTCTTGAAAAAAATCAAAAACAGCCAAGGGGCTCGCCGTGGAAGGAACACGGTGAAGCTGAACCCAGTAAAATTGCCCAACCAGAGAGGGAGCATGAATAGCATGGTCCTAGCCGCAGATATTCATCTCCAAGTTGCGCAAGGAGGTACCGACTTCCAAATTGTTGGAAAAAAATCGGACTCCTTTGCATCGCACCAAGGCAAAACCAAAAAGAAATGATCTTGCTTCGATCCAGGCCGGCACGGACGAAGGGAGTCCATGATGACTGCAAGTGGAAACGCTTGCGTCAGGCCAGGGGATGGAATCCAGAATTCTTGAGAGCCTTCAGTGGCACACAAGGAAGAAGGAATAAGCGCACGACGTTCCTGTGGCGTAGCTTGCAAGGCCTTGAGAATTAATTCTATGGGCTGAGGGCTATCACTGCGCTGATGGGCAGTATACCATTCTCGGCGCCAGAGGTCGATGTTGATGGGTGGGACTTTCTTCGAGGACGTAGCCTTTGCATAGGTATGGTCTTGATGAAGATCCCGTCGATTACGAGAGCCGGGGGAAGGTCCAAACCGCGGCTGGCGATAGGTGGATGCAATATCCATACCTAGATCGGGTGATGGGTGAACATCAGCATCTGCGTTGGGTCCAGTAAAGTTGCCGTCAACACATGGTGCCGGCAAAACAGCTGGTGCGGCCAGAAAAGTTTCGATTTCTTAATTGATGACGTCAACACAAGGAGCCGACAAAACAGTTGGGGCCACCAGAAAAGTTCCGATTTCTTGATTGTTGACGTAGGATTCAGGAGAAATCTGAAACCAGCTGGATTCTTCAGTGCTTGCTACACCCATATCAGCGTCCGTAGAAAACGTACGAGGGCTGGAAGGTGGGTGAGCTCGCAAGCGCTTCGACGGTGCGGGTTGAGAGCAGGTAGAAGCTTCTTCTATCAAAGAAAACTGTTGCCGAGAAGTTTTCGATTCAGTCGAGGAACCTTCGTTTCGTTTCAGAATAGACCGTTGACTACGTTGACTCCACGAGACGACACGACTAGTGTAAGCAACTGAACCAAGTTCAGAGGATGTACTGGAGGTGAAAGAATCGACCGCCTCTTCCGAGCATTGCAAAATCACAGAAAGAGATCGGGAGGACGGTTCAATCGCTACGAGTTCGGAGGGACAAACTTCGGTAGAGGACGCACTTACGCCCACTCCAACGAGGGCATCGAGGCTCGTGGCAGCACAACAAAGTCCACTGCCTACTGCCCTACCAGCGGTTTCGCCATCTCTGGTGAAGAGGTCACACTGAACGTCGGCTTCAGGGACAGCAGCATCAATGCTAGATGCAACAGGGTCGGCAGCACACAGAATGCGTTGGTCAGCAGCACTGGCAGAAGCACGGCAAGCGACACGGAGGGACACACGGAAAGGAGCAGCAGACATGGCAGCAAATTCGAGTTGAGACGGGTACCACTTGTGTACCAGAAGGCAAATTCGAAGTTTTTTGGACGTGATAGTTAATAGATACGCTGATTTAAAAAAGAGTAAGTTATTGGATATGGGTAAATAATTTTTCATATTTCCAGTGGACCAAATTGATTGCAGATTGATCGGTTTCTCACATGAAATTGCACCAATGACACCTCACTTGCTCATTTGATGTCAACCGTGATCCATCCAATTAAGCCCCTTAGTGGGAAGGCTCTCGCCGAGGTCTTTTTCCAACGGACCGACGACCCAACTGTGTGGAAGTGTAAGTATGGGCAACAGTGCTCTCAAAAGTCGAGAGGGTACACGAACTTGTGTTCTCATGTTATGAAATGCCATCCTGGTTGTGAATACACTTCCCAATTTCAATTTGATGCTTCTCACTGGAACTCGATGGCCGAGTTCAAGTACCTGGATTGCCGGTTCCTGCGACCCACGTCGAATATGTGCGAGCGGTTCTTCTCGTGGGCGAAGCTAGCTTTGACCGATCAATGTCGCGCAATAACACCACAGAAATTTAGCAGGAAATGTTCTTGAAAGTGAATATACTGTAGCAGCTAGCTCTGGACTGTCCAAACTTGCTAAAGCTATGAACTGGTATGTAGTTAGGAACATGTTGAATAAACAGTATTCTCATAAATTATTTGAATAAGTTATTTATTTAGCCCCTCAAAAAGAATAAGTTATTTATTCGTCTAACGCAAAGTGCCAATTTATGACATACCATATTTTTTGCTTTGGTACAATGGCCATATCTCGTGTCTGAGGCATCGGATGAAAATTCTGAAGCGTTCCCCGTGTAGAGAAATCACTCCACAACCCAATCGAAACAGAGGCATGATGTATTAAGGTCATTTAGAGGTGCATAAATGCAATTTTGTAAGCACGCTTGCATTTGGTCTGAGTGCCAATTTAAGTCGTATAATTTAACCTTGCATTTTGTATTACGTTTTGCATTGAAATTCTGCGATTAGGGTATTCAATTTCGGCAGGGAAATTATTTATTCTAACAGGTTATACGTTTCCTGAGTCCTTCGAAATCTTTGGAGACAATTTTCAATTTGGCACTGCGCACTTTGGTACAATGAACACCACCCACAGCCAAGAGTGTACGAGGAGAATGATGATTTCATTATCAAGAACTAAACCACTACTTCCTCTAGGCAAACGAATTCAGCCAGCTCTGCGTCATCGTTGTTTTCGCCGTCTTCGTTGTCGTCGCCGACATTGTTTTCGTCACCGTCCACATCATCAAGGCCTTGCTCGTCAGCGCCGATCGAGGTAATTTCATTTTTCGTTTTCTTTTTGACTCGGATTGCACGCATCTCCTTTGTCTTCTTAGCCGCTGCATCCCGTTCTTTCTTCGTTTGATCGATTTCGTGCATGAGTTCTAGGGTAAGAATGCGTCCGGCGACGTCAATGCGCTTGCGACCAACACGTTTTTTTGCTGCTGCAGGTAAGCAAAGCAGTTCACGCCGAAGCTCAACGCGGCGCTCCAGCCACTCCGCGTGAACATGCGTTTCAGGTACGCCGCCTTCGTTAAACTTTTCAAAGCGTGTCATCATTTGTTCCAATGACACAGGGAACAAACAGCCCAGACGTTCGAAATCCGCTGACCAGATTTGTTGGCAAGACATGGTTAGTCCACGCGTTTGAAGCGATTGAAATTGCTGCGGCTTTGGATATCGAGTGCATGTCTCCGAACGCTACATAGTATAACGTCATAAATTAATTTCAAAAATGTGATGATTATGTTAAATTGATTCATATTTATACCGTCGTTAATCATGGCGTCAAAAATGGCTCGACGAATCGCATTTTTGAATGGGCCAAATACTGCAACATCAAATGGTTGAAACAAATGTGTTGCATTTGAAGGCAAGCAAAGCTAAGTTTCACATAATTCAACAATTGCTGTAGAATAGTGTGAGGACAAACCATCAAAAACTAGGCAAATTGGACAAGGAATATTATCATCAACAATAGATGAAAAATATTTCAACCAAACTTCAACCAAATCCTCATTCATGAATCCCTTAGGAGTTGTCGAAACTGTACATTGCAATTCAAACCCAAATCTTTATCAAGAGATTCGCCAGGTAGCAAAAAAAAGTGGAGGAATAAGTTGGCCCAAAGCATTACCACACGCCACAATAGAAAGGTGGAAGCTAGCAGTCATAGTCTTGGCCCATCCATTGCGCGAACCCTTCAGACTTGTGTCGCGAGGCAAACGATGTCTCATCCATGTTGAATATACGCTCGGCGGTAAGTCCATGCACGCGAATAGCTTCTTCCATCGAGTCGAAAATCAATTTTTACGCCAACGTCATCAAAGCTATTTCTAGCATTGGAAATCACTTGCGCAACACGCGTGGTCAGCTCGGGGTGGCGATTCATGAATCGACAGTACCAACTTCCGGTAACAGTTCGAAGCGGGTCGAGGTGTCGGAGTAGCTTGTTGGCCTTGAGCAGTATTACGAACCTCGTGGCTGGCATGCCTTCTTGCTGCATGGCTGAGATCCAGGCGACCATGTTTTGCTCGAACGAGTACGGAAACAGTGGCTTGGGACCACGCCGCTTTGGCGTGAGGTCCTTGCCTGCCTTGAGCAGGCGCCCCTTTCGCATGATGGTTTCGTATGAGATGCCAGTATCGCGGTCAAAGTCGGTTCCACGTCGTCCTTGATGAACTTCGTTCACAACGAACTCGGGCTCTTCTTGAGTGTACCTGCCCCTCGTTCGAGGAGCAGGCATGGTCGGCGCGAAAAGAAAAGTTTGAGTTTGATGTTCTATTATGTTCGACAGGTGCGGCCTGGTGATTGGCTATCCGATATACGACTTAAATTGGCACTTACGCCTTAAATTGGCACTTTACGTTACTCAAAAAAAATAGGTAACTCGTATTGTCCATTTGATACAAATTTGGGGAGGGGGTGCAATCGAATCGCGCCAACCAAACCGATCCACAGTCGATCTGATTGGTTGAATTTCATTGAGAGGGTTTTGATTGGCTAATAATTTTGATATCATCTGAGGTAGCCAATCAAATCGATTTAAATTCCAACGAGAAACCACGCTACAACACGAAATTTCACTCGAAAGCACAATACTACGTAGTACTGCACTGTTGGAAAAGTAAATATTGCATTCCTGAAGTTCGAAAAAATATGTACAGAATAAATATTTCGGATGTCTTGGTCGACGCTCACATGAAATCAATTGGCCAATCATATCCAAGGAATTTAATATTTTGACCAATCAGTATCTGTACGATGGCGGTCGTGCAAATTCCAATTACAATACATAACGTTAACGAGTTGCGCCGCTTTTCGGACTGGATCGCTATGGACCACCACTGATGCCTTGTACTATCTAGTTGTAAGCGATGACGACGTTGAGCTTGTCGAGGAGGTGATTCAGAATCGCATTGGATCGCGTGGAGCGGGTCATGAACGCCGTGTACACTTGCGCAGCGTTCTGTGGGGTGGACTGGAGGGACACTTGGGTGTAGCCTTGCATGACACTAGTGGTAGGAGACGACGCTTCAAAGACAAACCATCCTGCAACGTGTTCGTCCTGCGCTAGACTTCTTTGCATCACGACGACACGATCTGGTGCCAACGTCACAATCTGTACCAAGTGATGCGTCGTCTGCGAGCTCGTGCGGACAGACTTGACGAACAAATCGCTCCCATCCAACATGGTGGTCGTTGTCGCCTATGCATGCTATCACTACAGCATGACAAGGTTATCGGACATACCCCACCATGTCGCACTAAGGATGATCCTTCTCCCGTCATCGCATCAAATAACCCACGCGCCGCGGCGTCGACAGAAGTGTGCATGACAAGAAATTTGCGCATTTCAAGGAACGCAATGTCTTGGCCACCGTCGTCCATAACGAAACTAAAGGCCCCGTTGTCGGCTGTTGATCGCGAAAGCTGCTCCATCACCCATGGCGACAGTTTTGCAAGTTGTTGCGCCATGATGGGCCTCAGTACCGCCGGAGGGAGCGTTGTATCGGGTGAAACGGTGTGGAAAACATACGCATCTTCACGGGGGTCTAAGATCATCTAGGCAACGATGTGAGCTCCAGATGCATGGATAGTCACGTACTGCCGAATTCTGGCGCGGAGTAGAGACAAGACCCTGATACAGCATGGCCTTTTCAAATTCAAATACCAGATTGCTCTGGAGCCGTCGTCGATCGGTCAGCCCTCGTCGGACGATAGATTCTCCGCGCAACACCGTCAGTTTGTTTTCCAATTCGGACAGTTGGCGTTTGAGGTCGTTTTCTTCCGCTTGGACCCTCTTCTTCTTTTGTCGCTTGCGTACGCGATCCCGCAAAAGCCGCTCTTCACGGTCCCTGTCCACATTGTCGGCAGGCGGCCTGGTGCGTGAGCTGACGGGGTCGCTTGTCGAGGCATCATCACTCGAATCGTATTGGTCCATGGGAAGTCAGTTGGCTTGTCGAGGGACCCTGCGCATTCAACAAGTCAATTCAAAGTGGCAAGTTTGCTCCTGGGACCAGACTCGTGTCGTCCCACGTTTACGTTGAAGAAGCCAACTCGCGCATGACGTCGTCACAAGTAGACCCTTTTGTGTTCGCTCATCCATGAGATCCCACTTCAGGTGGCCTCATCAAGCTCATTCATCGATTTCTCATGATCCGCGTGGACTAGGAACGTCTTCAAGCACTCGTTGCGGCAGCCGCCTTGGCGGATTGAAAAATACTTCTATAAGCCTTTGCAAGGTGTTTCGCGCGTTTATTGAATATCAAAGGTGAACTGTTCTCTCCAAATACATATCCGGTGAAAATGAATACCACGAGACGGCGAAATCCACTCCAGGACATGTCGACGCTTCCTTGACGGCGACGCGGAACGTCACCATTGTAGCTAATCGGCAACAATGGTGGTGGCATTCACTCGATGGAGGAGGCTGTCGTATACTACTGAATGCGTCCCACAGTATGTACACTGTATGTACATATGCGATTAGTTAGTCCCGAGAGTTCGCGTCACGGGTGTAAGCTGGTTGTCGAATCCACTGGATTCACCTCTGATCACAAAGAATGGCAGCTTGGAGTCGTCATCACGATGACACTCGCCACAACCGGAAATCGCCATGGGACTTCGTGTGGTTAATTGAGCGCAATGCTCCCAAATCCGTCGAGCATCTTGTTGACCATGGCATTGGCTTGCGTGGAACGATTCATGACCTTCGTGTACTCTTGCGACATGAGCGCTGGGGTAGTCGCGTGCAGCTGCAACTGCGTGTATCCTCGGACGGCGCACTTGGTTCCTTCTGCATCCGACATGTCTTCAAACACAAACCACCCCGCCGTGTTGGACGACGCCGTCACGCCATGCTCTTCGTCGTAAAAGATACTCCGGTGTGTGCACAGCGCCCTCCTCTCAAAGTACTGGACTTGGTACAGCTGCCGCCGAATGTTTCCGTCGGGACCGATGTACGTGGCCAGCGCAATGTTGTCGCCACAAAACAGCATCTAACGGCACGAGTAACACACATGGTTGTTGGCGACGAGATGCATACCGTTCGGCCAGGTCGTACCCTGTCCTTGGGTGCCCAGCGGTTAAAGAACATCGCGGCAACGTCGCGGAACGGAGCCCGCACCAACCCGTACTTGAACATCTCGAGGAACGAAATGTCATGGCCGTAGTCGTCCAGAACCAGGCTGAAGGGAGATCCGGCGGTCGAGTCCGGCAGCTTGGCGTACATGTCGGTCGTGAACCTGTTCGCTTGGTACTCACTCAGTCGCATGAGGGCGAGCAGTTGGTCCGTGGGGTTGGCGGGCAGCGTGTGAACCGTCCACGGGTCGCTTCGATGGTCCAAGTACATCTATTACATCTTTTCAAATACAACACAATCGAGAAGGTCGATGACGCGGACCTGGGATTGGGACGCGTCCCATGCCAAAGTGCGATAGAGGACGGACTTTTCGACGGCAAACACAATCTCGTGGAACAATCGCGCGCCTTCGACATGCCCGGCGTCAATGCGCTGCCGCTCGACCATTGCGACCCGCCTCCAGTCGACAGGTGAAGACGATACTGCTTTGCGCTTGCGGTGGCGCTGAAGAGAAGATAGCTGACCCCTCAGTTCGTCCGCTGTGCGTTTGAGATCCTCCATCTCCATGATCACCTTCTCTTTGCTGTGTTTCTTGCGCAGGCGATCCTTCTTTAGCTTGGCTTCGCGGTTGCTGGTTACGCTTACGACGGGCGAAGACACCTGCTTTGGGTCTTTTCTCGGTGGAGACAAGACATCGCAGTCGGTCATGGGAGACGTAGGACTGTCGAGTACGCCACCGTGCTTCCACATGGTCGACATGACTTCGTCTGTGATCATGATGGCTTGAACGAGTTGGTCGATGGGCAAAATGTTAGGTGGATACGTTACTACACAAGAGCTCCTAGTAATACTACGTAGTACTACAGTACTAATAATTCTATTCACAATAAGACGACAGGCTGTGAAGTCATGTAGTACGACGTATTCACAGTACTTGTACTACTTAACTATTACGAGTAAACGCCAACCAATCTTTCACTCGTGTGGAAGTGTGCTGTCGCGATGGACCAGAAAGTACAGAGTGTACAGAGGCTACGACATGTCAGCTAAGCTGACTACGCCACGCAAGTATTACTAGAGCATAAGTGGCAGAGAGAAAGTACTACAGTAGTACAGTAAACACAAGATACACAACGTTCAGCGACCAGCAAGATGTGGTACAGTACTGAACTTTTACTACCTCGAAGTATTAATACTTCGAAGTACAGTGTACTATTAGTAGTTCTATAAATGCTAGTAGTACTATAGTAGTACTTACAACTATTAATATTAATAATATTAATACTACATATATCAATAACTACGAAGTGGTATTAATACTACGAAGTATAAGTTAGTACTGTACTAGCAACTGACAGTGAACCTCGCTTTCGACGTCACTCCAAATGGTTACCAGCGTCAATAATCGCCACAAAGGGCATACACCGGGGTCCCATCAGACGTTTCGTCAGCTACTTGACTGTTCATCCACCTCGTATACCCCTCGTACTACGTAGTATAATCATCGACACTTGTGCGCGGAACTGATGAGGCTTCTAGAACTCAAAAAAACTTGGGACCAGTCGCATCGTTATTCGGATAACGTATCCGGAGGCTTTTTCAACAAGCTTTTACTGGTGGCCCTCGATTGACATTCTAGAAACAGTTGAACATCATGGCCGCCGCTGCTGCTCGTGCCTTGAACGGAATTGCTAAGTTCGCCGGTGTCGTCGGTGTGGGGGGGTTGTTCGCGCAAAACTGCCTTGTCGATGGTACGTCCCTCCTTTTGTTCAAGGAACGAGGTGTCTCATGGAATCTTGATGCGCAGTTGACGGTGGACACCGAGCCGTGATCTTCGATCGTCGAAAGGGTCTTCGTGATGACATCAAGGGCGAAGGCACGCACTTTATCATTCCTTACATCGAAGTATGTATCACATAGGACGCAAACAACAATCGACTCCTTTCTCAATGACGCATGTGTTCTAGGACCCCCGCATCTTGGACATCCGCACCCAAGCGCACGAAATTCCGTGTAGCACAGGTACCAAGGATTTGCAAACGGTGAACCTCCGCTTGCGTATCATGGTTCGCCCGGACGAGCTATTCCTGCCCAAGATCTACAGTGAACTCGGCCCCAACTTTAACGAACGAGTGTTGCCGTCGATCACGAACGAAATCCTCAAGGGGGTGGTTGCCCAGTACAACGCTGACCAGCTCTTGACTTCGCGTGAAAAGGTGTCGGGCCAAATCTCGGAAGAACTCGCCGAGCGCGCCAAGCAATTCCACCTGTTGCTTGACGACGTGGCCATCACCCACTTGACGTACGGCGCGGAATTCACGAACGCCGTCGAGCAAAAGCAAGTGGCGTTCCAAGACGCGGAACGTTCCAAGTTCATCGTGATGAAGGCGGAACAGGAGCGACAAGCCGCGATCATCAAGGCCGAAGGTGAATCCGATGCCGCCAAGTTGATTTCCGACGCCGTCGCCAAGAGCGGCAGCGGGTTCATTGAAGTGCAGCGCATTGACGCTGCCCGCGAGATCGCCGAGCACTTGTCGAAGAGCCGCAACGTGTCGTACTTGCCCAGCGGCAACGGTGGCGGGATCTTGCTTGGCTTGAACACTGACGCTTAATCCCAATGAAGTACTTGTTAGATATTGGTGATTGTGCTTACTAGTTAGTATAAATGAGTTGATAGACCATTCCTCCCTACTTCGACTACACCAATGTTGTTTCCACAGTGCGTCGTCTGCAATGACCTCGACAAAAGGATTATGTGTCATGTACTTTCACTTATATACGCTTGGACGGACTGGGTGTGTTCGTTCGAAGGTGGGGGTCTATGCCGATGACGACGGTTGCTGACCGGAGGCAGCTTGAGCTTGTTGGGCGTCGTATGTTCGCTGTCGCTCCGCGGTCCGCGAGTACATCACTGTGAAGCCTCGCCCCACATCGTACAGACCAAAGGCAGTAGCACTGAGGAGCCCGGCGACGACGAGCTTGTGGGCGGCATCGGCAACTTTGGAAGCGGCGGTCATGACGAACGGCAGTGACGTCAAATGTTAATGTTTCGATTCAATTGGTTTGGGACAAGTGTAGAGTACTATTGGTCGTGCTTAATTTACAGCAATATGATTGGTGGAAATGCCTCAAACCTAATTTCATTGGTTGAAAAACCCACGACAACATAAAAACAACAGCGTTGTCATGAACACGCGCCATATCCTTTCGGGGTGCTGCCGTTGTCATGAGACTGCACGACCATGGCTTCCGATATATTGGTGACTTCCGCGGTGTTGGAGGTGCTACATATGACGAGCAGCGTCCCCGCAACCACAACTGACCCGCCCACGAACGTCACCCATCCAGGTGTGGTCGCCGTGCCAACGATAATGCATATGATGGTGGCTACAATGGGCTCCAGCAGCATGGTCACGGACACCACGAGCGGGGGGAAGTATTTCATCGACGTGATAAACCCCATGGTTCCGCACGCACTCACGACGACCACTAACACGCCTTCGATACCCAGGTGGTGTGTCCATCCATAGAACCCCACGACTGGATCTGATGACCACGTCAAGTCCTCTTGCATAATCCACAACAGTGGCAACAGGAGCATCCACGTGGTCGTAAACAAGCAAAAGCAGAACAGCCGAACGCCCAATAATTCCTGGAGCCTCTTCGCATAGATCAAGTACGCGACTCCACCGATGGCCCCAACAAACGCGACGATGTCTCCTTCCAGCGTCGGCGGGTGCTGGCTGGCGCCGTTCGTGGCGGTGTTGGTACTCTCGTGGTCGGCGCTGGTGATCACGCCGCCAGCAATCCCGAGAAACGCCCCGGCAGCCTCCAAGCCCGCGACGGGGTGCCCAAACATGCACTTGCCCACCACGAGCAGGATCGAGTGGCTGTTGGTAAATATGTACGCGTGACCCACAGACGTATGATCCAGCGCCCATATAAACGTGGCAGAGAACACCACGTACGCAGCCGAGCACAGCAGCGTTTCTCGACCGACGATGACCCACGACCCCGACGGCGGCGGCGGGAGGCCGCCGTCCAACCACCACGTGAGGCACCCAAACAAGACGGACGACCCAAAGTAGCGCCACACCATCTTCACGAGGGGCGGCACGGCGGCGAGCATTTGCAGCGCCGCGCCTTGCGCCGACACACTCAACAACGCCCCAGCCAAGATGACAAACCCGACCCACGGAACCTGTTTTGTCACGGTCAACTGCATCGCCATCATGCCCCCCACCATCGACGCCTCCAACGTCACGTCCTTGACGTCGGACGGCAACGCCGACAGTCGACGGAGTGTGCTTCGAAGTGTCGGCGGGTGAATGAGGGGCTCATTGGTTCTGTCTACAGGAACAGCCAGGAGAAACGACCGAGTGTGACCATCGCTTTCGTGTTGAGGCACTAAGAACGCACTCTTTCGAGGACTCAACCGCCGCAGGAGTGGGGACGACGCGGTTGATGATGTACGAGGAAGCGTCGAGGAGGGTGTTGGAGCCGTGGGAATAGCCAACACATACTCGTCACCGGCGCTTCCTTCGAGGGAAATGTCGCCCGGTAGCACGCAGTTCCCGACTGGAACGACGCCAAACGATAGTTCCTGGTTGAGGGGATGCGTCTCGGAAGGCTGGAGGTGGGGGACATGCACAACAAACCCTTGAAAGGCCTCGACGGCGTCGGACCGGCGACTCGAAGGCCTTCGCATGTCGATCTTTGCATGGGGTTGGTCTTTCGAAGATGTGACAGCCAAGACAAGGCTAGCTCGGCGTTTGAGGGGTGGTGGCGGTGACGAGGAGGAGGACGAAGGCATGGTCGTGGCTTCAGGAGAAAGTATGGCCAATCGACGGACGAGGTCGTGCTCGACAGTGTGTACCATTTGGTCGTGGGAGTCGACACCAAACCAAAGGTCCGAGGGGGGAGTTGTAGCCATGGCGTAAACTCGTTGGAAGCCAAAAGCGAGGGATTCAGGAAATGACAATGAGCCAACTCCATGCACGAGATTATCCAGCACGATAAACACTTTACTCGATACAATGTACAGCCCAATGTCGACTCCGTTGTAGTCGGCGATGGCGCGACCGACGTGATGGAGTTTGATCGGCATGGGGCTGGTTGGTGGCGCAAACTGGACTCGCATCTAACAAGTATGTTGTAAGGATCTGTAGCCATTGCAATGCGCGTTACCGTGGAAGGCGGCATGCGCGCGGCAACCGCCAGATCGGACTCCACCAACACACTCACACGGTGGTGGGTACGGTGAAACGCGTCAAATTTCTTTAGCAACGCCATGTCAAAGACTCGGTCTGCCGCATGGATGAGAAAGTGTCCGGCGAAGAGGTGCCGCGCCGCAAGGACTGTCTCGGGAATCGAGTCAAGGACAGATGGAACCACTTCGAGGAATACGATGTGCATGCGAGAAAACAACGCGGACTGCTCCACGTGACGTTGTGTATCGCTGCTGGCGGCCACGGCCAACACGACACGGTCGATGCCAGCGAGCAACAGTTGGGACAGACTGTGCTCGAGGATAGATCTACCATCCAGCTCTTGAAAGCCCAGCGCGACGCCGAAGTCCGTGACATGCGTGGACGTGAGCAACAATGCGTCAAGTTTTTTGTCGGCAAGGTTGGCATCGTCGTCGTCGTTATCGTCGACCTCCATGAATAGGCCTTGCATTCGCGTGGCATTCTCGGAGTGTATTCCAGCAAGGAGTTCGTCGTACGAAATATGGGCCAGCTCGCTCACCCGCCGCAAATCCACTGCAAACGCATTTGGTGGAGCCTTCGACGCGCTGCCGCTTGACCGCCGCATGATGTTCGTAAAAAAGATCGTGGATTTGATTGCCGTTTCATCCTCTTCTCAGGAGCCAATCATAGTCTCAACAACAATTCTATGATGGTATCCCACCAATCACAACTTTTGATTCACGAAAAGATTGAAATGGAGAAAATACATTATCATCGTTATGTTATGAACTGACGTTGCTTGGTGGTGCATAAGGTGTTTGAGACTGCTACTGCACGCTGCCTTTGCAAACGGTAGCGTCATATGAAAGAGCATGTGCTTGATCTACGGCATCAGTAACGTTCACCGTCTCGGTGGACTCGCGTGCACTTGCAATCACGAGGACTGTGCCGACGATGACCCCGAATCCGCCTACAAAGGTGAGCCACCCAGGGACGGGGGCCATTCCCAGTGCAAGGCAGATAGCAGTGGCCACGACGGGTTCCAGTAGCATCGTCACAGAAACGACCAATGCGGGGAAGTACTTCATAGCGCTTACAAAGCCCATGGAGCCACACAGCGTAACCACGACCACGAGCACAAACTCCACTTCCAAGTGGTGGACCCAGCCAAAGAAGCCTCGCTGCGGATGCATCGACAGTTGGACGTCATCCAGCTGGAGCAGCCACATCGCCAATGCCACAAGGACCCACGTCCCCGTAAACACGACGGAGCAAAACACGCCGACGCCAATCTGACTTCGCAGCGATTTCGCATACGTGAGGTAGAAGACACCTCCCACCGCTCCGGCGAGGGCTACGAGGTCCCCTCCGATCGATGGGGCGTTGCTTCCAGCCATACTGGCGTCGCCGCCAGACCCATCGGCGGTGGTCACGACGCCCCCGACGATACCCATGATCGCCCCCACAGTCTCAAGGGGGGCGACTGGCTGCCCCGTCACCCACTTTGCCACCACAAGCAGTAACGAGTGTGCGTTGCAAAAAATGTACGCGTGGCTCACCGACGTATGGTCCAGCGCCCACACAAACGTGCCTACAAAGGTCGCGTACGATACGGTGCACACGACACTCTCCCAAATCACTCGGCGAGACAACAGCAGCTTTAGCGACGACCAACGGAATTGGTTGCGATTGAGGACGGACGTGACCACGCCCAGAACCACGTACGCGCACGTGGCACCAAAGAATCGCCAGACTACTTTGAGCAGCGGGGGCACGCCCACCAACGCTTGCATGGCGGCGCCTTGGGCGGAGACGCTGATAAGGGCGAAGATAAGAATGGAAAAACCGAGCCATGGTACGGTTTTGTGGACGGCGAGCTGCAGATGCACGTGGTTGGACTCGACAGCCACGCTGGCTTCCACGCTGACGTCTTTGATGTCGGAAGGAAGGCGAGATGCACGACGAAGCAGTTCCCCAAGAGAGCGTTGAGGTGATGGTGGCGACGGGTTCTCGGTGCAGTGAGGCAAAGCTAACACGAGCTGATTGGGAGCATGCAAATCGTACATCAAGAACGCAGTGCCTGGATCAACGATGGACTTGGAAGTCGTGTCGGAGGGAGGATGAGGGGTGGGGGCAACGAGCAGTGGCTGGGACTCCAGGTCGTCCTCTTTAAGACCACGCGTGGAGGGAAGTGATATAAGCTTGACTGGTACAGTGAATCCGTTGAAGGGCTCGGAGTTTAGGCGTCTTGACCGGCGGGGGTCTTGTGACGGAAGATCGGATGTTGTCAAGATGAGACTTCTGCGCGGCTTTCGGGGCTCGTCAGATGGCAATCCTACAGTGGCTAACGTGTGTACGGCTTGGGCGGATATGCTTTGTGGATTTTCAACGTTGTTGTCCACCAAGAGACCGTGAATCGAGGTGATCTCGTCGTTGGTTTGAATCCCCGCGATAAGGTCATCGTAGGATATGTGGGCCAGCTGACTAGCGCGGCGCAAGTCGACGGTGTAGGACACTTCAGATTCTTGTGGTGGTGGCTCCATCGCAACTTGCACTGTGGTGCATTCTTCTGCCATTCGCAGTTGCGATCTTTTAGTACCGAATGAAACCGCCAGCCTTGCCCTTACCCCCAATCAACGCCCGCGATTTGAAATGCATCACCCATCTCAAAATAATGTCACCCATCTCACGTGTCACAACGTTCCATTCCACGCTAACTTAATATCTCTTTGAGAGAAGAACGATGAAATGGAAAAGGACCAATATGCCAATGTTGGGTAGCTTTACTACGTAGTACTATTAGAAGTAGTCAGTAACCAGGGTCTAGTTAGCGTTAGTACTTCTACCTACGACGACCCAAATCGATTGTGCCACGTTTCGTACTTTCGAAGAAACTGGTGCGCCGATGGCTTGGTCTTGTCTAATGCTTGTGTGATGTCGTCGGAAGTGATTTTGTCCAGTAACTCGTGCCAATTGCCTGCAAGCGATATTTCATATCGCTGAGGGTGTATTCGTTGGAGATATATTTGCACCTTACCAGATTCACATGGGAGTTGATTGGTCGCTGCATCTGGAGCTTCCAGCTTTGCCATGAGTCGTCGAACGGGAGCCATGCATGCTTCCTTTGCCACGAGCTTGATGTCGGCGCCAGAATACCCCTAAAACCATCCATTTTTACATCGGAACATTTCGAGCCAACCAATAGGCTCAAAATACCTCGGTCTTGAGGACACTGCCGGCAAAATCGAAATTCGCATCAATGTACGGCGCCAAGAGCTCGGCAAACATATGGTGGCGAGCCTCGGGGGACGGCAACCCGACTAACACTCGCTTTTCCAGTCGTCGAAGCATGGCGGTGTCCAATTCCCACGGTAAATTGCTCGCCGCCAATACAAACACCACTTCTTGTGTCTTGGACAACCCGTCCATCTACCCCACCATCATGCCGAGAAGTAGGAACGATATGTCGTATCGTATGTACCTACCTGAATGAGCAGTTCTGTTTTCATGCGACGACTGGCTTCGTGTTCCCCGCCGCTGCTGCTGTCACCGCCGCCGCGTTGGCCCATGATCGAATCGATTTCGTCCAGAAAGATCGTCGACGGCGCGTGGTACCGAGCCAACTCGAACAACATGCGCACGAGTTTCTCAGAGTCCCCGCGGTATTTGCTAACAATGGACGACCCAGAGATGTTGAAAAAGGTGGTTTTGCACTCGGTCGCGACTGCCTTGGCGAGCATCGTCTTGCCATTCCCAGGTGGGCCGTACAGCAGGATACCACACCTACCCCCCACCGCCATTCTCGTTAGGTACGGAACCTAGACGTGAAGGTACCATGGGGACAGCAGCCCCTTAAACAACTGAGGGTACTTGGACGGCATGACCACGGCTTCTTTGAGCAACCGCTTGGCATCGGTCAACCCCACTACGTCGTCCCAGTGGACATTGGGATTCTTTTGGAAGATTTCCCTACGCCCACTCAAGTCACAAATGGCAAACATGACATGACATTTCAACCTTGTGATGTTTTCTGCGAGCGGTCGTAACTCGGAATCATGCATAAACGGCAGCGGTTTGAGCAGTCTACACCATGTTACGTTAATACAATGATACATGTGTAGCCACGAAAAAAACCACACATGAGTTAGTTACCTGTCTTCGACACTGTCGTCGTCTTCTTCCGGCTTGACTTCCTATGATCATACCATGACGACTATTTCACATACACCTAGTGTGTGTGTACCGCTTTCCCTTTGGCTGGTTTTGTCGTGCGCTGGTTGCCAGACTTGGCACCCACGACGCCCGACGTCACGGTGGGCTCCAGCAACGACAGGTCGTCCACTACGTCCATCGTTCGTTCCAGATCAACAAACTAAAGTTCAATGGCGATCACACACCTGGTTTCCTACATCAGAAATCAACATCGTCGTCGGGTTATGTGAGGTCGGTACGTTGATGATGTAGTGACATTGTTGCTTCCGAGGCAAGTTTGCACCGCCTTGAGTGCGGCGTTGTTTTCCACTCGGGCTTCCGAAGGCATGTGCGCAGATGTGTAGCTGTTGCGCTTGGTTCGTTTCTCCATAGCAGCTTTCTTGTCGTTGAATTGCGAGACTGTAAACAGTATAAGCACCACGAGATGAAGACTCGTCAGTTGATTTCTAAAGGGGGTACCTTTGGCCTTTTCTTCGTCGCCATTCGTCCGACGCACGAGCTTGGGCTTCTTGCCAAACTTGAGCTCGTAAAAGTCTTCAAACTCCTACGACCAGTGAGGCAGTTGGCATGGACATTGAATTGGCTATATATGTTGCCCAGTACTTGTACTATGCGAAGTAGGTCGATGTTGTCGACGACTTCAAACTTGGAGAGCGCGACGCCTGCTTCTTGTTGCAGCTTTTCCGCGGTTTGCAAGTACCCGTTCTCGACGCAATAATGCAACGCCAGCACGAGAACGTTCCGTTTTCGATCGATCAGCCCTTTCTCCACCTACCCAACCAACCAGAGCCTCGAACATCAAATGCCAGAATGCGATTGCGTACGCTCAAGCGACTGTCGTTTTGGGCTTTGAGCTGGTGCAGTGTTGCCATTGATGGCGGTGGTGTCGCTGCGGCAACTGGGTCGTTACAGGCGTTTCTTCTACATCCTATCAGTTACAAACTGTAACCGATCATGCTATGAATGTAACCAGCTGCCGTCGGATGTTCATGTTGAAACGTGTTGAAACATGGGAAGGTGTTGTAATTCTGTGTACTAGTATGGAGATTCCATATTCGCACATCCGTTTGAAATACACACATACATTGAACGATTGAGATCCCAGCGAGAAGTTACGACGCTACTTATGCACTACGGTAGTAGTAATATGCCGTGTCGGTGAAAACAGATCCAAGTCCAGGGACGTTGCAGCCCCAGTCAAGAGGAGCTCCGACATGGCGACGGCCGTGCCAGGTGCATTCAGCACGCCCCAGCAGTTGTGTCCTGTGGCGACGAATAGCCCGTCGTGGACGCGTCCGATGACAGGGATGTTGTCCTTGGTAGCTGGCAAGTAACACGCCTGCTTGGCTATAACTTGGGACTCATCAAACGAAGTTTGTGTAAACACACCGAGGTCGGCCAGCACTTGCGCAATCCCTTCAGGACTCGGGTGCACCTGCGCCGCCGATGGCGGCAGCGGCTCCGTCACACGCGGACCACATGCATACACGGTGCCGTCCGGTCTAGGCACGATCTCTACGTCGCGGGGATTTCTGCTGCCGATTTCTCCAAAGACAACCCCAGGACCAAACGTGTCGTGAGGTTGCACCACGACACTGTGGATTTTGTACACGTCAGCGGGAGCGATGGCGGGGTATGTGGCCCACTTGGTAAGGGCTTGCAACGTCCATGGACCCATGGCTAGCACGACAGCGTCGGCAGCGATAGTGGATCCGTCCGTTAAGCGAACGCCGCCGCAGTGCCCAGCATCTGCGTGAACAAGCCCTTCAACGGAGCCACGCACGAGATGCGCGTGTCCAGACTGCGTCGCCAGACGCATCATTGTGTCGGTGAACTTTCGAGGGTGCAATTGGGCATTCGTTGCGGTGGTTCCGATCGAATGGGATCGAGTCACTTTGGCGTGGACCCAGCTTGGTACGTCGTCGTTGTCACCGTCGCCAGCAGACTTATTCGACACGAGACATGATATGGTGTCGACACGTCGATAGTTGTACAACTTTTTCCCGTCAAGAGAGGCGGCAAGCTCTTCATGGAGAAGAAAACTGAGCTGGCACAGTGCGTCGACATCCTCGCCTTGGCACCAGTCTGAGGCTAGGAACCCCCCGGCCTTCCCAGACGCAGCCGCCGCGATTCCCACTTCCTCCACCACTGTGACCTTGTCGCCTTCGTTGAAATCTGGCGAATGGACCAAGTAGTATGCCAACGTACACCCAATGACGCCTCCCCCACAGACGACAATGTGCATGCTTCTTGCCACGATGACGTTTCAGGAACAATTCCGGATAAACAGGTTTGTTCCGGTTATTCATTCGAAACCTCTGCTTGCTTGCGTCACCCATAATCAATCATCATGGCGGTGGAGGACTTCCGAGTACGTACATAGAACCATGTTGATCGTGTAATGAGATCATGAGTAGTTCCCGGCGACTGTGGCCTTTGCGACCCTCATCCCTCTCCTGTGGATTCTTGGTGTTCTGCTTACGCCAGAGAAGCAGCATGGCGTGTTCGCCCTCTCGATCGCCAGGTCCGATTCCGACTGACTGTATGTTCTTCCTGAAGCCCATCTTTGTAGCGTCATTCTTGAACACATTCGACCATGGGCGTACATCACTGCTCCATTTTACCACCAACACCTGTGGGAGGTACATCCATATCCGTCAAACAACCCAGTGAGCTCAGCCCGAGATTGTCGTAGGTGGTGCTGATTGTGCCAGTGACGTTGTATTTGGGCCGTCGCGTGGAAATCGCGTTGGGGACCATGTCATTTGTGCGTTTGATCTGCTTTGTCTCGGTCGTCTCGACGGGGCTGCTCTTTTGCGACATGTTTGCGCTGTACATTGTGTTTCGCAGCCCGTTCTTCTTGTCCGTTCCATCGTCATCACCATCTTCCCTTTTCCCCATCTCACATTCATTCCTGTAAGGCGAACTGGCGTCTCTGGCTTTACGGGGGGCCTCGTCGCCATGCTGGTGGCGTTGGTCAAGGAAAACCCGGTGCAACCGCTCGGAATCCCCAAACTTCCCTGCCGCGTAACAAACACATCCTCCGTCCAACGTCCAAGTTGTTGTGATTCCAATCGAAATGTCCATGTACGATAGTACTACCCGCTGCTGCTGACAGTGCTTTGCGTCGCCATGTCTGTCGGCGCCGTTCTGACCAAGAACGAGATCTTGATCGTCGGCGCGGGCCCGTATGCCGTCTCGGGGCTGTACTTTGGCTGGGTGTACCTTCGATTTGTGGCCAAGAACCCCGACGGATCCGTCGGCGATGAGTCCGATGCGTTTTCGCTCACTGTGTTGTTTCCTGCTTTCCTCAAGTACGTTCGTTTTACACGTGTAGCACTTTTCTGTATTGTCCTTTTCGATGAAATAGTTATGGAATCGATTGATTTGTGTCAGATTTTAAGCTTAATATATGGGATACATATTTCAACACGTAATGCTATGGTGGCGAAACTTTACCTATCGATGATTGGTTCAAATTTCTCAATAGTGTGGTTTGATTGGCTAGTTTATTCTAAAATCATTCATTCGCTTCGAAGTACGGAGTTGACAATATTAACTTGTCCCTATGTATATATTGCAGGCCGTCGCTCGCGCCACTCTTTGACTTTTGCTTCAACGTGTCCAAATTATGTGGGTTCTTCCAGCATCGCCAAGGCCACAACGCTACATCTGGTTCGTCCCTGGTAAGCTTGTTTATGCAAGTATTGTAGATTCGGTATGAATTTCCGGACCCCGCCCAATCGAATCTCACACTAACCCTCGCCGCGACATTTGATTGGATAGTATGAAATTTCTTGTCGCTGATTGGCTAAAATATTCATTCTATTTTCCATTGTCTTTTCTGTGGATTATTTGGTAGCCAATCAAATGTCGCGGCAAGGTTGCAGCGAAGAATACAATCAATATATATACGATCCTGTCGCAAATATCTGGTGGCGTTTTTGCATGCAAAATCATCGTGCTGATTGTAGGCCAAAGCAGCGCTCGCCTCCGACCCAGTCACTGAGCGTCGCAAGTACTCTTCGTCAACGTCGAGTTGAGCATTTATTGGTCTTATCTTTGGTTTTTAGGGCCAGGGCGATGAAAGCGCTCGACGAAAAGTTGGCCAAGCTGGCCGTGATGCCGTCGTCCGTGCCGCACGCGTTGCTAGCCGACGACGACGACGACGACACGTCGGCTGCGTTTACGGTCTAGAGCCGATGGACTTATTTATGTCACAGCCTGCGTTTTCACATGCCTCCCTCCACCCAAGCCAAGCACATGGACATGGGAAAGACATGTGTAGGACGGACAGAGGGATATATAGTGTACTGTATCGTAGTCCGTGGTAGGATTAATTGAACAATTGCGAGACGGATTTCTTGCCGTGGATGTTGAGGATGGCTTGGGCGAGGAGCGGGGCCACGTCGAGCTGTTTGATCTTTTCGTTGCCGACGCAGTTGGCCGGCAGCGGCGTCGTGTTGACCACGACCACTTGTTTCAGCGCCGATGCCGTGATGCGCTCGCTCGCGGGGCCGTTGAACAGGCCGTGGGACGCGAACGCGTACACGTTGCGTGCGCCGTGGTCGGATAGATGCTGCGCCGCCTTGCAGAGGGTGCCGGCGGTGTCGATCATGTCGTCGACGATGATGCAGTCGGAGCCGCTCACGTTGCCGACCAAGTCCATGCGGTCGATCTCGTTGGCCTTGATGCGCTGCTTGATGATCATGGCCAGCCCCACGTTCTCAATGCCTTCCTTGCCCACGAGCCATTCGCGGAACTTCTTGGCGCGCGCCACGCCGCCGGCGTCGGGGGACACCACCACGGGGTTGACGAGCTCCATGTTGCCAAAGTACGACACACCCACGAGGCCACCGTCCAAGTTGTCGACGGGCACGCGCGGGCCAAAGAACCCTTGGATTTGACCGCAATGCAAGTCGACGGCGATCACGCGGTCGACTCCCATTGCTTCCAAGAGGCGCGCGACGTCCGCGGCCGAAATCGGCACGCGCGCCGCCATCTTGCGATCTTGGCGAGCGTAGCCGTAGTATGGAATGACAGCAGTGATGCGGCGCGCAGACGCACGACGCATCGTGCTGACCATCAACAGCAGCTCCATGAGGTTTTCGTTGACGGGTACACACGTGGGTTGCACAATGTACACGTCCTTGCCGCGCACGTTTTCGTGGACCATGACGTTGACTTCGCCGTCGGCGAAACGCTCGACCGTGATTTTGCCCAGGTTCACACCCACGAGTTCCGCGACCTTGCTCGCAAGCTCGGTGTTGGCGTTGCCGCTGAAAATCTTGAGCCCGTTCATGATCTTCGGTTGCTTCTCAGGGATGATGAGGGAGCTGGGGACACCAGATTGAGCTTCCGACGGACGAGAGCTGTTCATCATGCCCATGCCAAGGCCCACGCCCATGGCGGCGGCCGCAGTCGGCAGGTGGGATCGCGCATGCGCAGTCAAGCGATGGAACATGTTGACCTAATTGGATGTGATGCGGCGAGGGTTATTCGTATCCGGATTGGACTACAACCATGGCACCACACAAAATCAACTTGGCAATTGTATGAGGACACTCCAAGGGAGGTTAGGGCTCACTCTAAGATCGCTGGCCGTCGTGTATTTCAATCTTGGGTTGCATTTAGGCGGTACAGTGTTCAGTGGATGCCGTGTAAAGCGATGATACGTCCCAGCTTCCGTCCGTCTCCGTTGAGACTGTACTGTCTTGTCTGGTGGCTAGGTCAACGAAGACCGCTACTTTCATGCTGACAAGTGAGCTTGAACGGACTTTGGGCGCAGTACGGTAAGCTTACAGTAATGCAGTACATACTTGGCGCACGACAACACAAGTTACTGAGAGGACACCAGTACGAGCAACAGCAACATTGCCTTGTTAACTTCATGTACAAGCAACAGCAACATTGCATTGTTAACTTCATGTCTGGGGCGCTCGTGATATCGCCGTCCAAGTGTTGGAGTGTGAAAGTTCAGATGCGAGTAGTTGTGAGTTGGTGATGGATGATGTGGCGTATCCGAATAATCCGGATAAAGATTGTTTTCCTGTCTTCGTCACTTTTCGATTTTCGCGCGCAATATTCAGCAAGGACAGCAATGCACGAGGGACCGTCAAGCCCCCCTACGAAGAGGTGTTCGCTCCTATAGACATGCAGCTCATGATGATTGTTTCTGTGTGTGACCAGGGCAAGGGATGAGGGACATGCGGCAAATGCTGTTGACAAGCTCAAGGTACCTCCCCCCTTGGTGAATGACTCTTGGATCAACGGGCGATGCAGATGTATTTGTGCCTTGGCAGTCGACATGAGGGAGATATAGCCTACGCACTATCCATCATTTACGCGTTCCTTGATTCGCCTCGTGAGATTAGTGGTACGAGAGTCGTCCTTAGCGTTATCTCACTTTCAGATAGAAGGTGGCCCAGCACTTATAGGCGATATTTGTTGCGACAACAAGTCGATCGGCTCGACCAATGAAGAAGGAGATGGAACTGTCTTTGTCCAAGACACGAAATCCAACGTGATTCCGATGGAAGAAGTCAACGACTGGGACGATGTTGTCGAGTCTGAATTTTCCGAACGTCGTACGCCAAATCTACTTGCAGTCAATCGCAACGAACTCACATTTCGCGCACACCAGAGCCGTGCGGATGTCAAAATTCAACGAATACATTGATCATGGAGCTACAACTGAAAGATCTTGAAATCCAACGCCTCAAAGTAGGTCATTTCGTACCCAAAACGTCTCTAATCTACCGGTTAGAACCAAGTGGCCGAAGTCAAAGCACGATATCGACGAGACACTCGGCAATTGAAGCGGGTACTAGAACGAACATTTCCATGATACATGTGGATTTTTCTCATGTTAAGGTGTAGGAAGTTGAAGCGATACAGAGTAAGTGCGTCAACGACGAACAGTTGCGCCAAAAACAATCTCGCATTCTTAAAGCGGTATACCCCACTATGATTGATGTCCGCAACAACGACTACCCGTCGTCACGACCTTCTCGTAGTCGATTCAAAAAGCGTCGGCCACGTTGAGCTATTTCCTCGCGCGACAACCGACCCAAATCCCAGACGTCTAAACTAACGTTGTTAACATGTGTCCCGTCCAAAGTCGTCGTCGTCGATTCGAATGACCATCGCGAACTGCTCTCCCAAGAGAACATCGCCCCCAAGGACATTCAAGCGCAGGGCAATGTACTTGGGGTACTGTTCGTAGCACCAATCGTCCACGATCGAGACGGCAATCACCTTGTTGGACTCGCCCACGTTGAACGTGAGTTCCCCACGGGTCTGCACGTAATCGCCGCACCGGACTCGATTCTGGATCATCATGCCCAAGCACGCCGTGTACCAGTCGCTGTCGATGCCCACCGCACTGCGATCGCTCGTGGCGTACCTACAAACATATGCGATTTGATTCTTGTGAGAAATAAATCTCACCGTATTGATTGCATCCATAGTAGGCGACCCAACGTACCCAATCGTGAGCGGCGCGCTCAAGTCCCCCGATCGAATCACGACGACAATCACTTGGCCGCTCGCCACGTTTTCCAGGACGCCGACTTCTGGAACTGCAAATGAAATCTGAAGGAACCGCGTGTCAAACACGTAGCCGCAGCCAGCGCCGCCGCCCACCCCCGGACTGCCCACGGCGAGCCGCGCGCCGTTGAGCGCGACGGCGTACCCCCATTGCGCTGCGGGCGTCTTGTCGCTCGATTGAAACTTGGCCGTTTCTTTCCCCAACCACTTGGGCGGCGACAAGACGTTGCCCGCGCCGTCCTTTACAGCATCGATGCGTGAAAACAAGTACACAGAGCCCGTGTTTTCCGCGAGGACGATCGAGTTGTTGAGGTCCACGCCCGGCTGGTGGTACGCCCCGATCACGGCCGTCCCCACCGAGTCGTCGACAGCGACGGAAAACCCAAACTGGTCCTGCGGTCGCTTGTCGCTGGCCACGAGCCGCGATTGCATGACCCAGAAACACTGGAGCTTTGGCAACCCATTACATGGAGTAAACGACGTCAACGTGGCTTGGCGTTGGAACACATACGCGACCCCGGCGGTACCCGTCGACGCTTGCTCGACACTCCAATCAAATTGAAAGTCGTCCACGTTGATATGGCCCCACAAGTCTGTGCTGGACGCATCCACAATGCGCACGATCGCGCTTTTGCCCTTGTACATGGTTACGTTCCACGCCACGACGCGCATTCTTTCGTCGCATTTTCCCGTTTCCCGTCGAACCGACAGCCCATCCACGAGCAATTCGACGTAGATAGTCGCGGGGTTGCAGCCGCCGCCCAGTCGGAACCGAATCCGGCTGCCCCCGATCGTAAACACTTGGGACGACAGCGTGCCCTGTGGGTGGTCGCCCTGCGTCGTGCCGGCGACGGAGCTTCCCGGCTCTTTGTACATCGCAGTCTTGCAATCGTCGTTGGCAAACGAACACGTGAACGGCGACACGCGCTGCGCACTTCCCGCCCCCGGTCGGCTTTCAAATGTCCCGATCCAGTATCGCCCTTCGTGCTGGATCGTCCCCTTGGACGTTTCGTAGCTTTTGTACACGTCGCCGCGAGCCATGACGTTGTCTCCAAACGTGGGCTGGGTGTCGAACGCCGTGCCCGTTTTTATCCACCCCGTCAAGTCGCCCGTTTCAAAGTTCCACGTGGTGGTTGTCAGCGCCGACGACGTGTACGCGCCTACAATCACGACGTTGCCATCCAACGCGACGCTATGGCCAAACCGATCGGCATGATTCGCATCCGACGCCGTCAATTGCGTGTGAAAGGTCCACGTGCCCAACCGTGAGGCCTCGACGACGGCGACTTGCCCCGTCGGGTTGGCCGCATACCTGCGATATATATATATCAACGACGAAGACATAAGAAGGTACAAGGTAACGTACCCGCTGCTGAACGCGATGCAGATGGAACATCCATTGCCTCGCCACGCAGGTACAAGGAGCGGTTGGTTGGTCACTTCGGAAATGAACGTGATGCTCCACGCAAACCCCGTGACGATATCCCCCGTTCGAGACACTTCGATATCTGAAACCAGCGCCTTGAGCACCGCCACCATCTCCGTGGCTGTGATTTGATAGCTCAACGGGTTTGTTGTCGTGACGCCGTTCGAAAGTGTGAATTCGCCACTCGTCAACAACGAATCACCCACCAGCGTGACCACTTGGACTTGCGCCGGCAAGTAATACATGTAAGCCGCGCCCATGCTCCAGAAATCCACGTCTAGCACGCGTTGAGGGCCGTAGTTGGCTTTGGGCGCGCCGACCACAATGGCCCGTCGATTGATGGCCACCGACGCGCCGAACTGGAACACGTGGGTCAGCGACAGCAGATTCACTTGGTCGACGACGTAATCGTTGGCTCGGAGTTGCACGCTTGGCAGCCACCCCGCCGCCGTTGTATACGTATACACAAACGCGACTTCGAGCCCGGATGCCCCCACGACGATCACACTGCCGTGGATGGACACGGCGCCTCGTCCAGCGTAATTGTCGGTGATGGAAATCGCTTGCGGCTCGGAGAAGGTGACTTCAACGGACCACACTCGCAACGCACTACTGCGCCGATACACGACCGCGGACGGCGTCGGGGGACCGGGCGATCCGACCACGAGCCGAAGGGTTCCGTACGATCCATCGATGGCCACGGACGTCCCAAACCGGCGTCCTGGAGTGCATGGCTCGGGGATGATCTTGGCTTCTAGCGTCCACACCCCGGACCGAGAATTGTACACGAACACGACCCCGCACTCCACGCCCCCGACGGTGGCCAAGGGGGCCCCCACGGCCGCCAAGTTGACGCCGTCGAAGAACGCAACCGACTCCCCCATGCGACTTCCGGGTGTGACGTCCCCCGTGAGTCGGGCCGAGTACGACGCGGTGCCCATGCCGCCGTCGCCGTTGTCGAGGATCGTGATTTTGGACCACAATTGGCTCGGAAATGTCGGCCACATACCGGGCACACTGAGGCGAATATTGATCGTTTCATCTGGGTATTCGTACACACTGTCGTCCGTGGTGCTCACGACAAACGTGGACGATATCGTCTGCGGTGGAAACGACAACTCACCATCACTAGGTGTGTAGTCGGACACCCCGAGGTAGTCGAATTGCGCGTCCACCCACACCGATCGGTAGGTCGTGCTTCCGTACGACTGCGCGCGACTGTGGGCCGTCCCGATCATGGACGGCATGAGGAACCGCCCCTTGGGGACCAACGGGTACGGTTCTGGCCCCATCACATTCGGATAGTATTGCGCGCCAGGTGTGTCGGCTGTCACGTCCAAAATGCACAGTTGCTGGTACGGTCCAATGTACTTGAGTTCCAAAGCCGGCACGCGGTTCTGACCGGCCATGTCGGTGATCGCATCGCCCGTGTCAAAGTCGACAAACTCGAGCGTGGTCCTATCGAAATGCCTAAGATACCCCCATGTTGAAAGTAACGACGTACGTTGTTTTCATGATGCACGACGTTCCAAATGCCCCGCAGCGCTGGACGGGGATCGCCACGGACGCGCCCTCCAACACGGAGTACGTCGGGCTTGAAAAGCGGAAATCCAGAAACCCCATGTCGAACAAGTACGCGGCGCCGCTGTTGATCGCGCTGAAGAGTGTGTCGGCGTTGTACGCACCCACAATCGCATGGTATCCGTTGCGACTGAGCGACACGGCGTTGCCAAACATACTGTAACATCCCTCCACAAGGTCAGCCATACGATTCTCGATGATGGTGTTGATATTACCTGTAGTACTGCTTGTTGGTGGGTCGCATCGTGGCTTGCTCTTGCCACGACGTGCCAGTGCGAAGAAACACGTACACGTTGCTTCGAACGACGGGGGGAACGGGTACGTCCAACGTGCATGTGATTTTGGCATTCGATCCTAAGCGGCAATGATCATGAAGATATGGGAAAAGTGTGGTGTATGAAGTCACAAACGATAGTTGTACCCGTGAGATCAGACCCATCGACGCGAAACTTTGGCACGTCGGATGTCGACCCTGAAAACGTGACCGACCACGAATACCCCTGGTTTACATCCGGACCCAACCGCGTGACAACCACCGCGCCAGTGTTTAAATCTGATTGCAACCGCTGCTGGACGGTCGTGGCGGTGGCGTCAAACGGAATCGGCTTGGAATAACTAATCCATGGGTCCACATCACGACGATTGAGAAGAAGACGACGATGGATATGCAAATGACATGAACCACGTACACGTAATCGACTTCAACTCCATCCGTCACCATACGAAACCCCACACGAAACGTGTTTCCCAAGGACGACGAGGCCGACGTCGTAATCGTTTGAATGGCTTTGCGAATGGTCAAGTCGCGATTCGAGTTGAAGCGCTCGTTGGCCCCAACCACAAGCACGTTCTTCACAATCGCCACGCTTTGGCCAAACCCGTCGTGTTGGCGCAAGTCGGAGCCTTGGACGATTTGCTGCAGCGAAAAGAACAAGTCGGGCGAGTAATACACGTACACGGCGCCGCGTCGGTTGTGCCACTTGGAACTCACGGCAATCGTAGATGTCTGCATGTCCACGGCCACGGCACTGCCAAAGTAGTCGCCAATCGCCAAATCACCAGGCTTGGCCAAATCGAATGTCAGCATCGTTGGTGATACACGCAAAACGCAATATACCTGAAGTTGCTGGCGATTCACAAACACTCCGTTCACGAGCTGAAACACAAACACGGCACCGACGGTCCCTGCGTACCCCGGGGCCCCGACAACGATCGTCGTGTCCGACACTTTCACGGCATCTCCAAACCGGTCGCCTTGGACAGATACGTACGGCGACACGGTCAGCTTCTGGTACTACAACGTCATCACATGTTAGGATCGTCAAGATGGGATGGTTTGTACCAAGGACCATGTGACGCCGTTGAACTGGTACACGTACACTTCGCCCTTGGCGTAGCCGGCACCGGGAGCCCCCACAGCGGCAAAGTTGCCTTCGAGCGACACACTAGCGCCGAACTCACTCGAAAGCGTCTCAGAGCCTTGGGTGGGGGTCACCTTCACAACCTGCGTCCACACCCCGGCGGACGGCGACGAGAAAAAGTACGCGCCGCCGCATGGAGTGCCTTTGGCTTTGGGTCCGTCTTCTCGAAGGGACCCTTGGACGACAGATTGGATCGCCACGGTGCCGCTTGTCGCCCCTCCATTGGTTAGCAAGGACGCGTCTAGACAAATATATCACGCCGAGGTCGTGGACTACTACTAAGTGGGACTGGAGCATTGTATACCTGCAACCAATTCGGGAATGTTGCCGGTGGGATCGCTTAAATCGGGCGTGGCCAACGTGATCACAATGACGGCTCCCGTACACAAAGTCGCATACGGCGCTACCTGGATAAACTGCGCCTGCACTTTGAGCAAGGATGCGATCGTGGCTTGAAGAGCCGCCTACGGAGCCCAATACGGTTCACGAGGATGGTTGCATGAGCTGGTAATTACAGGCGGAGCGTTGAATGCGATGGGCGCCGACACTAGCCCCAAAAACGCCAACGTGAACGTTCCTCCATCTGCGATACAGGACAAGGCTTGCTGCTCCATGGCTCCTTTATATACCTGGAGGACACATCACTTCCAGCAGTTTCAACTCATAAACGTACAGCATACGGCGCGCCGACCACAGCTTGTGCGCCTGTTAGTGACAAGGCCACGCTGGCCCCAAATTGATCGCCCACATGAGTGTCGGACCCCACAAGCAACGCAGACTGCACCCACTGTTTGTTGTACGGGACAAACACTGTAGCTGACCCGGCGCTTTCTCCTGGGGCGTTCCCTTGGACAGCGCTCGAATACAGCGACGGATTGACACCGGCGTAATCGACGAGGATGGCGGCGTCGCTTCCGAGCAGAATCGGAACATTGTGGACCAGCGTGATCGGCGTCAACGGCGGCAACGTGCCCAGATTGCTCAGTACCAAGCCATAGATCGTCAGCGTGTTGATCTCGATAAACGTCACCGTCCACGTGTACCCTCCGAACGGATTCTGGGGTGACCTTGCCACATGGACCGTTTTGATTTGGCTGAGGGACTCCAACGCGGCTTTCATAGTTGTGTCGGGCGCGGTCACGGGGATGTCGACAGTCGCTTCGTTCCCTAGCCCCAACCGAAAGTTGCCGTACAATGGCGCTTGACCTTCGCGGACAGTCGTGACAGTCAGCAGCACTTGGTTGCCCGTGAGAAACACTGGCGCCGGCTGCAGCTCGTTGATGTTGAACAGCGTACTCGACGACGAAAACGTGATGCTCCACGTGTACCCGTTTTGAATCGTCGGTTCCGACCGCGCCACGCTATTAGACCACACAACCGTTAAGACATGGTGTATACAGTAAGTACGTCGTACCTCCGAATGGGCAAACTCAAATCCAATGCGAGCCGCGCGGCCATCGTCGCCGCATCCACGTTGGACGGCATGTTTTGCGTTGTGATGGTGCCATATCGAAGTGCAAACTGCCCCGACACCACGGGGGGCCGCGTGATCACCATGGCCGACGCCCCGCCTTTGCCATCTCCGATGGTCGCGCCGTTGCCCGTCAAGTAGTTCCTGGCAACAAGCGTCGGCACATCCCCTACAATATGCCTTCATATTAGAAATCACACCATATGAAATGGTCGTGTACCTTGAGTGTGGAACGTGATCGTCCACTGGTACGCGTTCGTGCAGCCGCAATACGTGTTTTGCTCCCGCGATACCTCGACGCCCGAATCCGGGAGCCCGAAATCCACCTGCAACGCGACTTCCAGCTGCACAGCATCGAAGTCTGCCGCCAACCGCCGCGTCGGCCCTACTGCGCCATACATGAGCGAAAAGTACCCGCCTACGGTTTCCCCGGGCGCGACGCTGCTCACCAGAACCTGCACAGTGTATTTCCAGCGACAGTGAGCTACTTTGGTACACAAAACCACTAGCGAACCCACCTACCTGTATGGCATCTCGATGGACACACGTTGTCTGGACGTACTGCACTTCGTCGACATATGACGTGGCACTCCCCCACGCTGTAATTTCCTGGATGTTGTACTGCTTGGCCATGGCGCCTGCCGACCCCACGATCGCCACGGCGCCGTTCACGTCGACGCTCCACCCGGTCTTGTCCCCCCGATTGTGGACGTTGATGGGCGAATTTCGCACTTCCCACACGGCAGAGTAAGTCACGTCAAACATGACGCTGGCCACAATGTCCGGGGGGGTGCTGAAGTAAATCACGTACTTTAGCCCCATCGTGTCAATGCCCAAGTCAATGTACGACACGCGACCGAGCGACGCTTGGATGATGCGCACCCCCGACAACGCCCCGCCGGGGGGATTCAGTTGCGGGTTTGCCGGTTGCACGGGCGATCGGCCTGCCAGCGTGGGGGTCGTCATGATGGCGCCACCGTTCAACGTCAGCGCCGACGTGCTCGAGTAGTCCAGCTTGGACGAGACATCCCCCGTCTCCACTCTGTACTGGAACACCAATTTGGTGTTGGGTCCCGCGGGCAAATACACCGCTCGGCGCAGCACCACGCCGGTCCGGAGCTCGAGATACGGCACACCCGTGACCGTCACTGTTGTGGTGAATGTGACTGCGACTTGAATCACGTTGTTCACGGTGTACGTGCCATTCACAGTCACAAACGAAATATCTGTGATGTAGGGCGAAGTTCCTCGAACGACGAGGTTGTTGTTGGCGCTCAACGACCCATGGGTTCCAGGGAAGGGCAGGCGGTTGTTGGCTTTCACCGTTGGAATCGACGCCCTATAGCGATCGACAAGCAGCATAAGGCGGCATGTACACGTAGGATAACTATAGAGGTGTGATCCTACAGTCAATACCGGTGGAGTATCGATGCCCCGATCGGCACAAACAGCGACTTGACGTCAATGTATCGCAAATCGCGGGACGTGTCGTCCTGCCCCACGGCATATTGAAACGTGAGCACGGGCGTGCCGCTGCCGCCCACAAAGTCGGCGTTGCGATCGTTTTTCCCCAAGTCCAGCTTGAGCACGGGTTGACCAGTCACGACGACGTGTTCCGAGTAAAACACTTGAATTGTAATCAAGTCGCCGCAAAAGTACGTTCCATCAGGCGTCGTAGCCAGCACATTCGTCACGAACGGGGTGCGCGACGTGTCGATCTTGAGTGCGACGCCCAGTGCCTGGGGAGTCGGCAGCAACAGGTTCATGTTGGTGGTCGGGTTGGTTGTCAGGCGCTTGATCGTGGCTTGGTTGAAATTGAGCGACAGCGAGTTCACACCCACGTACATGAGGTTGGATGTCATGTCGCCCACTTGGACGATGTACCGAAAGATCAGCTGCGTGCGGTCGATTCCGTAGCCAATAAAATGCGCGACCGCGCCCGTCCGTCCCGTGGACATGGCCAGGAGCGGCACTTTATCTGGAAACACGTCGGGCGACGGGTCCACGTGCACCTTTTTGCTCACGACCATCAAAATGTCAATGATATCTCCGACCACAAAGCTGTTCGAGTTGATTGTGGGCGCGGTGGTGATGGCCGCTATGGACACAACGGTGGGGGCGTCCGTGCTAATGGAGATCCCTGGTGGTTGCAAGGTCAAGCCAGTACAATCCAAGTTTACGGCCGCGAAATTAGCATTTACAATCGAACAAGTGGTCGCTCCTGCGCATGAAAACGGCGCCGTCGACGCAATGTCCAAGCTCGGTGTAATATCGTTGGCTCGAACCACGTACAGAAACACAAGCGTCGACGTGCCTGATCCGGACGCGTACTGAATCGCTTGGGTTTGCAAACCCAACTGAACACTGCCAATCACTTGGACAATGTCGGAAAACGTTACGGAAATCTGCAGCACTTGGTTGAGCCCATAGTCCGCAGCTGGCAAATCACAGACAAACCCTGTGACCGTCGTCACATATGCAATGTTGGGATCGACAACCACGGGGCCATTCAGAAGATTCGGAGGCCACGGCAGCGACAAGTCTGCGGCCAGCGTTGGGGTGGCTGATTTCTTTCGAATGGTGCCTCCATTCAGTCCAAGCGCTGCCACGGCACTGTACGCCAACGACGGGGTGCTGTCTCCCAACAAGACCTGGTACGTGAACAGCAGCGTCGCAGTGCCGCTCCCACTCGTGTACAACGCCCGCCGGTTCGTGTTGAGGGTCAACCTAGGAGGTCCGCCGTCGACCACGACTGCGTACGAAAACGTGATGCTAATTGTGACAGAGTCCCCTCGAGTCTTGGTAGCTGGTGCCGCGAGCGCGACATTTAGAATGGTCGGAGTTCGTCCGTCAATCTGGATTGCATTTTGGTCGGCCAGCGATTTCGTGGCTGCAGTCACGGCCGCCAACGACGGGTTTACGTCTGCGATGGCGCTTCCGGCAGTGACGTATCGTCGAATGGAGCCGCCATTGAGCAAAAGTGCATTGTCCGACGCGTAGTTCAAATCCAAACTGATGTCTCCCGCTGCGACAGTGTATCGAAACGTCAACTGAGTGGTGCCGCTCCCGCCCGCGTAAATGGCATTTTGGGCTGTGCTCAGAAAGAGCAATGGAATGCCAGACACCACCACAGGTTTGGTGAACGGCACGACTATCGTAATCACATCACCAGGAGTGTACACGCCTGGGGCTGTGGGACTCATGACGCCCAGCGCTGCGTCCACCGTGACCGCAGTCGAGTCAATCGCAATCGCACACTGCGATGGCAGTCTCTGGAGGGCATTCACAGGCATGGTGAATTCCGCGGCTTGATTTGGAGTTGTGCCGGCGCGGCGAAGGCTCGCTCCATTCATGTTTACGCTGGCGGTGACGTCCAACAGCGCCGAGGGGGTCAAGGTATCCATCAGACCTACCGAATACCGGAATAGCAGCACTTGGGTTCCGTTGCCGGAAATGTACGTGGCAACTTGAGGGACAAGTACGTTGAGGGTGAGCGTGGGCACGGGGACGGCGGCTGGGGGGATGCCCAAGATTGAGACCGGGGCCGAAAACGACACGGCGAGCACCAAATCTTGCCCTGGGCCGAACGTTCCAGCGACGGTGGCGCCGCCACACCCGACCGACACGATGGACGGCGCGGTGGTCTCCACGGCCACAACCGGTCGCAACCCGCCCGTGGTGGGGTCCGGCAAGAGGATGGACGCCGAGTTGCCAAGGCGGTCGTTGATCGTGCCAGCGACGAGCACCAGCGCCACCGTGTTGACGTAATTGAGCGCGGTGGCGGCATGGCCAGGGGTGATGCCGTACGTAAACGACAGCGACCGCGTCCACGTAAGCAACGTCGTGCATCGACCTGTGGCCCCCACCCCGCTGTTGAGCTGCAGCTGCACGTCGCCCGTGGCAATGACTTCTTGCGAAAACGAAATGCTAATCACAAGGTCCGTTCCAGCGCCAAACCTACACTCGATGGCAAAGTATATGAGACATCGAAAACCAGTGAATCGTACGGGGATGTAAACGTGGACGGGAGGAGGGTGACGTCGACGACAGTTGCGGGCACGGGGCTGGCCGTGGACAGAATAAGAGTATTGTACAGGGCTAAACTAGGCACCATGGACACGGTCACGAGCGCCAAGTTTTCAGACACGATTACATTGGCCCCGCGGTCCTACACTTGGCAGCCATAACAATAATATTTTAATATCTACACTTGGGTTTCAGTGGAAGTAAATGTACGTACTCGCAATTCCAAGATCGGCTGCTTGTAAATCGGTTGTCCATCTACGACAAAACGACAACGTCAAACAAACCAGCCGAATCTCATGTGGGACACACCGGCAATCGCGCTCTGCGGAGGCCGCACGACCGCCACGGTAAACAACGTGCCAATGTACACGTTGAACGACGGCCCCACGACAAACAGCCCCGTTTCGACGTAAATCCCCCGGGCATCGGGGGTTTTCACGGCAAATCGAAGCTCGTAGTTGTTGCCCGCGGCGTCGATGCGCAAGTTCTTAAAGCTTGCGAGTCCGTCGATAATGTTGGAGCGGGTCTCGACGACCGGAAGCAGCGTTCCCTTGGACGGGTTTGAGTAGATCGTCGCGACCACCTGCATGTTGGTTTGCGTGCCCAGTACGTTCAGACCAGCGTCAATCAGCGTGATGGTGGGCTGGACGGTGAAGGCTTCGCCCCCAAACGCTGCGATTGGATGCTCCGAGATCACCATCTAACAGCCACGTTAGACATGTTGGATATCGACTGGTATTACTGTTTTCGCAGGGCCGACGGACACTGTAAATGGAAATGTATCAAACTTGTTGCCGCCTGGAAGGACCACTGCGCTGTCGGCGAGGAAGCGAAGGACGTACGGCCCCCCGGCCTTGTCGATTTTCAAGTCGAAGAACTTGCCCAGACCTTGGTAGATCCACACCGTGTACGACGACGACGGCGTCAAGATGCCACCCACGGGGTTGGACAGAATCGACACGGACACTGTGCCTTGGCTCACGGAATCGACAATGTTGCCGCCCTTGTCCACGATGGACACGATGGGTTGCGGCAAGAACGGTGTACCGCCCTGCGCCACCCCGATGTACGTGTACATACTCAGCTTGAAAGGAGGCCCCAGTAGAATGTCAAAAGGCGAGGACTCGGTTTGAAGGCCATGGAACAAGGACGCAAACTGGAGCGTGTACCCACTGCCGACGAGGTTGATTGATAGCCCAGTGCAGATGGCAACCCCTGCAACGATCGGAAACGAGAGACCTGTGATGCCAGAAAGCTGTCCGAATATCGATGGGTTTGTGCCGATACTCACAGCAACCGCGCCAATGTTGATGGATGTCAACACAAGGCCCGTGTCGTCGATGAGTTGAACCACAGGCGGTGGATTGAATGCATCGCCTGCGGTAATCGTGGTCGGCTGGGAGATGACAATCAAGCTATTGGCATCCACGACATGCACGCAAACCATGATCAACACCCAAAGCCATCGAACGATGTGTAGGAAGGTTGTCATGGTGGTCGACGGCGCAACGTGGAAACGAAAACGGCGGAAGGATCCAATCACGTTTTGAAACGACATGTTGAACAACGTAGTACTACTATATTATAACAAAATCTTATAACGTTACAGTTTTTAGTTATAAATAGCAATCTTGACATTTTGAAAGATTATGTTGGGATGGCGGTGGATCTTGGCGCTGTGCGATTGCTGCTGTCGTGGACATGAAAAAGAAGGTACTGTATGCATATGCTCTATCTTCAAGTATTCTCTCACCTAGTCACCGATCATACTAGTACTAGGCACACCGCACGGGGCAACGATAACCGACGACGACTGGAGTGACGACGACGAAGAAGAAGATGTGACGTTTACTGCACAAGCAGCGCCTGGCATGTTTGCCTTCACGGCAGGCAATGTGAAAGAGATGACGCCATTGTAGTGCTGGCCTACTGAGTAAACCCTTCAATCAATACAAACTAGTACTATAGTATATATGCTGGATCTCGTTTGGTTTACTGTTAACTTAGCATACAATGCTGTTTGGCGATACCAGGAACTGCAGGTGAAAAACGATGTAATTAACGTTACTCGTACTAATGTCATTCGTACATTAACACTTTTCCGCATATTGATGGGCTGATGAAACTGCTCGTGGCTGGCTAAAGATAGAATTGGGCACATCACTAAAGATGCTGCGGCCAGGATGGACGCGTGGAATCGCGGCCGTGTGGTACATGGCCATGAACGTGGGGGCTCAAAAGGACGTCACAACATTCTTGGTGATCGGGCCATCGGCAAACCAAACGGAAACCTCTCAAAGTGTACGACCTATGCGGGGATTCATTCTATGATAAGCCTCACGCGTCGTCTACCGGTAGATCAATGCCGTTACCGCCCACGATTCGATGGCATTTACGTTGACCATGCAGCCTTATTCGCTGCCAGTGCAGAGCAACGTACGTTCTATACAATGAGTGACGAAATTCAAGACATATCTATGATGTAGGACACCCAATGGCTCATTCCACCAGGTGATTCGACCCCTTCGAACGACACGACTTCGAAATACAAGAGTTTCGACTTGAACCGCGATTCTGGTGACAACACACAAGTGTTTGTGCAGGTAGGTGCCGATGATGAAAAGTCAGTATCATCCAGCTTACGATTGTCGTCCATAGGTTATAATTCTCGACGAGTCACAGCTCATTCCAAACAGTACACTCGTCACTGTGTTGCTGGTGTCATATTTACGTGGTTTTACGGTAGGCAACTGCTCCAATGCGACGTCCTCGTGCGACTGGGCGACATCTGATGCGTCCGTGACCGATCAACTGACATGGTAAACGAAGCAGTCGCTCGTTCGGGCCACATTCCACGTGCTAATGCTCCGTTGCAGGCTTAACAGCACCCTTTCCCAGAGCCAAGCCCAGTGGCTGTTTGTGGTGGGCCAGCGCCCGCTTTGTTATCGCGATCGCAAAGGGCTATATCAAAATATGCATGCGACCCTCTTGCCTCTCTTCACGGCCTACCAAGTCGATGCGTACTTTGGCATGGACGATTTGGTGTCCCAAGTAGTTCATCTTCCTGTCGGCAGCAGCCCTTTCTTCACGTCATACACATATGGAGCCGCCACCTCCATGCCCTACATGGACATGCTGGCCTCGGTATGTCACCTTGAAAGTTGATACGCGGGTAGGGTCACCAGGTGCTGCATGTAGTGCGAATCCGTCTACCGGGTGCCTGCAGGCAACACCACGTATACCACGCACGAGTTGTCAATGAACACAATGGACGTGACTATGTTTAACAGTCAAGGCGGCGTCGTCTATCGAACAATGCAAACACGATTGCGCAAGCAATTCGAAGGCAAGGGTTCGGTCGGACCCCCAGAGTGCGGCGTGCATATGTGTATATAGACTGACGTCATCGGTCATTGATTGCTTCTTTGTTGGTAGATTTGTTCCGTGGCTTACTGGCGGAGCGGTAATATTGACAGTCGTAGTCGCGATCGTGTACGGGCTGAAATTCAAGGGCAAGCGCATCGACTACCGGTATAATCCTTGCTTCAAACGTCAAGTTGCACAAGCCAAAGTTGACACTGGTAAACGCGTGGTCGACGTGTCCTACTGTGTAACGACATGTTGACCTCACGAGAACGCGGTAGATGGCAGCGGGAGCCGAAGCACCAACGATTTGCCGACGGATGCTGATGATGAGGAAGAAGAAGACGAGTTTGACATGGACTTCTCGAGCGACGACGAGGAAACCAGTGTTGTGTCGGGCACGACGTTGTAGTCACAATCAACACATTATCCGGACGCTTTTGGGGTATGCGGATGACCACCTTCCCGCCAGGTTGACAGGACTGCCCATTGGACTAGCCAATCAAACTGCAGCATGTGTATTTTTAAACATCGAATAAATACAATATACTGCGACCAAGCTATTATATTTCAATTTCAACAATATTATATTGCTGCGGTTTGAAATGCCCTCCCGCCATCTTTCACAATTCCAAAGAGAGCATCAAGCATGTCCTTCTTCACGCCGCCGCTAAAGCAGGTACGTCCAGTGTTGCTGCACGATGATCACGCGGGATATGAATTATTTGTATGCAGAAATCTGCGCATGCGCAAGCACATGATGCGGTGTCGTTCACGTTGAGTCAAGGCAAGAAAAAGCGCTCGATGAAGCAGCTCAACATGGCCGACGACGATGAAAACGACCCCAAGGTGTTTACTGCGATCAACTCACTTGGAAGCATCCAAGACGACAGCTCAAGTGGTAGCGACAGCGAATGCGAGGTTTTCTTCGACGCCAAGCCATCCCAAGCCGACGCAGTGCACGCCCACACCCCCAACAACTTTGCTCTGGACTTTCAGGTATACTTCCGAACGATGCCGACCGACCCAATCTCAACCGTTGACGACGTAGGTGTCGTCTGTGGCCGTGGATCGCGCGGGACGATTCGTTGTCGCGGGGTTCAACAACGGCACCATTCGGCTGTACCCGCTCAGTGGTTGCTCGACTGCGCCAGTCGTCGTGGGGTCGCTCGAGACGGACGCCACGGCGTCCATTGACGAAAACAAGCTCGTGTTCCGCAAGGGGGTCGTGCTCGAACACATTTCAGCCAGGGGCATGTACACGCAACTTCGAGTGAATGTGGTCATTCCAGGTAGCCTTTAGAGTCCCTTGGGATAGATATCCTTCCACGAAACACATAATCTAACACGTGATAGATGACGGACGGTTCATCTTTGCCGGCGTGTACCGCGGGTCCACGGAAATCCTCGTGATAGACATCGACTCGATTCGACTACCCACGGACGTCGTGGGGGTTCCCACGGCCGAAGTCAACACGCACTCGTATAGCGACGCCAAGCTTCGAGTACTACATGCCATGCACACAATATGCATGCGATACGGTTCTAACTGGTTTGTAGGGATTCGGCGCTGTGCGCGCCATGCCCAGTAGCCAACCCTCGTCACTTGTGTACGTAGCTACCATCGAATGTGTTAGGAGGCGCTGGTTCTAGAAGAATTGTCTAGCACGACAGAGTACCAAGTCCTGTGTGGTCTCGGCATCAAGAACTTGCACCTGTGGCGGTTTTACTGGGACCCTACTTGCCGCGACGACGACTCCAAGTGGACGTGGCAGTGCATATTCGACCGCCAAACCAATGGTATCTATCTTTCTATAATATATATATATATATATATTGCAAAAACATGATATTTGATTTTTTTTGTTTGGACAGGCATTTCACTAGAGTATTTGGCTTTCGGGGCAGCCCCGAATCAAATCATTTCCAAGTCGGAGCACCAATCCATACGCGTGTGGACGATCGACGAGACGGCCGACGCCATGACGTTTGACTTTGACGACATCAAGCAAACTCAGGTAACTACAAACTACCAACTAAAAAATATTATATATGTTATATATAATCTCACTTATTTAATAATAACACATATATAGGACACGGTGCAAGTGTGCGGACAGTATGCATTTGGTGGACAGGAACGTCTGGCCATGGTGAGCCTCGACACGGCGCAACGCATTGAGCTGGTACGATCCTAACCACAAGTGTTTGGGGACGGATTCTTGGCTCCAACAAGACTGTTTTTCGAGTCTAACAGGATTTGTGCATTGGTATGGTAGGACCTGCCATCGTCTGTGGCGCCCACTGCGCGGCCGACCCTCAACAATCGCAAGCGGCAGCTGCGTACAGTGACCTTGTTGTGCGGCGTTCCCGACGGCATTACGCTGGGCGTGTGCTCGGACGGAAGCGTATTTGCACATGACATGGCCGGCGAGTCGGGGCTTGGCATTCATTGTCCCCCTGCCCCCGTGACGGGCTACGACACATTCTACAAAGATCAGCGTACAAACGAACATATATATCCTTATTTGATGACGTGGATGTAGCGTCACCGCTGTTGAGCTTGGTGCCGTGCGACGGATCGACCACCGATGACGACGACGGCAAGCAATGGAAGGTTGTCATGGCCAACTCGACGCAGCTGCAAGTGTTGTCGCTCAACGAATTCCTCCACTTGCCACCCACGACCAGAGTCGTGCCGGCGCCAAAGCCACCGAAATCAGCCCCCCAACGCAAAAAACAACCCTCCAAGAAGCGGGTGCCACCTGTCCAACTCGACCAACAGGTGGACTCGACAAAGGTCAAGAAGGCGGCGCCTGCCACCGTCCAAAGCAAGCCGCCGCAGCCGACCGTACCCCAGTGGAGTTACAACGTCGTGGTCACGTCGACCCCTGACCCCAAAAAGCGCAAAGACGCAACCCCCACACTGCTGCTAACCACCCCCGAGCCCAAGAAGCGAAAGCAGCAGCCAGTTGTAAACTCCGACCTGATCGTCAACACGAGCGCGGTCAAGCCATCAGTCGTCACCGCCGAGCCGCGTGAAGAACACACCAAACCGGCAATTACCCCCCACACTTCCCCAGAGAAACCACCACCGGTCGTAGTACCACGCATCGTCCAGACCAGCTGCTTGTACCGCACCCCCGAGCCCAAGAAATCCAAAGCAGCCCAAGTGCTATCGCCCGTCGTGTCTATTTCGCCGTCGTCGTCGCCTTGCGTCCGCACGCCGCTCCCGTCGACTCCACCAGCGACAAACAACTGGTCGCCGTTTGTTATTCCTAAGAAAACCAAGGCGCCAGCGTTCACCCTGGACGAGCCACCACAATCCATCGTGACTGTGCCACAGCAAGAAGAAGAACCGACGGCGCCCAAATCCACTGGGAACGCCCCCGTCGGAGTGCAATGCCCATCGCCGCTTCTGCCCCATGTCGAGCCCGTGATTTCCACACCTGCAACGGCCCGCGAGCCAAAGTTATCGCCAACAGTTGCCAGCCTCGCCACCACCCCCCATCCCATTATTCCCCACGACATGTCAGCAGCATCACCGCCGCCACCACATTCAGACCACACGGTCAACACGTGCGGGGTGCGGCGCCGGTCCTTGTTGATGCAAGTCACGACTCTGCAACTGGACGATCACCTGGATGCCAAACGACCTCGTACGTCCATCAACCACCCACCCACCCCTCCATGACGTTATATGATCGATCGAGTGAGTGAGCGGACAACTAACCGTTTGTTTGCCTAGTCCCCACGGACGTGGCCGTCGCTACTACCCAGCGCTTTGCCAAGGAACGCTCGGACCTCATGAGTTCGTTTCAAGGCGCGCACCGCCAACTCGTTCGACTCGTGTGCACGCAAATGCATCGCCAACAGGACCCTGTGTCGATGGATCGCATCGACCTCGACGCCGTGCGCGAGAAGTTCCAACTGGACGTGAGAAACTTGCTGGGGATGCAGCAACTCGAAGCGGATGCGCTGCATGCGTCGCACGTGATGCAGTGGAGCGTGCTCGGTCTGGACGGCTTCGACATGCCGCGGCTGGTTCCGACTTTTCCTGTCCCCCGGCTCTTTGGCTAAGCCCAATGGCGGCGTGTAACTTAATATGACGAAAACAACCCGTGGCGATAATAATACTCATATCCAACGACCACAACGGGCCCCATTATTGTACTCTATTGTGTGTAAAACCCATTGTAATCCAACCGCGTGCACAAGTTGGACAAGTGCGAATTGTACTACACACATGAACCACGTTAACCACCACTACGGGGCCACTGTATGTGAAAAAAGTCCACGAGTTCAGCACATATATACAGTATGTCTGTACAATAACATTCAACCAAATATGAAGTACCTGCAAATGGGATCGGTGTAGCAGTTGCTGCATAAACTCTGCCAAGAGCGTGTCGAATTGGACTTCGAGTTCCGCCGTCATCCGCACAAACGGCGACATGTCACCCGTCAGTGCCTGCCGCACGTCGTCCGACAGCTCCTTGAGGCGGGCGCGGCGAAGGTCGACGCCCGAGCTCCGTCGAGGGACGGCGGCCGCCAACGTCCGGCGCGACTTGAGCTTCTGGGATGGATTCAGCATCGCGTCAGCTTCGTCGCGGGCTTTTTTGTCGGCGCGGCGGTCCCGCTCGGCCTCTCGTTCGTTGCGAATCGCTTCTTCGTCCAGCCGGTAGGGCTTTGTGAACCGATCGATGCCGTTCGCGAACGTGAGGCACACTGTCATGAGCTTGGTGAGCACGCGGAGGAGGTCTGGGTCCGTGAGCAGGCACTCCTTGAGGCACTGGTCAAGAAAGTCGCGGTGGCAATTGAGGATGTCGTCCACGGTCGAGATCTCCGTGCCGAGCTGGTGCTCGAGCGCGTGCCATCGCGGGGAAATCACTTCGAACATCATGTAGTACACAAAGTTCTGCTGGAAGTGCAGCATGCGCTGGCGGACGCAGTACGACGTCATCAGCGCCGATCGCAGCGCCAACTCTTTCGTGGACTGGTGGTTGCGCCACGCGTCGCACAGCCGCCGCTCCACGTGTTTGCAAAAGAACAAGTGCCGAAAGATCATCTGGTACTTGTTTAACGCCCCCGACGAGATCACGAGCGACAGCGGCCACGATACTTTGTAGTCTAGCGTCAATGCATCGATCGCTTTGTACCCTATTAATCACGTACATATACAATGAGACTTTTATATTCCTATGAGGAATGAATACCCCCCGTAGAATGAATAATATATATTGTCGATTTGATATACAAATTTGGGGAGGGGGTGCAATCGAATCGCGCCGACCAAACCGATCAACAATCGATCTGATTGGTTGAATTTCATTGAGAAATGGGTTTCGATTGGCTAATAATTTTGAGCTCATCTGAAGTAGCCAATCAAATCGATTTAAATTCCAACGACAAACCACAACACGAAATTTCACTCGAAAGCACAATACCAACGCGCTTCGTTTTCATCATGTATATATATATAGCATCGATATACATATGCAACAGAATGAATATATATATATATATGTACCAGGGTCATTCAACGACGACGCAATTGACGACGACAGCGGCGCGCGGCCCACTTTTTGCGATCGTTCGTGGATGGCCTCCATTTGGGAGATGAGGTCGTGCGGGGACAAGACGCACACCAAGTCGTCCTTGTACGGGTCCGAGCTACAGGTCGAGCTCTGCAGGGACAGGTGGAGTAGCGACTCGAGGCGCGACGCGAGCAGCTTGTCGGCGCGCAGATTGAGCTCCGTTTCGGCCAAGTCCATAAAGTCCACGAAGAAGTCGCCTTGGTCCATCAAAAAGTAGTGTTTGATCGACCTCAGTCGTTTCATCAGGTCCTGTTCCGTGCGCAGCATATCCACCAGCGCGTGACTGGCAAACCCGTGCGCGTTGTCAATCAGTTCGTCGTACCTACAACCAGCATGAATAATTGTTTTAATATATAAACAAACATAACCGGGATCAAAACATATATATTTGGACTAATGCTTTTAATATTATTTATATATAAACCATGATAACCAGCATAACCTACATTCGGACTATATATATATATATGCATATCATAAAGGTACATCAATAACAAGGTTGAAATAGAGAGATATACACAGTATGTACCAAGATCCCCAGCAGGCAAATAAATAGTCGGATATATATATATGACTCACTTGCGCACGCTTTCGGCGTGGGTGATCACGGCCGCAAATGGACAGTTGACATGGCGGCCACACGTTCGCAACACGTTCAAGTACTTGCCCGACGTCAAGATCTTGGTCGAGAACCGGTTGAGGAACAGCGGGACATGCGACTCGCGCAGCGTGTAGCGCTGTTCCCAGTACTTGGACCACGGGTCTTCCCCCAGCTCCTCCTTGACGAGCGTATCGTCTGACGCGACCATAAACTCATCGTACGGGTCGTGGAGGTCTCCATAGTAGATCCACTTTTCCAGCATTTTCAAGTACGGCACAGACGCTTTTTCAAGCAAAAAGTTGAGCACGGACGTGGCCTTGGCATCGCCGGACGTGGGCAGTTGGGCGATGACGCTGAGAAGGGCGCCGCCGTGGTGGCCCAGACATGACCGCACGAGCGTGCTGAGAAACTCCATCGCGCGCAAGCTCGGCTGGATGTAAAACCAGATCTTGGACAGATTCAGCGCCCCCTGCTGCAGCGCCAAATGCTCCAACTGCGCGACTACAACCGTGTACTCCCGCACCAGCACCTTGAGCGCCGCGCAAAATGCATGGCACACTTGGCCGTACTCGTACCTCGTGTTTGTTTCAATGTAGTGCGTCACGTGGATGTAAAACTCGCCCAACACGACGATCTTTCGAGCTAGCGCCGCGAGCGACGGGTCCGTGAGCGCCGGATCGATCACAAAGTGCAGCAGGTCGTACATGTCGGCCGACACGTCCCGACTCACGCGCGTGGGCACCTGGATGTGAAAGTGCGCCGATGTCGATGGCCGTTTGATTTCTTGTTTCTTGATGTATTGGCCTTCGATGCCCAGCAAAATGTACAGAATGTCGTCAACCAGCGCCCGTTCCTGCAAAGACAACGGCAGGTGCTGCAGCGACTTCACGGGTTTTTCAGCCACGTCTTCGTGGGCAGGCTCCAGCACGAACGCCCCCGTGAGGAACACGCGGTCGCGGTTCCAAGGCGGGTTGTACGGGATGTTGGACTTAGTGATTTCCCACTCCAGCGTACTCCCTAGCTCGAGCCCGACCTCTCGGAGCCCCACATGCCCCTTTTCGGCGCACAATACGTACGGACCCGAGTACGCTTTCAGGCACACGCGGTCCCCCGACTGCAGCGTGCGCTGAGCATTGCGCACCGCCGGCGCCAGCGTCGCCAACGACTCGTCCAAACCCGACGAATCACCTAAGTGGTGGACGCTGTGCTTCAAGTCGTCGCGTTCGCCGAGCCGCCACTTTTCCGCGTTGGACATGATCGGGCCTTTCTTAGTCGTGACCGTGCGCGACCCGTCCACCGACAGGAACCGGCCCTTGGACGCGCCCGAGATGCAGTAGATGGCCACCGTGTCCGAGTACTTGACGCGGCCTTCGTCGCTGCGCAGCGTCACGTTCACAAGAACAAAGATCTCGTCTGGGTCGAACCCGGTGCCATTGGCATCCACCGTCGAGATGAGCTTGGAACTGCTCGCGTCGGTCCGACATCGGAGGCAGTGGATGTTGCCCGCTCGAATGCGGATGCGCGTCGACAGGTACAGGATGTCGCCGCCGTTGCCGTTCTCGCCAGTGCCCAGTCGAAGCACGTGTGTCGGTTGATTCGACGACGTGATGCTGGCTTGGGTCGTCGTGAACGTGGTCGTGCGCTGCTTCATGTACGAGCTCGACGAGCTGCTCAAGTTCAACGACGCGGACGGCGTGAACGTCGATGACCGTGCGGGTGGGTTCTCAAAGTACGAAGATGTCTTGGACGATCCGATCGAGAGCTGACTCACGGCGTCCAGCGTATTGAGCAGCGCGGAATTCGGACTCAATGGCTCGTCCGGCTGAAACGACGTGGACGGTGGTGCTTCTGAAGACGGATAGAACGTCTCTTGGCTTCGTCCTTGCGCCACAACTGTATCCAGTGTCAACCTACTGCTCGGAGTTAACGGATCCACGAGCCCGTATTTCGATGAAATCGAACGGTGTGGTGTCGTGTTGAACTGCCCTGACGACGGCGATGCGTCGGACACATTGTAAACGGAGGCGACACGTTGGTCGCTGGGAGCGGGAGGTGGGTTCTTGAAGTGCGAGCTGCGAATCACGGCAGACCTGACATCGGCAGCAGACTGCGTCCGCAAGGGGGTCTGAAATGAAGCAGCAGGTGCAGGAGTTGGGACGCTTGCGGTCGACGAGGCATTCGATGCAGGCGCGCTGCTACTGCTTCTGTTGCCGCTCGTTGCCGTAAATCGCCGCGGGGGAAGTTGAGACACATTCAAGTTGAGCTTGGGCTTCAACCTCGGCTTCGGATTCGTCGGTTCCTGCGGATCCATCGAGATACAACGTCGTCGCCGCCTCGCCGTCAGGTGCGTGGACTTGAATTTTGAAAAACGCGGTTGATCATTATCCGGAAATGATTACTAGCTATCCGGACGACGAGTAGATTTTGCGGGGTTTCGGGGTTTACACTACTTCGACATCATCGTCGCATGTTACATGGCTTCACAGAAGCTTCCGGCGACGCGGGTGTCCATACTTACGCTCGTCCCATGCCGTCGTGGGTCACTTGGCTCCAAAGCACTGCCAATACGCATTTTCGTGCAGCACTCGGTCATGGTGGCTTGGCCGCGCACTCCGCGACGCAAATGGGTTCGCTTCCATGGTCCACTGCCAAGAGATGGGCACTTCGACGTCAGCAATGGCGTCACTGTCGTCGATGGCTTCGCATTCGTTGTACGAAGTGACAACGATGGGTGCATGGGGGGCCTCCTGCACCATGCGCTGGAACGTCGGCAGCCACTCGTCGTACCCCCAGACGCCAGCGTTGAAGCAGAACAGGACCGCAGGGGAAATATACGCGCGGCTGCGCAAGTACTCGTCCCACAGCTCCGCTACGTATTGAACGCGCACGCTCTTTCCATTGAGAAGAGACACATGCTCGTTTTTGCCATGCAACTTGCGCGCGACGTTCGGCCCGATAAACACCAGCACGAGCTCGTCCCATGTGTTGGTTTGCCCTTGAGACTGGAACGCCGCGACGAGTTGGTCAAATATTCGCAGCGTCTCTGACACTTCATTTCCTTCTCGGAAATCGGCACCCACGATGTGCAGCACGAGTTGAACATGGGGGTCGACATGGTCTGGAAGCTTATGCTTGTGCTTGTGTAGAGGTGGCGTCGGATGCAGTAGATGCAGTCGCTCCAGAGCCTTGAGGACGGTGAAGGAGCGTGAATGGATGTTAGTCAGGTCGTCTGACAAAGTCGTTTGCGTGAGTGGCGTCTCTGTCCAGTCTTTCGGCGGCGTCGTCCATGTCGACGCGGTGGTCATGTCGCTGCGCCAGTGGATTCACAGTCACAACCACAGTGTAACCTTTCGGCATTTCATTTTTTCATTTAAAATACGCATTCCGCCGTGAGTATTTTAATATTTTTACTCAAATATTTAAAATAAAATACAAAGTCAAAACTTTTGCATTTTCGCCTGCGCAGGATTGCCATGTTGAGCAGCAAACTGCCGAACCCGAAGGTGGTGGTGGAATGGTGTCCGCACGACAGCGGTCTGTTTGCAGTCGGGTCGGATGCGCTCACACTATTTGAATGTCAAGTGGATCGAGACGTGTCTTCACCCGTGCATGCCTCTGGTTTGTCCGTGCGCCCGTCGCTCGAGCCGTTGTCTCCCCGCAAGACAACCCAGCGCCGCAGTAAGGATTTCTTTCGGTCGTTGCAGACCGACGCCGAGGTATCCCAAGTTCGAAGCATGCAATGGTGCCCATTGCCACAGCAATTGATTGCCGCGGGGGTCGGGACGGGCAAGGTTGTGCTCTCGGATTTCACGCAGCCTGTGGTGGAATTGTTACCCCCTCGAACATCCGCTAGCATGACCATGTCTGGCAAGGCGCCTCGGCCGTCCATGCATGGAACCATTGGATGCAACACTGTATCATGGAACCAACAGAACCCTCACCACATCGCCGCCGGGTTTGAAAAGGTGCGCGCTGACTGCTGCGCCTTTGTGTGGGACCTCACGACCCAAGCCTCGATTTCGTCTGTGACTTCTACTCCCCTGGACCTCCTTGACACGACCAAACCCAGCTCATACCGCGGTAGGATGTCCTCCTTCCTCTTGTACGTTCATGCCATCGCTTCACGGATATTGGTCTCCAAGGTCACGGGTATTCGTCGCCGCAGCCGCAGCCGCGCCCCACACTGACAAACGAATTGGCCAACTCGGAAGCCGTTGTGGCGCTGGACTGGCTTCCGTCTGAGCCATCTTGCTTGGCCACGGGCACTGGCTTCAAATGGTACCATATCACGTCCATTGTTGGAACTCACGACACCACTGTATGTAGGCTTCGCATCTACGATATCCGAGCCAAGACGCGGTTCATGGAGTTTAGCGCGCACACCAAGGGTACTTGACAACCCCCCACCACCTCCATACTGCTGCCTTTGTTACCTAACTTTTGATGGGGCGACCGATTGTAGGGGTGTACGGGGTCGTATTCGACGTGCACCGCCCGCACCTGCTCGCCACGTACAGCGACGACCCCAAGGAACCGATCAAAGTGTGGGATATTCGGTCGATTCAGGGCGCGAGGCACGAGAACGAGCCCGTCGTGACCATCCCCGTGTCGAAACTCGTGTCTCAAATCGCGTGGTCCCCCACCCAGGCCGGCATCTTGGCGTCCACTGCCCTAGACGACCGCGCAATTTCGCTGTGGGACGTCGAGCACCAGATCCAACTAGCCACGTCGACGCCACCGTCCCCGTCCGTCCTGAGCAAGCCGTTCAAGCGCCGATCCACGCACGAGCCCGTGTTTGCATTTGCGTGGCAGCCAGGAAGCACCAGCGTAGACGAGCCACCCACGTCGTGGAACCGGATGCTGTTCTCGACCATCGGAGGCAAAGTCGAAAGCCTGTCGGTTCACGACACGATGCCATTGGCGCTGTCGTCGCAGCACGCGCTTGGCTTTGCATGTGGCACGCTCCTCTTTGCCGATCGGGTGGACGACGACGTGCGTACCGTTTTGACTTATTAGTGTTGTTTCCCAACAAAACTGGTAGATTCCCAACGACATTGCCGCACACATGATGCGCCGCGTCCGAGCCGGTTACTCCATGAACGTGCTCACGTCACTCCAACTGTTTATAAAGGACGACCCATCTACCCGCGACCTGCGCTTTGTGTGGCAGTGGGTTGACCAAGTTGAGTCTCTACGCCGTCTGTCGGTGGCTCAAACCGAGATTCCCAGTCTCGAATCTCGAGGTGTTCCAAATACTTTCTCTCCATCTAATGCCTTCTACTCCTCAACTACGCCATGGTATAGGCGGCATGGCCATCCAGCAGCGCGCGCCGCTCCGCGCGTGGCCCGTAGACCCCCAAGCCCTCGTGTCCGCTGGCGTCCAGCATCTGCTCGGCCTGACCACAGTGCCGTCCACGTCCGTGCCGTACGAGACCTCCCTGCGCGACCCGGTGCTCGGCTGCCTCGTCTACGACAGTCTGGGCCGCCGCACCGCGCTTCTTGCGTGTCAGTGGGATCCAGAAGGGAGCCAATCGACAACGTCGTTGCACTTTAGCAACATGCCGCGATCCGCCTCTGGAAAAGTTGGACTGAACCAAGCCCCGGGTGGGTCGTGGCACTCGCTGTACGACGACAACACCGACGGACCTACGTCGTCTACCAACAACAACGTGTCATCGCACCACACGGCGCTGCCGACGTTGCAGTCGTTGATGTCCCAGTGCGAAGCCTCGCTGGACTTTGACCGGGCCGCGGCACTCGCCGTATTCCACGGTGACGTCCAAGCCGCTGTGGCGGTGCTCCAGCGAGGCGCCGAGTGTCCGACCCCGTCGCCGACTCGAGACGTCCGTCAGCTGGTGGCCATGGCTGTCGCCGGCTACTCCATCGGCACCACCGCCCACAACCCGCTGTGGAGCTCCATGTGCCAGCAACTGCTGCGGCGTCCGGAGATCCAGAACCCTGGGACGCCGCGGTACCTGCACGCGCTCTGCTCGTTCTTGGTCACTGCGCGGGAGCTGAGCGCCGTCACCCATGCCGCGGCCCTGCCGACGCGCCCTCCCCGGAACAGCACCGTTCCCAACTCACTCGCGTTTCGCCGCCCGTCCGCGACGCCGACGACCTCATCCCCCGAAGACCCGCCTCTGTTTACCGCCATCTTGCACGACGAGTCACTGCTCTTGTCAGATCGGACAGCATTTGCATGCCGGTACCTCCCCCTCGATGCCCTCTCTCGGTTCATCGACGTCTGTGTTGAGACGTGCACTCGTCAAGGCAACCTCCAGGGCCTTCTTCTCGTGGGTCTGGAGCCGTCAATCTTGCAGGAGTACTTGGATCGCACGGGCGACATTCAAACGGTGGCGCTGCTCGTGGCCCGGGTGGCGGCCACGTCCGAAGACACGGCGCTGGTGTACGCCAAGTGGATCGCCATGTACCGAGACCTGCTCAACCAGTGGCAGCTGTTCCACCAGCGCGCGCTGTTTGACGTGGGGCGGACGCAGCTGGAGGGCCAACTGAATGGGTTTCGCGACGTCGCCCTCGCCCTTAACCACCCCATGGCGACGGAGACCCGCGCGGTCATGTCGTCGCCGCCGCCCCCGCAGCTGTACGTGCGCTGTAACTTTTGCGGGTCGTCGCTGTCGCTGTCGAGCTTACTGCGCGTGGGTGCCGGCGACTGGCTGCTCAAAGCCAAGCCCAAACTCAACAACTGTCCGAGCTGTAAACGTCCGCTTCCCCAGTGCGCCCTCTGCTTGCTTCCATTTGGCACGCTCAATCCGTACTTGGAGCTGGCCATGCGCAAAGGCCAAGACAAGAAACATGCGCTGATGGAACACGATTCGGCCACGTCATCACCATCTACCCCCGACAACCTGTCGGACCTGTCGAGCATTCCGTTTGTCGAGTGGTTTACGTGGTGCCAAACGTGCAAACATGGTGAGCTCTCCTACTATAGCATTAAGATGTTGATATGGGGTTGGTTTTTGGATCTGTGACACGGGGCTGGGGTTGGGGTTGGTTGTAGGGGGCCACGCCCACCACATGGCGGACTGGTTTGCCACACACGAAGTGTGCCCCGTGTCCGACTGCGACTGCACATGCAAACGCCTTGACGTCAACAGCACCGTGGGCTGCGCCCCGTCTGGCCCAATTGCCCCTCTAGACAGAACCGCTGGCCCTCGTACGTGATATGTGATGATGCATCGTCGTGTGGGTTGAATGAAATTGACATATTTTGTGCGACTATGTAGCTACCGCCACCACGGCGGCGTCGCCACTCACGGCCAACCGTGTCCCAGACAACCACATCAAATCGCCCAATCTACCGGCGCTCACATCAAGCTTATCGGCCATCAACCTAAGTGGCCTGAGCTTTTGAATACAGCTTAAATTGCTTGTCTGCTGTGCACTCGCGAATAGTACAGTAACTGTAATAATGTCCGTGCGAATGCAGCATATTGGTTGCACCGCTAGTCTTATTGGTATCGCAGTACCTACAGTACTACGTAGTACATCTTTCTGGCCTTTACGATAACGCTATCACTGCTGAGCTACGATAGATGGCACGACTCCATCTCTACTCCCTGGGGACTACCCGGTACTGTAGCAGAGGAGCCTCGTGAAGGCCAAGTTAAGGTCACAATAAATACTGTACCGTACGTAGCCTGGCGCGAATATGGCCGACGTTCACAGACAAGTCACCCCAGAAAAACGCATACTGGAGTATATTGGTCTGACCAATCACAACCCGTCAACGTTGTATAAGCCAATCATACTCCTGACGTCACGTTCAGCGGATGACACGTCGTTGTATCCGGATGGCCTCTTGCGCTCAAATCCGTCAGTTTCGATTTCATCATTCGAATGGCTCCGCAAAGCGAACTTCGCCAACGTGCCGCCGCCGCCGGCGGGACGGAATCCAAGGACCTCAAGAAGACGTTCACGTGGCAAGAAGTGGCCAAGCACAACCATGCGGGAAGTGCATGGATGATCGTGCGCAACAAAGTGTACGATGTCACGTCGTGGGTGGACAAGCACCCAGGCGGAGCCGAGATGGTAACCTTGCACTCTGGCCGTGAAGCCACGGACACGTTTGACTCGTACCATCCCTTCAGCGACAGGGCCGAAAAGGTCTTGGCCAAGTACGAAATTGGCACGCTGGCTGGTCCTGCCGAGTTTCCTGTGTACAAGCCCGACACTGGCTTTTACCGCGAATGCCGCAAGCGCGTGGGCGAGTACTTTGACAAGAACAAGATCAATCCCCAAGCTGGTTTTGCTGGTTTCTGGCGCATGATTGTCGTGATGGCCATCGCCGCCGCGACCTACTACGGCATGCACTTTTCCACCATCTTGGCGGTGCAAGTGGCTGCCGCCGCCATTTTCGGCGTCTGCCAGGCGCTTCCCCTCCTGCATGTCATGCACGATTCGTCTCATGCTGCGTTCACCAAGCAACCGTTCATCCGTGAATTCACCGGTCGCTTGTTCATGGACTGGTTCGCCGGTGCGAGCATGGTGTCGTGGCTTAACCAACACGTCGTGGGCCACCACATCTACACCAACGTCGCGGGTGCCGACCCCGATCTTCCCGTCGACTTTGAAGGCGATGTCCGCCGCATCGTGACGCGCCAAGTGTTGAAGCCCATGTACCGCTTCCAGCACTTGTACCTGCCTCCGTTGTACGGGTTGTTGGGGCTGAAGTTTCGAATCCAAGACTTCACCGATACGTTTGTGAGCCTCACGAACGGCCCCATCCGCGTCAACCCCCCCAGCCTGTCGCAATGGGTGCAGCTCATCCTGTCCAAGTCGTTCTGGGTCTTTTACCGCGTCTACATCCCCCTGGCCGTGTTTCACATCCCCCTCTCGTCGTTCTTGCCGTTGTTTTTGGTCGCGGAATTGTTTACGGGGTGGCACTTGGCCTTCAACTTCCAAGTACGTACATACATGTACATTTTGTTGGTTTCGTATCCTTGGCCATGGTAACGTGATTGAATTGTGTGTAGGTGAGCCACGTGTCGACTGAATGCACATACCCCAACGGCAGCGAAGTCAAGACCGTCCTGGATGACGAGTGGGCCGTGTCCCAAGTCAAGTCGTCGCTCGACTACTCGCACGGGTCGTGGCTCACGACCTTCCTGGCAGGGGCGCTCAATTACCAAGTCGTGCATCACCTGTTCCCGTCCGTGTCGCAGTACCATTACCCGTCCATCGCGCCCATCATCATGCAAGTGTGCAAGGAATACAACGTCCGATACCCCATCTTGCCCACGTTTACGGCGGCATTTGGCGCGCACTTGGACCACCTCAAGGAAATGGGCCGTCAAGGTGTTCCCGTGTCGGTGCACATGGGATAAACAACAACCGAACGTGTAATGTGTCCATGCAAGATGGTGAAGTTTGAAACTACTAAGAGTCACAACAACAATGATGATGCTTGGATGTGTTGTGTGGAATGAACGTGCATATTGCAATCCAGTGTGACAATAGCAACAACAATAAGCGATCACAACAGCTGCTTGGCTAGGCATTATTATATACACTGTATGACAGCACGGACACCGCCCCAGCCAGTCAGCCTTAGACGGTTTGGTACGCGCTGCGGAGGGGCTTGGTCTCCACAGAGTCGCCGCGGATATGGTCCACGTTGCGCGCAGTGTGGTTGAATTGGACGTACGCGCCGAGGAGGAACAACGCGACGGTGCCGCCCAAGTAGCCCCACCACGACGTCGGCACCGCCTCGATAAACGACGCCGTGGCCTCGACATCCGTCAGTTGCTGGACCGTGGGGTACCCGCCAATGAAGTGGCCCAACGCGCCAACAAAGATGGTAGCACCCCCGAAAGAAGTGGCAATGACAAGCGCGGGCTTTTCGAGGTAAATGGCCGCCAAACCGCCCAAGAGCGACCCGACAATCAAGAACCCGTAGTGGTAGTAGATGTGGTTCACACCACCGACGCTGGCAAAGACGGACGTGACGAGGAGGAAGGCCGCGGCCCCACCGGCGACGGCGCCGACGGCGAAGATTCCAACGTCGTAGAAGTACACGACCAAAATGGCCGCGATGAGCCCACCAATAAAGAACCCGACCAAGGCAGGGCTTTCGTTGGCAAACACTTGGAGCAAGATGTCGTACGAGAACACGGCGCCCAAGAAGAACGACGCGATGAAGAGGACAGGGTAGATCAACTTGTAGCCGGCAAACGTCACGGCCAACGTGGCCAAGATCGCGATGGCCGCAATGATGTTCTTCAACCACCGGGCAGTGGCCGAGTCACCACCAGCCAGCTCGTCGATGATTTGGTCACCAGTCTTGTTCAAAACTTGGTCCACTTTGGAAGGAGGGATCGTCGTGCTGGCGGTCTGGGCCACCACGAAGGCAACGCACATGAGGGCCACAAGCACATGCTTTGCAAACGAACGGGTAGGGGCCATGACTTCAGGGAGAAACTTGGCAACTGACTCATGCGCGAAGGGAAGGCTACAGACCAACATTCTAACGGCTGCACGGCATACAAACATCAAGTGTTGGGAAGTGGGAAATACACATTGGTGCACAATATAATGGGAAATATGGTCAAAAAGTGTATCCACGGTCGTATTACAGTAACCTTGGAACTATCAATTCTCATAAATCACTTCTGGAGGAACAGTACTTTGTTAAGGCAAATGCTGTCAATGACGTGATAGGTGGCCTGGGATAAACAATTGGGATATTCATTTTCGACATGGAGGACCTATCCGGATAAACCCGTGACATTGAAACAATGTTGGCTGGCGCTGATTTTGAACAGTGATCTTGAGCGGCAACGTCAACAACGCCATGCCAGTGGAAGTCCAAGTGTTGAGCGTGGCATCCACGGAGATGTCGCCTGCAATCATTGTAACCGAGGAGAGCCAAAGGTATAGTCTGCGTGGGTTGAGTTGCATTGACGCCCATTCATTGCAGGTATCTCTTCAATGCTGGCGAAGGTCTCCAGCGATTGTGCATGGAACATCGCGTCCGCTTGGCCAAGTTGCATCACGTGTGCTTGACGGAGCTCACGTCATCCACCGTGGGTGGCCTACCTGGCTTGATCTTGACTGTGTCAGATACAGGCAAGAAGGGTCTGAATGTGTTTGGTCCATCTGGAACGAAGTCGTTCATGCGTGCTACTCGGCACTTTTTGCACAGGTAGCGTGAGCATTGCCGTCGTTCTCGCCAACTCATAGAGTATTAGACCCGACTTTGCCATGGACATCCAGGACTTGACTCCTTCGTCCGCCAAAGTTGTCCACAACGAAAGTTTGAGTTTGCAGCCCGTGGTCGTAGACGATGCGTACGCTTCAACCACGACCACCAGCGACACCAGTCCGTCCCACAAACGAGCCAAACTCATGACGACTGCAAACCCAACGACCAGTGTCAGCTACATTGGTGAAACGCCCACGCAGCGGGGGAAATTCCTTATCCAAAACGCCCTGGCGTTGGGCGTGCCAAAAGGTAAGATGATCCTTCACATCATGCAAGCCTACCATCATACTCGTAGGTCCATTGTGCGGTAAATTGCATCGTGGGGAGGACGTTGTGATCCAAGTGGACGGAGTGTCTGTGACTGTCAAGTCGAGTGACTGTGTGTCGTCGTCGGTTGCAGGTCATTCATTCGAATCTCAAACGTACAGTGGAGTTATCACGTTGTCACATGAAAATAGGCTCCGCCTTTGCTATCGTGGCATGTCCTACGGTGGGCACCATTGATTCCCTCGTTCAGCAGCCTCAGTTTGCTCGGTAAACACGCTGCTAACGTCATTCTCATTGAGCTTCGAACACAACGTCTAGGTATCAACAACCTAATTCGGTCGTGAGTATGACCTTGTTGGTGCATCTGGGCAACACAGCAGTTCTCGGCCACCCACACTATATCCAGTGGGTCAAGTCGTTTGGACCCCACGTCCACCACATCTTGGTACGTGATACGGTGTCTCAAGTATATTATCATGCCTGGCAGGTAAACCACCCAGAATGCCCGCAATGGTCCGTGTTCCGGTCGAGTGCGACGCTGCAAACCCAGTTGCATCACCTGTTTCCGTCCAACTTCGCCGCGCCGCACCACGAAGTGGCGCCCGTGGAGCGTGTCACCGTTGCTTTTGGAGACGCGACGATTGGAGTACAGTAAACCTAGCCACACCCCGCAATCTATCTCATGTAGTGGGTGGAATCGCTCGCGTACGTTCGTAGCTACCACTGCTCAAGTACATACTCACCCCTTCCGCCAAGCAAGGCCTGGATCGATCGCTTGTCATGCAACCATTGGACTTGCCTGCCATCCACATGGACACCGAGCAGACGTTGGCGACCGCAAAGGTTTCGCTCACCCACAAAGAGGCCCCCACAATCACCGCAAATGATTCGGGTATATATTTCAAGATTCTAGTTTTCCAGTTGGATAGACTAAAGATGCGTTTTGCTCACGATGTAGATACCGTCGACGGTCGAGTGACGTTCCTGGGCACCGGATCGGCCATACCATCCAAGTACCGCAACGTCACGTCCAACTTGATTGCAATCGGGTCGAGCTTTCTCCTCTTGGACGCTGGCGAAGGATGCTATGGACAACTCTTCCGCCATGTTGGCGGGGACGATGGAAAACTGAAGCACTTGCTGGAGAACCTACATGTGGTGTGGATTTCGCACAACCACGCCGACCACCATTTGGGTCTAGTGCGGCTCTTATCGCAGCGGAATCCGTTGGTAAGTTAGTAGAGTCATCATATTTGCCTGTGAGGTCGTGGTTGCATCTTGATGAAGTATGGACTGACTTGATGTGGTAGTTGCCGCCCGTGGCCATCATTGGGCCGACTGCCGTGTTTTATTGGCTCCAAGAGTACGGACGCATCGATGCAACTGTGGCAGACAAGTACCTGTTTGAAAACAACACTGCGTATGACATTCGACACAACCCCACCAAAAACTGTACGTACAGTAAATATGTACATCGTATATTTCAGCCAATTCAATATTGTTTTGCGTCCGTAGTGGACCCGTTTGGCTTGCACAAGCCCACGATCGACGGCATCTTGGCCACATATTTCGGCATCGCTACGTAATTATATAGTGGTTTTGGCTTGCTTTGGGTACTAACGATGGTGATGATCGTATCGCCCGCCGCCATAGATTTGAGTGTGTACCCGTGAAACACTGCTTCCAGTCGTATGCGGTGGTATTCACACTTATGAATGGGTAAGTAGTACTCCGTCGCATGGTGATGGACGGACTTGTGCAAACTGACGAGTTGGATATATGCATGTAGGTTCAAGTTTGTGTTTTCGGGCGACTGCCGGCCAAGTGATTTGCTGGTGGAACACGCCATGGATGCACACGTGTTGATTCACGAGGCGACATTTGAAGGTTGGACAATTTGTAGTGATATGTTGGCATATGATCAAATGATTGAAAGATTGATCGAGTTTCTGATGGGGCTGGTAGAAAGCATGGTGGACGAAGCCAAGAAGAAGGACCACTCGACGACAGAGGAAGCCATTGACGTTGGCATCCGCGCGAACGCCAAGCACATTTTGCTGACGCATTTCAGGTATAACGTTGGTCCTTTGAGTCTATATAGATTGTACATACAGGCTAAGGTTTGCAGTCAACGGTACCCGAAAATGCCAAATTTGAGCGCAGACACGTTGGAGCGCGTCATGACGGCCCTGGACTTGATGTCGCTTCCCTTGGACGCGTGCCATGTCCCGAATATGATGCTCGTACGACGTCCACGCAAATCAAAGCGAAAACTCACAGCAAACGTAGGCATGCCAAGCGTTGATGCCAAGTGGAAGCGACGGCGCAGACGAAGACCAATAGACCCCCCATCACTCCTAGTGCAATATCGTACTTCGAAGTAATAGATTCTAAAACAAGGCAAGTTCACCGTGATTTCCTTAACATTTGGACGAATACGTGATCCATTCTCAGCCCAAAGTCAGCTATTAATTGGCGCCTGAACAACAACATGTACATAACGACGTGCAAGCAAGTCCGTCCATCACGGCATCGCATGTTGACGCTATTGGCTGGTTTTGCTAAAGATAGCGTGGGAGAGGACGGCATATACATGATGCACGAACGCTCGAGCAGAAGTTGCCGTGCAGGTTCCCCACCAACTGGCATCTTCCACACGCTCCGCTGTATCGGCATATTCCAATTCACCATGTCGAACAACAAAACGCGCACCACGGGTGTGCCAAAGTTCCTTCGCCACCTCTACGCCATCCTCCACACCGAGGACTCGTCCATCATGTCGTGGTCCATGGATGGCATGTGCATTCAGCTGTTCAACGTCAAGCGCTTGGAAGCCGAAGTCAGACATGGCGATAGCATGCTTGGGTTGAACAGACGGGTTTACATGTACAGTACATTGTGAACTTTTGGCAGAGTCGGCTACACTTGCATTCTTAAGGCTTTAATCGCGAATACTCGGTATGGCCGCTGGTTGGCGATCGTTCGTTCGTTGAAACAAGCGTGAAACGCACATTTGTCAAATGGTACTATAGTAGCTTATATACAATGTGAGTACTGTAGCTACTACTATTCTCGCTCGCCTTAGTGATAATTGTGTGGTGGGGATTTTGCCGTAATGCAACGAAGCACGAGTGGATGAAACAAATACAAACTTTGCAAGTCGTTAGATCACAATGTAACTGTCGCGATTCGTTCCATTCGCGATGTCGTCGGTGCTTTGGTTTGAGCGATGGGAAATGCGAGACAGTTGTCTCTTGGACGAAGTATTCTTGCGCACTTGCCATGCCGACAACTCGTCGTCGTCCTGCACAACATCAACCATCGACCAATATGAAGTTGCTCATCCTACCGAACGTATGCTCAGGGCCCTCTGGTACTCCATCAAGGCTTGGTGGGTTTCCATCATGTTGCCCATGTCCTCGTTGCGCGTGTACGTGTTGAACGACAGCGTAGCCGGGCGCCGGGAGTCTGCCACGTCGTTCGTGTCGTCCACTTTTTGCATCAAGTTGCCAAAGATCGAGTTGGGTTTGGCCACCAACTACACCATCCCACACATGAACGGAATCGATACGAACTCATCGTGTATACCTCTTGGAATTTGCCATACTCGACGATACTTCCCGCGTCCATGACGACAATCAGGTCTGCATTGCGCGTCGTGTCCAAGCGATGGGTGACACTAATCACCTAAGCCACCACATTCCATTAAACACAAGTCCAACCACTCGAATCGACCGTACTGCCATGTCGAGCGTTCGCGTCAACCGCTCCAACGTGGCCACAATGTTGGCTTCCGTGTTGGAATCCAGCGCACTCGTCGCCTCGTCCAACAAGAGCACGCTACGCCAAACCACGTCACGTTGTCCGCTTCTGCCAAACAGGGTCTACCTCGGTTTACGGACCAACGCGCGCGCCAAGCAAATCCGCTGCAGCTGCCCGCCACTCAAATTCACCAGCGCATGCTGCCCCACGACCGTGTCGTACCCGTCCTTGAGCTGCTGGATAAAATCGTGGCATTCCGCCGACTCGGCCGCGCGTTTGCAGTCGTCGTCTGAGGCCGTGGGCTGGCCATACCTACGCCACCCCCATATACATCCCGTGGGGTCATTTCAAAGGAATGACCAAGCACATTGTACCGGATGTTGTCCAAGATGCTCCCGTTCAGAATCCCGCCTTGCTGAAACACGACCGCCAGTTGGTCGCGCACACTTCGCTTCGAAAATTGCTTGACGTCCGCGCCGTCCACCGACACTCTGCCCGGCAGACACGGGATGCAGCTGCATGAGACAGCCCAAGAGCGTGCTCTTCCCACACCCGCTAGGCCCGACGATGCAGCTGTATTCGCCCTGCATATCCCCAGATGACGTACGATATACGAGAAAGCCTGAGCCATACCTTTTTAAACACAACGTCCACGTCGTGCAAGATGGGGGGTCGGTCGGCGGAATAATGAAAGTGAACGTGATGCAGCGCAATGTTCTTTTGCATTGGTGGCAACTTTGGCGAAGGGTGTGCAGTGTGGTCGCTGCCCTTGGGGATTTCGTCCATCTACCCCCATCATCAGTCAACATACATGCTTCCAAATGTTCGTCGATATGATATATCGTACCAGCAGCACTTCGTCCAGACGTTGCAAGCTACTGGCGTTGCCAATGGCTACACGCATAAACCCGCCTAAGACACTTACGGGGGTCGACACGCGGCTGATCAGCGTCACACTGGCAAAGAATTCACCCGGTGTAATGTCTCCGTTGTACACCTACAGATATATTGTTCATTGCGTGAGCATTAAAATTTATATATATATAATAAAAAGTCGATTCGAGTGGGGTGCTCCATCGAATGAGCAGCACCATATACATCGGCAGACAATCGATTGACCAATCAAAACCCAGAACACTCATCAAGTGGCCAATCAAATCCTTTATTCGACCAATGCATCATCAAATTAGTGTGTGACTGGAATTAGTGTGACACTGGACGATCTTTCCATACAAAACGCAATCAAAAGAATCGATCGATAGATGTGGCAAAGAATCAGCGCAAAAGTCCACCAAATTTAGAGTAAAAGAACAACAATATATATTTATAGGCACGACATATACGTAGGGGGTACCTTGATCGACAAGCATGCAGTCATGACTGCGACAAAGATAAACATGGCGCTTTCAATGTAAATTTGTACAATGCCACTCCAAAAGTCCTTGCCAAACTGCGCGACCCCCAGCGATTGAATCGACGCACCAAATTTCGCCAGCAGCGGCGACTGTATCGCATACGCGCGCACGACCTAAAACCAAACCACGTCACATGTGGACATACGTAGTTGGCCTTACCTTTTGACACGCAATGGCGTTTTGGTACTCGGCCGACACGAACGCGTTCTTTTTCCCAAATTCTTCCGACTTGGACGCTGCCAGGCCCTGGGGTCCCGACGACACGACGATCGCAGCAAACGAGAACGCCATGATACCCAGCACCGGTTGAATGTACACCAAGAACCCAAACCCAATCGCGATCGTGACGATGGGTTGCATCAAGTTCTAGAATTCAATAGTGAATAATATATATATATATATATATAGAGAGAGAGAGAGGTGCACAGACCCAAAACACGGCCTGCCACATCGCATTCACTCGTGCAATGTCCGACTGAAACAAATTGTTGAGGTCGCCGTCCGTGCGTTGGTTGAAAAACTGAATCGGCTGGTTCAAAATCACAGACAGGAGCTTGTCTTGCATGCGCTGGGTGGCTTTGGCAATCATTTTCGCCTGGAAATACCCTGTCCATCCAATTATATATTTCCAATATACTAGTGTATATATATATATATATAAATTGTATTGTATTGCGTACGTGGTCGAATATATATAAATATATAAATTGTATTATATATTCGACCACGTACGCAATACAATACAAAAATACTATACGAATCCATATATCATTTTTCCTGTATATGGAAATATCGTGTCCATTCACTTCGTACCACATTTCCAATGTACATTTATATATAAACAACGTGAAACCACGTAAAAAACAATACAAAAATAATACATGCATCTCTCATTTCCTTCACTATATATATTATATATATATAAAATGCTCCAAGACGCTATATACAAACTATTCCACCAAAAGATATATCGTAACATCATCATATATGAACGTACCCATGGCGTAATCGCACACGACAAACGGCACGGCCAGCGCCAAGATGCCCATAATGCCAAACTGGAGCGACTGGAGCGGCTTAAAGATGTTCAAGTTGTTTTCCTTGGGGTTCTTGCCGTCTTCGTTGGCCATTTCGTCCTTGTACGTGATGGTTTTGGTCACGTTGATGATATTCTGGCCAGAGTAGTCCCAATATGGAAAGTCCGGGCTCAGCGTCATGTACCACGGAAACGCTTGGTCCGTGAGGATCTGCAGGCAGTACGCCATGGCTGGGACAATGCACGCGTACAGCACCACCACGAGCACCGTCAGCCACAAGTCCACCTGTTGTGTGGTCCTAACACGGCTCAGGGACTTATAGGTATTGAGGTTGAGGTACCAGTGGCGAAACGTGGACTTGATCACTTCGAACGCGCCGTACGTGCTCTGCATGGTGCACGTCGCGTCCACGTGTCGCAAATGTGTCAGGAATGCGTCCACCGACAGCTCCTTGGGGCGGTACTGCATGGCTTTTTGGAGGAATTGCATCAGTTCTTCGCGGACCATGCAGCCATCTTGGCGGCCGCAGATCAGCGCCAAGTCCGTCTCCATCATGTCGACCGACGCCTGACACACATGTGGTGAGCGTGGAATGAGATGTAGGAACTTTGTACCGCCGAGATGCCGGGAATGCGGTGAATCGCCGCGCGCAAACTCAGCAAGTTGATCTGCAGTTGGTCGTGGTTGGCATACTTGTGTAGTTTCTTTGAAAACGTCCGCGCGCGGGGCTTGAGGCAAATGCGCGCCGCAACAAAGAGGCAGTATGTCGCGGCAATGTACTGCTCCTTCTGGTTCGTGTTCACTTCGTGGAAGAGTTCGTACTTGTTCGTCCATGCACCTTGCGTCAAGACCACCTCGGTGACGTCGTCAGCCCAGACAAACCTTTCATGCACGTCATAAACATGGCCCAGTCGGGGGGACGAGATAGAGAAGTAGTCATGTACCGTCCAGCCAGGGCGAGGAATAGCAGTACGACCGCTAACCCGTCAAAGATTGTGGCGGTGTTGCGGAAGTACGATCGACGGAGACTCATGAGCCGTCCCAAGGCATCTGTGAGGTACATGGCCGCGCACGCGGAAGACATGAATCGCGTCGTAGGTGCGGCCTTGTAGAACGTTTCTGTCGACGTAACACTCGTCACGATGCAGTTGCCGAGGAAGTCGAGGAGAAGCAACGTCGTCAAGAAGTAATGCCATGGTCGACTGTCCAGGAATTGAAGGAACCGAAGACGTATACTCTTCTCCTGTGGCTCGGTCGCCGCGCTCGATGTTGCAGCGTGCGACTCCTTCTCCCGCGCCATCGTACAACCGTCGCAGAATGCCAGCTGAAAACCATCCCAGGTGAATTGCCCAGGTTTATCCCATTCACTGATGTGTTAATGCGAACAAATGTCAAGCAATAATACAGTATTGTGTATAAACTTCCAAATTCGCATGTTTTGTCTACTAGTAATCAATATTGAATCACGCTGGAGTTCTGATTGGTTGAATTTACTTTTTCTGTTTGTACAGCCAATCAAATCCACTCAAAGTTGGACTAGCCAATAGCGTCGATTCGTGATTCGATCCAAATTTGTACCTTATCCACAATACTGGTATTGAAATACGGCACGAGTCTAGACTAACAGTAAACACTATACTGGGAGGACTAAAGTACTAACTAGTACGTAGTTCTCCAAAGACTCTGACTTCTATATCATGGCACACTAGCATTCCTCCTCGATTCTCAGTAAGAACGGCTTCGCAATATCAACTCCGCCACTTACCACAAGTAGAAGTCATACTGCAACGTAGATGGCCAGTTTATGGTGCACCGGACAGTTTAAGGTGCACTCAAATTGGCCAATGGAATTGCTTGATATTTGGAGTAGCCAATCGAATCACTAGAAAAATAAAATCACTAAAAATAAGCAAAAACAGCATACATATTTTAAGCTTACAGTTAAACGCTTTAACTGTGCACCATAAACCGTCCCTCCTATTTTGCCTTAACTTGAGTGGAATCGAAGTAAATGAACGCTAAGATGAAGTCTACTCAAGCCGATTAAATAATCAGAAGAATGCCCAACCTTTCGGCTTCATGCAGCCCTTTTCAGAATTGAAATCCCGGTCCTGGGAGACGAATAAGCTGCATACCCTTTCAAGTGCACCATAAACTGGCCATCAACGTGATATCACTCATAACGAATATCCCAACGTGTATTTCCCTTCCCTCCCTGAATTTTGCATGCCAATAAACATATGTGTAATACAAATACACTGTACCGATAGTTGTGTCGGACGTACAAATACATGTTTGTCAAGAACTTGAATCCAGAGGGTCTATTGGTAATTAAATCCTCCAATACGTTGTGGTTAGACTAACGTTATGCTTAAGTTAGATGTATCTGGCTCGAATCAAGTAGTACTATACGTATAGTACTCGTCATGCCGTTTGGTATAACTTTACACGTTGACGTTCAGTATCCACTCTTTGTGTTTCGAAAACACCGTTGAATTTCGTTATATTTCCTCAAACTGGAGAATTTGGCCAATCGGAGGAGTCGCTTGAGCGCTGTCGTATCATTTCATTGGTGCAGACGTATTAAATTGACCAATCGACGTGCACTCATCGATGGATCCGATGGCAAAAATCTTGCGCCCATGGACAACTCGGACGACCTGATCTCGCTGACGCTCAAGCAGAGTGGGTACGTTACGTGGTCATGCACGTTATGTCGATCCGACTAAGCCAAGTAGTTGGACCGGAGATGTTGCACCTATGGCGTCGATTTCCGCGCCAGAGTTGGTCGAGCTCGTGACGTGGGGGTTTGCTCAAATCGAGAATGCTCAAGAACCGCTCAAGTTCGAATTCCCGAAGGGCGTGGCGCAGCGTCACCGCCTGGCCGCGTCCTTGGCAGAACGGCTTAAGGCACGCATCTACATCGTCTCAAGTAATGATGTGACATACCATCACTCATAACCACGACTAGGCCCTTGGATATACGCACGATTGTGGGTACAACCACCTGCTCTACCCCACCGAGGTGGACTCTCGTCGAATGCTCCAGTGGATTATCCAAAAGCTGCCAAAGGTGGAGAAGGAAGTCATCGACGTCGACACCCCTCGTCTTCAGTTTCGCCAGAGCATGCACCACGCCTTGACGCAGTGGGCCACGCTTCAATATACTCCTTCAGTCCACCATCATCGTCCACGCCACCGCACGTCCATGTTGCCCGCCGAGTGGCTGAAACCTGGACGCGCCAACCCAGGTACGTCGCTTTGAGTCCCTGGGATTTGGTTGAAGTGTGGGTGGTATGTAGCTCGTCGGGGTTACATTGCGTCCAAGCAACCGTTGATCACTGACAGCACGTTGTGTCCCCTGCACAAACAGCGATCTCTTTTGGAGCTCAACGCACTGGCACTAGCCCACGACTCGTCCCGAGATGCCCTCCTTCATCTTCTTCACACTTCAGAGGTGCACACAACACTGTGAGTTGCATGGTCCATTCAATGTTATGCTTCTCGTGGCAGCACGCGCCTTCAGTGCCGACAGCGGCGTTCGAGTCGATCGTTCAGGCTGCGTTTGAGTCTGCCAGCCAGCCCGCTCACCAGCAGGACGCACATCATCTCCCCACGGAACACCGCAGTCGTGCCCTTGACAAGCCCAACGGCCCAACCGCTATCCCCATCTTGGCTTCAACTACGTCGTCGCTGTCCAGTGCTGCGTCTACACCCTCTGTCGACGCTGGTATCACAGACGCCAAGGAAGCCTCTGTCGACACCCGTACCCAAGATGAACTCCAAGTGCGGTGGCACCAACATGTCCTTTATGTTTACTACTTCTGTTGTAGGCCATGGACATGGAGCTCATTCAGCTCCGGGAACGCTGTGCAGCGAACGAGGCGGCGTGGCATGACTTGCAAGCCGCCTGTGAAGACCAGCGCAACGTGAATCGGCAGGTGGGTGGGTTGGTTGGTTCCTCGTCGAAGCACTGGCGTGACATGCATGTGATAACTTGGTAAACGCGAGAGGTTGCCACTCACGACGTGCACTCTATGAGCAGATTGAAGCGCGGTCGGCGGTCAAAATGGACGACTTGCGAGACGTGCAGCAAGATGTGGCCATCCGCCACCAAACCCTCGACATGTTAGCCGACGCCTCCAACAACATTGCCAAGTTGCAGGTACGTACGAGTAGTAGTAGTATTACTAGCAAGACACTAGTAGTAGTTTTGAATTTGACGTACAGGACATGTGCGCCAAGAGCTCGGCGCACTTGATGGCGTTGGCGGAAGAGTGGGAATCCCATCGACTGCCGCTCGTGCAAGAGCTGGAAGCGCATGCGGCGACGCAAGTGCACCGCGTCGTACGTTGTTTTGATGGAATATGAACATGTTCACAAAGGTACTTGAACGGGAGGTGTGACTTCTTGTGTGTGTGCACAGGAGCAAGCCAAGGCCCTGGAGGCAGAAACGACGCTGTTTCAAGCAGAAACCAAAGCGTTGGGTACGTAATTGAAGGCGCCACATGGGATGTGTGTGACGTGGCAGCAGGGGAAACGTTGGTCGAAAAGCAGGCGCAGCGGCACTTGTTGGAGCGAAAGTACGACGCGATGGCCAAGGGGATCAATCGTAGCATGTACACCCTACGTATCATGGACATTATCAAGCAAGTGCACAAGCAAAAAGCGGACATTCAAAAGGTGTGAGATTTCGAATGACGAAGGAGTGATGGTGGTAAAACGTATGTGGTGGTGGTAGGTTGTCAAGGACATTCGGTCCGTGCACAAACAAATCAACGTGTCGTCCGAGAAGCTCAAGCGCAGCGAAGCGATTGTGGTACGATCAATCGACCGTGTTGGCTGGGGAAGCCGACGGGGTTTGTAGGAGGAGCGGCTGTTCCAAGCGGCCAAAGACGACAAACTCCGCCCCGAGAAGAAGAAGCTGTACATTGAATGCTACCGCCTCTTTACGACCATCCGAGAGCTGTTTGACCAACTGATTGCGTACGACTGTGTGCCATGTTATACCTACACGAGTCAAGATGGCACGCACGTGTATGTAGGTGCGTGGCGGAGGCCGGCAAGCGAGACTACCAATGCCGCGACCTCGAGATTTGGATCTCCCAGATGGCCCACCACGTCAACCTAACGAATCTGGACCGTATCCACCAAGACATGACCCAAGTCAAGCACGAGAACCAAGCGCTCATGCACGAGATCCAGGCCATCTCGATGGCCACGCCTTGAGAATTGCTCCGATCTCCGTGAAATAGTAACCTGTCATTGGCTAATTATTTGCCAATCCGTTAGTGAAACTTGTGGAGCTTGAGCATATGGTCCAATAAAACGTAGTCTAGGAATATGATTTCGACCAATGAGCACGCGATTCATTTATTGGGAGTCCTGTATCTGTTGGGATCAGCATTTTTGTAGGTACATAACAGTACGTAATACGGTAGTTCATCTATAGTACGGATAGACCTGAATATCCGTATAATTGGCCTCCACCCAATAATCAGCGCGAACCATTTCCACTTGCATCAACATCGATGATGCTGAGCACGAACGAGCGCGACTTCTTGCTGGGGTCCCTCAAGGTCAACCGTAAGGCGGATGTGAACACGGTACAGCGAGCCGATGGTCGCGGCTTGCTCGAATTCCGACGCATGCAGATGTCCCTGCGTCGGTGTCTGCAGGAACATCAAAGCGAATGTGAGTTGCAGCTCGGTCGAACGCGGGTATTGGCCGTCGTGTCCGGCGAAGTCGTCGCTCCATTTCCCGATCGACCGACTGAAGGATTTCTCCAGTTTCAAGTCGAACTCTCGCCCATGGGCGCTTCGATCTTTGAGCACAAGCAAGCACACAAGGCATGGGCCGCGGAGCTGTCCCGCATCGTCGAGCGCTCAATCCGCGATTGCAAGGCTCTGGTTCGTGATAAATCCTTCCAGGAACTATTGGTTTCATGATGGCCTTGTGTAGGATACCGAAGCATTGGCGATCGTCGCAGGGGAAAGCGTGTGGGCCATCAAGTGCACCGTGCACGTATTGGACCACGGCGGCAACTTGGTCGACGCCGTCTCGATCGCGTCAATTGCCGCCCTCATGCATTTCCGCCGACCAGAAAGCTTGGGTATGTCTTCTGCTTGTACACAGCTATCGTGTATTCGCAGCCGATCGATCGTTCATTCACTTTGTTTCTTGGTAGGCAACGACAGCACGTTGATTCCGTTGAGTTTGCACCACATCCCCGTGTCCATTTCGTTCAGCTTTATCCAGTTGGACCCGGTAACAAACATATAACGTCACTATGACGTTATCGATAACAACGTAGAACGACCAAGACGACCCCGTGACATTGTTGGATCCCACAGACCGCGAAGAAAAGATCGTCGACGGTTCGTCCCTTGTATAAACTTCAGTGGTTGCTTCTCCACGTCATCATGACTCATTATAGGATCCATTACGTACACGTTCAACTCGTTCCGGGAGCTGTGTGCCGTGCACAAAATCGGCGGGGTCTCCGTCGACACGAACGTCGTCCTCCGCTGCGCCAACATTGCCGCTGCCAAGGTAAGATAAACATTCGACGATCATGTGTCGATATGTTGATATGCTATCATCCTATCCAATGGGATGATGCTCATGTTTTGAGTTTGGGGCGATCGCGGTAGGCGGAAGAGTTGACGGATATGCTCAAAGAAGAAACAGACAAGGCCGACCGCGTGGCCATCGAGCAGCGCCGCGCGTACCTCCGCGGCAAGGAGTTCCTCGACGCGTCCGTCGACGCCCTGTCTGTGCATGTATGTGACACCGTTGTGTCCATTCATTGGTGATGGCAATGTTTGCTGTTGCGTAGAAACCGGCGCCACTGGATGTGTCTGGACTGGACAAGGCCATGGAGGACATTGTCGACTTCAAAACACTCCATGCGCCGATTCCACTGCGGGCTGACCACGCCACGCAGGCGGCGGACGTCCATGAGCTCATGCAGTCCCTGGAACAAGCCAGCGGTACATGCGACCTCGTAGTAGTGGTTCTCCACGTGTACAAGGAGTGATGATGCTCATGACGATTGTGTTGGTGTAGAAGGACTGGCCATCACCGAGGCGGCGCGAGAACACTTTCACCAACTCACGCAAACGGTGCATGTGACCACGAAACCAGTTGGGACCGCCGCCGCCGCGGTGGACGACAACAGCGATGACGATGACGAAGAGGCGACGGTCATGCACGTTCAAAGCGAGTTCCACGCGGCCAAGGCGCCAAAGGTAGTAGTAGGACTGACTGCACATGTGTATGATGTGGTATGCAAACAACATGATAGGAGGAACCCATCGAAGACGTGGACATGGGGAGTAGCAGCTCGGACGAGGACGACCTGTTGGCGGCGATCAAGAAGAAGTAGATACAGACAATATAGAGACGACGAGTGTGTGAACCATCGACGTGTACGGGTTGTTTATTAGGGGGAGAGAAGTCGTCGTCCACGGTAGACAGACACACAACCAACAGCAATGAATACTTCTTAGTTGCGGCTTTGGAGGATCAACTCGATCTTTTCAATCTTGGTTGCGAGGGACAAGTCGATGAACAGGTCGGCGATTTGCACCTTGAGGCCGCCGAGGATGGTGGGGTCCACCACTGTTTCGAGCAACAACGTTTCGCCCTTTTGCACGCGCGCCTTCAACGCGGTTTGGACAAGGGCCAATTGGTCCTTGGTCAACGGGTCCGCGCTGGTGATCTTGGCCTGCACTTCGCCGCGGTGGGCGCGCATCAAGCGGTTGTACGTTTGGATGATGTTCTTGGCATCGCCCAAACGGCCGTTTTCGGCGAGCACCGTGAACAAACCAGACACGGGCTTGGAGAACTTGGCGGCGTCCATGACCTTGGAGATGTCGTGTTTCTTTTCGGTACGGGAGATCGTCGGGTCCTTCAAGAATTCCGCAAACGTTTGGTTGGCGACAATCTCGTCGTGGATCGACTTGAGTTCCTTTTCCACCGCGTCCAACGAGTTCTCCTTGGACGCGACCGAGTACAACGCGTTCGCGTACTTGGCATGCAGACCAAACAGCTGCAGCTTGGGCGCGTGCATCGACGCGAAGCCATCGATGGTGGCTTCCGTGGCGGTCGAGAACGAGCGTTGGAGGGTCTTGCGCAACATTTCGGCGGTCTTCAACTCCAAAGGGGAAAATAGCAGTCAGTGCGACGAGTGGTTCCAATCGACGATCAGCTCCTCTTAAAATGAATACCTCTGAGATGTAATCATTTATCTCGTATGGCGATGTAAACCTATAAGAATGAATATAAATATGACCAATCAGAAACGAACTCGAGGATGTGCTGCGCCAAAACACAGTGGTCAAGACGATGGTAAGCCAGCCAGCCACATGAGGCGGAAGCACTAGACTGGACTGTGCGGTAACGTTGCGCGCAAAGCTCGATATGAAAGACAGAGGTTTCATCAACCAAGCTACGGACACTTTATGTGCCGAACCAGCGTGATAGAGTCTATCGTTAACATCCACCCTTTCAAAAGATCCGTAGAAAGTGCAACACAATCGTACAAGCTATTGCCACAGCGAGGATGATCATGTCTGTCCTTGCTAAACATACTCTATATGCAGAACATATTAATGTTAGTAAGGGTTCGAAGTTAGTTGTCTTCACGGATACGTTGTACATGTGTTGCGACAGTACTTGGCACTCGGTTGCATCCTAAGCTGCCACGAACCAAACAAACTCGTGCATCGTTATGCATGGTAAATATGACTACGTCGTTCTCCGGTTTACTCCAATTGCCATTGGTCATCCGACGCGTACTGGGCCAACGTACACGCGCCCCAGTATGATTGGTACTCAATGTGGTCTGGGACAAAAGCATGGACCTTCCCGAGCAGTTCATGACGACTGACGACGACTTCTTTGACGAGGCGGCGCTTGAGGCCTGGTAGCTTGGACACCCGGCCGGATAAGACCACAGCGCCGAGCAGCTCGTCTTGCACGATGGGGTCGCAAAGGTCGACACTTCGAAGCAGTGCATCGTGGAGCCCTCCCCACGTCGACCCTAGAAGGTCATATGGGGCAAAGGGTATGAACAATCACTTGATTTCGTAGCTACCTTGAAGATGCAGCGACGGTTGGAAGAGCACTTCTGGACCGAGATAGAGCTGCATGTCGGCTGCAAGGGCCCACGACGCCATGTCCTTTTGAATCTCAAACGATACTGGGGGGTGCCTACGGAATGTTAACGATTATAAGGCGACGGTTTTCATCATAACTTCGTACGACGTATGATCGCCTCCACCTTCCTTCGTCGCGTCATAAGCCACATGGGCCTTGCTTTGCTACATCAATTGTCAAACAGGTGAATATGGCATCTTAGAATTGAGATATAGGACCACAATAGCCGAAGCCAGCTGCATTTGCATGTCGGGGGCCAACGCGGCAAACGGCGGCGATGACGCCCGGAAGAGGGCGGCTGTATGTTCGACCACATGGTGTCCGCCCACGAAGAGCTGGACAACCGCATGTGTCATCTAGTCACATCCCATGAATGAAGTTTGCGATAACATTGTCGCATATGGTTCGTACGATCGTTGAGTCATAAATTGGTACCACATACGTGGCGTCCACTCCAATGTCGACAACAATGCCTGTTGTGAGCCCACAGTTCCGCAGCACCATTTCCGCCGTCGTTGGCAGCATCAACGCCGCGACACCAAACTCTTGCAAGAGCATCGTGGACAGCTTGGCCTTGTCTTTGCGACTCAGCAACGGCTTGACCACCGCCACCATCTGGACACATGTCCAATTTGAAAATGTAGCCTTCGTGGCAAAATGGAAGTGCACTTTTGCCCTTTACCTTGTACTGGGCGGGCCGGACGTCCAAGTCGTCAAACACAATGGAAAACATACTCTTGCGTGTAGAAGCTTCCATGAGCGACCGCCTTCGGGAGAGGTATCCCCCCAACGCGATCGTGTGGACGCCCTATCATTCGTGGTCTTAGTAATACTAGAATGCTACTAGTATTGTACATCGGCCTGTTCGACACACTCGAGGCAGGTTTCCACGGGCGATGCAGTCTTCACCACCTACGACCACCCATTCACCACCGATTTCATGTCGACGCTGTATGTCTGTACCGAGAAATCCAGCGCTGGCAACACAAAACCATCACCTGCGTCTTCGTCGACAATCCCCGCGAGGACGTGGCTTGATCCTGCATGCACCACGATCGTTCCGACACAGTTTTCAAGCTTGGAGAACGGCCCGTCGTCGATGATTTTGCTGCAAAACCGGGCTTTGATCCACTCGAACGCGGCCATGTCACTGCCCAAACTCGCCATGAACGTGTGCAGCACACGAGTGTCGTGCCCTTGGGCCAGTTCGTGCAGAAAGCACAGCGTCACCGTATCGTACAGCGAACTTCGCAGCGCGTCTATCTCCATCGTTTTGCCTTCAAGGAGGTTGTTCATGTACGCGACGGTGCAGTCCTGAGTCGTGGAGCGCGCACTCGTCAGCGTCGCAATGCCCTCCACTTGGGCCGACATCGAGTCCACACATTGCCACAGCCGCGTAATCTCACCCTCCTTTTCTTCAAATTCTGCCATCGTGATCGCGTTCGAGTTGGACGCAGTCATGGCGTCGATAAACTTTGCTTCCCAAGATTGCGCGGCCGCAGTCTGTGCTTCTAGTTGCTGGGTCAACGTCGCCACAATCGCCTCGAGGTCTTTCTGTCCGTCTGCCCGCAGCCCCCGCTCTCGCTGCAGCTCGCCTTCAAGCTGCGTGTACTTCCACATGAGGTCGCTGTATTCGAGCTCCATTTGCTCCTTCTCGCCCAGCAATTTTGCCACGCGGAGGGTCTGCTGTGTAACAAAGTCACTGGAATGTGGGTGTGCGGCATCGTCGGCCTTTTCTGGGGACGGTTGCGGGGTGGTTGGAGGTGCTCCGAAGAAGGACGTTGTCTTGGTCAATTTGCCTGGGGAGTCCTTTTTTCGCAGAGGGAACCGAAGTTTGGTAGGAGCAGTCGACCCCTGGCGAGTGCTGCCGTCGCTGCTGCCCGAGTCGCTATCCTTGTCTTGGGCCTTTGGGGGGCGATGTCGATGATAAAGATCTATCGTTGAGGCACTTCGCAGAAGTGATCGTTTGGAAGATGCGGCTTCCTTTGACATTGGAGGAAACCGCTCGGCCGAGACAATATGGCTGGAGGATGGGGCCATGCTGGATGAAGTTAGCATGGATGAGGTACATCGAGTGGGAGGTGGAATGCGTGATGACGATTTGTCAGGGGACTTTCCAGAGGCGATGCTAGTTGCAAAGTGATGGCTAGAAGTAGCAACTCCGCGATGCCTGTCATCCGAAGGGAATGCTGTGGCGGAGGGATGCATGGCTGTAGCAAAATGAACCGATGGGATATGGCTGACCCTTCGACGAGACGAAGGTGGAGGGGGCGGGGGATTGCAAAAGGAATCACCTCCGAACGACACATGTGGATCGTCGTCGGCCATGGCAGCCAACGCCTTGCGCAAGCTTTCTGCTTTCTGGGAAGTATTAATAGCACGCGTTTTGTAAGGGCAGCTATGCTTCAAGACGTCTTTGTTCGCCAGCCCCATACGAACACATATGTATCACCAACACTATTAATAGACTTGAAAGTACATCTCAACACACAAAGTAAAGAGCGTCGACATGCCTAGCATGACGCATGATAGTTCCCGGTCAGAAAGGCATCCCCCCACCAACTCTCGCCCTTCGGTATGTAGCATCCTCGTCGAAGGAGCCTGCCTATCTCACGTGCGATTCGTAGGTGATTGCCAAAGTGCTCTTGTCTACATCTGCCACTCCAGCTGTGCAACCCACGTCGTCCGCACCTTCGTTTGGTTTGCACGAGCGACAGCATCGCAGTCGCCCTCCGTCTATAGTCACGTCAAAAATGTATACGAGTCCCGGGGGACAGTATCACGACCGACCTATTCCGGCCATCCCAGCTAAATTTGACCTGTCCTCACCTCGACAGGACATGCCTTCTTACTTGCAGCCTGACACATCTAGCATGCTCGCAACCATATCGCGATGCGCAACGTTCTCTACGTCAATCAAGCCACCAGGTGATCACTTCAAGATGTCCCCGAGGTCTCAAAATCGAAAACACTCTTCAATCAACCTTGCAACTTGCATGGAGTCATCGGTCCTAGATGTGCCTAATAAGTCGCGGGAGAACTCGACATCCGCGTCAACAGCGGCGGTGGAAGCTGCAGCAGTAGGGGTGGCAGCCCTCGAGCGCGAAATCGAGCGGATGAAGATCGAGAGCCGATTCCGTCAAATCGCGTACGACCAACTGGCTGCAAAGCACCAAACGTTGGTGCTTCGGTCCGCCAACATGTGTAGCCAAAGCACGGTCACCGACTGCATTGATCAAGTTGCCCAAGGGACCAACACGGACGTTGATTACGAGCGTGAAATGTCCAAACTCACCACCAAAATCTCGTCCTTCCAATTTCTCCAAGAAGTAGATCGCAACTTAATGGAGTCCATGCGTCGCGACCACACCACACAACAGTCGGATTTTCTGGCTGCCAAGGCCAGCCTCGAAACGCGACTTCAGGACGTGACACTGGACCTTCAAACTGCTGAAGCCGGGCGTAGCACTACGTTGCAACAAGTTCACGACTTGTCCACTGCTTTGGCCTCAAGTCAGTCGTCGAAGGCAGCTCTTCAGAATGGCCTGGAGCAGCTGGAAGGCGAGTGCAGGCAAGCAACACATTCGTACGCAGCTTATCTTCGGCAACAAGAAGTCAATGCTGTCGAGTTTAACATGACAGAGAGGTTGCTCAAAGAAGAAAGGAACGATCTCGAACGCAACTACCATGAAATGAAGCAACAGCATCAGTCGGCGATCACGAACATTCGAGATATGGAGCATTTAACTTTGCGTTTGCAAGGTGATCTGACCAGAGTCACTGTCGAATTGGAGGCCCAACAAAAGGCCATGAGCCTGGCTCAGTCCGACAGCAGCGCGCTTCAAGCCAAGTGCGTTGCGATGTCAGCAGCATACGACGCTGTATCTGCAAAGCTGGCTGCCACGCAAAACGAATTGACAGCACAATCACAATTGATGACACAGATGCATCAAACACACAATGCCGATAGTGATATGGTGGCCACGTTGACAAGGCAGCTGCGGGAATTGCAGGACGCCAAGGACTTGATGCAAGCCGTCCACGAACGGCACACCCAAGCCTGTGATGACGTAACCCGTGCGCTTCAAGCCAAATGCGTCGCAATGGCCACTGCAAACGACGCTGTTTCCGAAACGTTGACTGCTACGCAAGGCGAATTGACGAGGCAGTTGCAGGTGGTGGCTCAAATGAAAGTTCAGCACACTGCCGATAGCGACCTTGTAGTTGCGTCGCAGCGCCTGCTGAAGGATACCAAGGACAGAATGGACGCAGCCCAAGCTCGACAAGTCCAAGCGTGGGATGTCGAGCGGGGGTGCTTGAAGGAGCGCGTGGCCATCTTGGAAGACTCGATCGAAGGCCTTCGCTTGACCAACGATGCGTGGCAGGTCAAGTACCAAGCCATGCACTGCCGCGTGGGGGACATGACGTCGCAGTTGGAAGCTCTGCAGCTCCAGTGCGCAGATGCGTTGTCCACAAGCGACGACACAAATGCAAAGTGCGCGCGGGACATGGACCACTTGGCGCGCACAAATGTCGACTTGCACGACGCGTTGGTGGCACTCACAGCGCAGCACGAGGCGAATTGCAACCACTACGACCTTGCAGTCGAGCGAATCGAAGCGTTGGAAGTAGCGGGCGCTCAAACCACCGTCAAGTTGAACCTGGCGGCGTGTCATCGCGAGATGCTGGTTCAAACATTGATCAAACTAGACGACCAGTGGACCCAAGCCCTAGCGTTGGCGTCACAGAACGCTCAAACGGAGGGGGCAGCCGCAGTGGCGGCGAAAGAGAAGCAATGTGCTGAGCTGAGGGATCAAATTGTGTCGATGGACGCGATGTTACATTCGTCAACTGAATTGAACGACGCCCTGGCTCGGAAATGCGACGACTTGGAAGCGCAGTGCCGAGTGGCAGATGCCTTCAAAGACTCGTGCCATGAACTCTTGGCCCGATGCGACAGCCAAGACGCGTGGTTCGATGCCGTCGACAGAGTACAGCTTCCACCGACGCCAACCCTGAATGAACCAGTGCTATCCCCCACCATGGAAACACAACCGACGGACGACATATTCCATGGAAGTTATGAAGTTGTGGCGGAGATAGCACCAATGGAAATGATCGAGAAACAGGACGATGGACGTATCGTGGCGGTGGTGGTGGGGGCGTACCGGGTTCAAGCTGGGTTGGTGTCGGCCCAAGAGGATGGATGGTCGTTACCCATGCTGCAGTGGGAGGTATGTCTCAAGGACATCACATGCATCGAAACGAAGTACATGCTGGGTGCATTCTAGGTGGACCAACACTTGTGCAAAGTTGAACACGCCGTGTCCCCCTCCTCCGTACACACGACAACTGAAGTGGTGGTATTTCGCTTTTTAACGTTATATTGTGAATTAGTCCAAGATCGTCAGGCGCCACTCCCTCTGTATCCACCGCTCCCACAGCCCCGACGAGGATGCCCCCAAGACCACGACCGCGTTTTGGGCCAACCTGTTTCACCACCTTGGCATTCTCGAGTCCAAGGCCGTTCAAAAGGTGTCATATATATCGACTAAAGTAGTATGTTATCTGTGACGCTGCAGATGGTGGTGGTGCATCCGTGTGGCTGGCACGACGACGACGAAGGCAGCGCCGTCCGCCAACTGCTGACGGAGCACCACGTGCATCGAGTCATCGTCACGACCACGGCCCAAATGGCACTGAAAGCTGCGGGCATGAGCACCGGCCTCGTCGTCGAGTTCTGTGTCGACGGCACGTTTGTCATCCCGATCTACGACGATGCGATTGTGCGTTAGTTCTCTTCCTGGTACACCATCGCAGATATGTATTCAAACGGTGCGTAGGTGGCCCACGCAGTCATACAAGTGAACGTGGGGGAGATGACGCTGCTCGAACGAACGACGTCACTCGTTCGTGTCGTATCCCCTGCATTCGCCGCCTTGGCCCACGTCGATCAAATGCACTTGGCATCGGCCATCATTGTAGGGCTTCGGCGGCGGCATCTTGATCTACTGCATCCATGTTATGTATCCCCGTAGCAACGCCACGGCCGCGTGCGCTACGACATGGAGCCCTCGTATGTACCCGTCCCATCGCCGTTTCAAAATCATGCAAAGTATCACTCGTGGTGGTGTAGGCAACCGACGGTGATTGCGTTGAACGACGGCATCGGCCATCCGTTTCGTGTCATGTTGGACGGGGAATTGCATCTGGGGCCTGAAGTGTACTTTGAAGATCCTTCCATGGGTACTAGTACTAATACTTGTATATCCAGTTTATGGATACCTGCCCCCTGTTGACAGATTGAATGGTTGTAGATGGCACCGTGCCCGCGGCGTTGCTGGCGAGTTTGGATCGATGCGACCCCATGTACATGGACACGTTTTGCGGGTCGGTGGTGTTGACTGGCGCCATGGCCAAGCTGCCCGGTCTCAAGCGGCGACTGGTCAAGGAAGTGGTGCTCGCACGTCCGGAACTGCTGGGACAGCTCTTTGTGGACGTCCCAGATGCGTCCGACATGCAGCCGTACTGGGGAGCATGCACGTACGCCAAGTACGCCGCGGACGACGAATGGACCCAACAGGAACGAAGCCACGCCACGACAATATTGTAACATTTGTGTTTATGTATGTATCCTGTACTGATCTACAATTCTGTCCACACATCAACCGGCCGTGGGCTAGCCTACTACTACATCTTCTTCTTCTTCTCCACGCAATACTAGAGCGGCACGGGCAAGGCGCTGTCGGTGACTTGCGTCGTGGACGTTGAGAAAGTTGAAATCGTCGTCCCCGAGCCCCGTCTACCACCACCACCACCAATACACACGAGTCATGAGTTATCATACATACATAGTCATCATACGCGCGCACACCTCTCGAAGGTAGTCGAGCGTGGCAAATCCCTTGGACTTGAACGTTTGAAAGTAGCACGCCAAGTCGAGCGAGTCGAGCCACGTGTAGATCTCGTCGGTGGGGTCGACTGGGGGAGGGGGGCTTTCGCCGTTGGCTAGCTCTTGGCCAGCCAGATAGTCTGCCACGTGGATGGCTCGGGTGAGCATAGCCACCCACAGCTGCAGCTCGTGCGCCGTGGACGCCCGGAACGTCCACTTGACGCCACCGACTGCAGCATGCTCCAGCGTCCACCGCCGATTCGCGGGTTTCTATGGCATGTTATTGATCACGCCTATAGGGCAAAGACTAGTACTACTACGCAACCAAACCTGCTTGACACGGCACCCTGCCAACGGCGTCGCGTCCAGTTTGGGCGTTCCTTGGTCGTTCATCGATTGAAAGTGCTTGAGATTTTTGAAAATCGACAGCGTCGAGTCCTGGAGGACGATCCACCGATGCCGCCATCGACGCAGGGGGCCATGCGCCATGAGCAGCGGTCCCGCGTACGCAGGCGCGGACGTCTCGTCGAAATGCAACTCGTCTTCATGATGATGAGTCGAAATCCAAGACCCATCGTCGTGGCCACCAGCTCGATCGTCCACGACTGTGTCCACGTGGGCACTGGAAAGCGACTCGCTTTCGTTGTCATCGTAGAAGCTATCCACGGATGACGCCTTACGCAACATGAGCTGCTGCTGCTTTTGGTTGATGTCCAAGTCTTTCTGGAGGTCTTCGAGCCATTCCACCACCTATGTACATACACATCATGTTGAATGGAAGGGGAAATAATCGGGGGACGACGACTACGCACTTCTCGCGCCGTCGGTCGGTTCGTTGGTTCAAACGCTGTGCAGTTTTCAGCCAGGAGCACCAACGACGACGGACATGTCGGACGGACGCCGGCGCGGAACTCGTCCATGTCGATCGCAAAGTTCTTGGCAGGTTGGCGCTTGAGAAACCCATCTTCGTTGACCTATGTAGAGTCGCCAGTGTCATATAGTGTAGGTAGCATGCATGTCCGTTACATGACGCCGACAAAGAAGCTCCATGAGCACGATGCCATAGCTGAAAATGTCGGCACTTTCATTGTAATCTTCTTCAAATAGCATCTCCTGTACACGTGTATCCCTCGGGGGTGAGAGAAGAGCTTGTTGTTTGGATCGATCGATCGATCGATTCTTCGTTCCATCATACCGGGGGCATGTACGTGTCTGTGCCGCAGAGGGACATGCGGCGCTCGCGCTTCGGGAGCCCGCAGTCGATGGATGGATCCTGCGGCGGCGGCGGGTTGTTATCGGAGGCCACTTCGCGGGCGAATCCAAAGTCGCAAAGACGAATGCGCAAGTGTTCATCCAGCTATGTATAGTGTACACAAGATGTTGTTTAGTGTATGGTGCACGACGAGACCCACAACGTACGAGCATGTTGGCAGCTTTCACGTCGCGGTGGATGATCCCTTTCTCGTGCATGTAGCGCAGTCCGTCGGCGGCATCCAGCGCGATCTGGACTGTCTCCTTCCACGTTAGATGCGGGGATTTTTTGCCCTTCAAGTACTTGCTCACGTCGCCGCCGCCGACAAACTCGGACAGAATCCACACCTCCTTGGTGTCCTGGTGGGTGTACTCGCACGAGCCAATGTATCGAAGCAAACTTGGGTGATCTATTTGCTTCAGGATGGACAGCTCACGCAAAATGTGCGCCCCATAAGCTTGACGCTTGAGTGCCACGCGCTGGCCCTTGTACGTCGCGGAGAAGACAGTTGAGAATGCTCCGTTTCCGATCACAGGACCAAGCGCAATGTCTAGAGGATTGAGGGATTCCACATCGCCCATGCAGCCTTTCGATGGGTTATCGCTGCCATCTACGTCGTCGCGGCGCTTTGTGATTACCGCTGGCATCTTGATGGAGCAGGTGTTCGAGTGTGCGTTGATCGCTCGTCTTTCCACTACTGCCAGGTGCGAATATGCGTATTTTTGTCGCATTTTCGTTCAAAAGCACGGCATAGGGTGGATTTTATACCTAGTGTTTCGATCATTTTTTACGATCTTCCATGTGCTTCCAAGAGTCATTCTACCAATAGTACTACACTTGCGTATTTTATGCAATTTAAGCAGCTCGTTTCAGAATGTATGTCTTAAAATCACCTTCGACGACCTTTATGAAACAAAAGATGCCAAATGAAAAAAGCGTGCATTCAGCCAACGATGCGCCGGGATGCAGCATGGACATGGTCCTAGCTACACTTAGGGCGACCCCTTTCGTTTCGGAGTCCAGCTGCGGCTACGACTACGCCGCGGGCTGCTGCTTCGACTCGAGCTGCGCGACCTCGATCGACGGCGCCTACCCATGATTGTTCATCATCGTCATGGCATCTAGCAATAGTCAGGTTACCTGGGAGGACTGCGGCCGCCGCGACCACGAGGAGGGGAGCGAGAGCGCCGACGTGGCGACAAGGAGCGCGAGCGCCGGTTGCGCGGGTTGAACGGAGACGGTCGTCGGCCAGGACCCCCACGACCACCACGGACCCCACCCCCTCGAGGTGGACTTCTACAACCACGTCGTCGTCATTAGGAACGATGCGGAATGATCTTAGCAAGTAAAACGAACCGTCGTCCCGGCGGCGATCGGCTGCGGCGGCGGAAGTTGGGCGACCCTCGACGAGGAGGCGGGGATCGGCTTCTACACAAAAGAAGGATGAGACAACTGCATGCAAGTGACAGCGACGGAATTACCGCGGTCGGTAGGGCGACGGGTTTCGGCGCTTGGGCGGAGAACGTCGTCGGGTGTTGTTCTTTCCGTTGTTGGGGTTTCCCTTGGGGGACACGCTGCGCTTTTTGGGTTTCGGCTGGACGAGGACAAAGTTCACTTGCACTCTGTTGCCGTCGATCTGCCCCTCGTGCATGTGCAGCTGCGCCGTCTCAGCCTCGTCGCGCTTGTGGAAGCGAATGTACGCAGTTCCCTTGACCATGTTTGCATCTTTCTCCAATGTCACCTCGGCGACACCGCCAAATTTGCCGAAAATCTCCTCCAAATGCTCCGCGTTGACGTTGCTACTCCACCGCTAAATGATGCAACTCCCTAACACGTGGTAAACAGCAGCTTACCGTGTCAAGTTAGCAACGTGCAACGACGCGCCATCGTCGGGGCTTGGGCTGCGACTGGCGGCATTCCGTCCACCGTCAACCTTCTTGGAGTCTTTTGCATCATCCCTCTCGTCCGCCCCCTTGCTGGGACTACGCGAACGAGAGCTGGACGACGAGCGCGAGCTGGATCGACTGCGCGAGCTGAAGCTCCGACTGCGGCCACGGCCACGACTTCGACTACGGCTACTGTTGCGTCGACGATCCCGACTCAAGCTTCGGCGAGGGCTTCTCCCTCCTCGTCCACCACCTCTTTCCCGGCCTCGGCTTGCGCTGCGACTAAAGCTTCGACGCGGCGGCATCTTGTTCACTTCGATCTTTCCACCCACACAATGAGCAAAATATAATAATCGTATAACATTATGTATTAACTATCACAGGATACGGTAAATTCAAACACATTATCCGGATCAATGGCATTTTGCATTTTGCGCGCTCCTGTCATGGCCGACAGCTTGCACGAGTACGACCTTGGAGACATGGTGGGCTCGGGCTCTTCCGCGCAAGTGTACTGGGCTCATCGCGTATCCAATGGTGAACTTGTTGCCATCAAGGTCCTGGACAAGATGCAACATGCACTGATTCGCAGGCAATCCCAGTCCATGTCGAAGGCTACAGGGATCCAAGAGATCGAACTGCAGCAGAAGTTGAACCACCCAAACGTACTCCAAATTATTGATGTCTTCGAAGACGCTCGAAATGCGTTCCTGGTCTTGGAGCCATGCCTCGGGGGATCGCTACAGTCGCTTCTGTCAAGAAATGACGACAATCATAGGTGTGTAGGCGTGCATGTGTGCATCCATGTTATCAACCAAAGCATGTTCGTAGGGTGCCATTGGACGAGCGTCGCGCCCAGCATTACATCCGTCAACTCGTTGCGGGCATCGCATACATCCATGGCCAAAACGTCCTCCATCGCGACTTGAAGCTGTCCAACATCCTCCTGACCAGCGACGACGTGGTCAAAATCGCCGATTTTGGCCTTGCGACTGACCTCGTCACGAACCAGTCCCCCAGCACCATCTGCGGGACTCCAAATTTCATCGCGCCGGAAGTTCTCCTGGGAAAAGCGTACACGTTCTCGGCCGATTTGTGGTCCCTCGGTTGCATGGCGTACAGCTTGCTCGTCGGGACCCCGCCCTTCCAAGGCCAAACCGTCGCGTACGAGTATATACTTATTGCATTGTCTTCATTCCCAACATTTGGATGACTTTTGGGCTGATTCACCCAAATCTATCAATCGATTCGTTATACTGACCTTTGTATGTACGAATCGTCGAGCGTCACACTAATTTCAGTCACACACTAAAAACGTCGATTTATTTGGTCGATAAGTGGATAATTTGATTGGCTACTTGATTCATGCTGTGGGTTTTGATTGGTCGTATATCGATTGTTGATGAGCGAGCACCATATGTCCTCCACTTCGAATCGACTTGGCACAATCACCATGCTACTTATAGACAAACCCTGCAAAACGTGGGCTCGGCAGACTTCCGCGTCGCCATCCCCGCCGCGCTGTCGCCGGTAGCCGTGGACTTTCTCCAATGTTTGCTGTGTGGGGTACTACTACGTTATATGTTTGCATACCATGTCTTTCAAACTAGTACTACTACGTTATATGTTTGCATACCATGTCTTTCAAACTAGTACTACTACGTTATATGTTTGCATACCATGTCTTTCAAACTAGGAGCCGTCGAAACGAACGCCGTGCTCGGTCTTAATCGAGCATCCGTGGCTCCACAACTCGACGTCTCCCGTCCATCACTTTTTCAGCCGGCCAAGCATGTTGCTTGGTGACGACCATGCTTCATATTCATGCAACAAGGCCACCAAGATGGAAGGCCATGATGATGCATCCTCTCCTCGTCCGTCCGTGTCGTCCTCGATCATTAGCGTTCCACTCGCCCAACCAAGTCGAAACCTACGCCAACAGTCCATCAAACTCCGCCGCCGCCGCCGCCGCCACCGACGGGAGCGCGCGCCGCCTCCGACCAAAGGCATCAGTGTATTGTCATCATCGTCATCTTCTAATGGATCGGCGTCTTCAAGTGGCGACGACGACGACGCCGACATTGCTCAAGTACGTACTATTGTTGACACTTTCTTTACTAATTTAAAGGCTAACTTGGAGATCGCACCAAATGTACGTGCGTAGCTGCAGACCGTGCTGGATAAGATGGCCCTCCGGAGGACATCGTCGATCAACCAACATGACGACCTCCTTGCCGAGGCAGCAGACGGCCCGGCCACTCGAACCACCACCACCGCGTCGTCAGGAGTACCCGTCGTAGCGTCGCCCGTCATGACGTTTACGGTCGAGTACCATTCCATCTTGGGGCGCCAACGGTCGCCAGTGTCCGAGTTCACGTGTTCGCGCACGTCGTTTGGTTTGGAGCTTCATGGCCCGGACGGGACGGAGCCGCACATCGAGTACCACTTGGCGGACGGACGCATTCGAGGCTCTGCGGGCACGTGTTTTGATGTGGATTTCTCGTCGCTGCCGTTGGCGGACGTGAGCGCGGCCGCCGTATCGACGTGGATTCGACTGGCGCAATGGTGTGTGGCCCAACTCCCAGTGAGCGACGCGCGCATAGCCGTGCCAGACGACACCCTCGAGGCCATGCAACGCTCGGAGCAACTGGAAGCGTCCCTTCGGCACCACGCCACCCCGTCCAAGCCGACCACACGATCGACGACGTCAGATGCAGCAGCAGTGGTGGCCGTTGAATTGGCAGGCGTGGGCGTTGCCGAGTCGTTGGAAGACGGCACGTTGTGCTTGTACTTTATGGATGGCGCTGTGCTGCAAGTCGACGATTGTGCGTCCACCGTGTCGTACCTGCCTGTGGGGGCGTCCACGTTCGACGTATTTCCGCTGCAATCGAGGTCGTCTGACGTGACCAAGACATGTGACATGCCCCATCAAGTGTCGACGCGCCTCAAGTACGTGTCGCTGTTCATACAAGAGATGAAACGACAGACCCAACAGCAACAACGAGACTACACCTGCTCGTCTGGGCCATGACGACGGGTACTATTAGTACGGTGGAACGTAGGTACTAGCAGTTATACAAATATGTGCCGTTTTAATAGTTCGAGGTGGAACGGTTTCAAGCTGTACAGTGTAACCACTGCAACACAACCGGGAGATATGGCCACGGAGACTCCGCCCGTGGCGGCGCTCTTTGCCGAACTCATGACGTCGTTGCAGCGTCGACATCGACGCAGGCAACCCCCCGACTCGGCATCCACAGAACCTCCGCAACACAATGACTCTAACCAGAGCACTCCGCCTTCCCAGCCCCCGTCGTCGTTGATCCACATCTCCACACAAGACTTGGACGATAGAATCCACGCTGCTGCTGCTCCTCCTGCTGCTACTTCTTCATGCACCCCCATGTCCGCAATTGATTTCCCGCCGCCTCCTTTCGACTTTTTCAGCAATCTGTCCGATGCTATGGTGACGCCCTTGCCATCCCCCGTGTGTACAAGTGTATGTCGTCCGTTGCCGCGTGATGTTGCATCTGTTGATGCTTCCCTTCCATCATTGTACAGCCCAGCGACCGATGTCGATTGTCTTGACCTGGTCGTCGATCTACCTCCACCTTTGCCGTCTACGTGCGACACTTGTAGTGTTCGAAACGAGGACATCCATCCGGCCCAAGTGTTTCCACTTGCAATCGATGCCACTACGCCCCAACCTCGACCCAACGACGTCGATCCCATGCCTGGAAAGGTGTCAGTGTTGTCGCCGCAGTCTGCCCTATTTCCCACGTTGATCCACACGATGCTGGACGAGGTGCGAATAGACATTACACGCTTTTACGTTCCTCTGGAGGTGGTTACGACCCGCGTGTTGGTGCACATTCAACGGCACCTGACCGACCTTCTCGACAAGGCTCATGACGGCATGACGTTGCGGCGGATGCGCCAACTCAGCTGTGTCCTGGGCGTGGAAACCATCTTGAGCTGGCTGGCAAGGTATGGCACTGTGAGCACTCAAGGCTGGCTACGCGACGCCATCTTGCACGGGCGAGGCGGGGAACGTGCAGGCCCCACTGGCCCGTTGATGCTCACAGCTATCAACTTGACGGGCGTGGTGGTCGAGGTACAGAAACGCGTACATAGAGCACAGGCCACAGCGCCTTCCAGCGACCCTCCCCCGTTGGTGTCGACGTTGTCGCTGCCATTGGAGGACGAAGTGGGGTACAATCAGTACCTGCATACGGTGTATTCACCTCGACATCGCACGACGACCAAGCGATTCGCCGACGAAAAGGCCGGGGTAGTGCCACCGCCGACCGCAATGTCCCCTCGACGAGGACTCCATGTGCTCCTGTCCGAACACATTTACCGGCATGAATACCGAACAGTGTCCAAGCACATTCCCCGCTTTTCGTCAAAGTCGTCGGTCATAGATGTGGCCGACGCCGCCACTCGAAGAAAACGAGGCGTGCGGTACGGCAACGTCAAGGGCAAAGTACACCAGTAACAAGCAGCAGCAACGTGATAATATTATTCAAAACCCAAAACTATACTATATTATATTAATAGTTCAACCCTTTAGAAAACTAACTATCCCAGGCTAACTTTTGGTGTGGCGTCGTCGGTTACACAAACGTAACTGCATTGTCAAGCGTCGTCACGTTGTCCTTTGCATTCGTAAAGGGTCTGCGCCATGGCCAACTAGTACGCTGCATGACAAACAAATGATGGGGTGTTGACTTGTAGTTGCCAACTAACTCGACTACTCTTATAGCACGTACGATACGAAATGGCAGTCGGCTATGACCGAGCTCAACGAGCAAGTGCACATTGAAGACCACACGCTGGATGTGGAGGAAGGCCAGGATGTGTCTCCGCCGCCCGAAGTGTCCATGCTGGAAGCGTTCCAGCACTATGCATGTCTGTATATCAAATACGTTCAAATCTTCACCAACCTCGAAGAGTGCTACGACCAAATGGTGCATCCACAAAAGCGCATTGACGTCAAGCAGATCATGGAGTTGGTGATGGTATGCAGCATATGTCCAAGTACATACACCCTCAATGCATCCATGAGTCGATATGCCATCACGACAGCTGAAGTCACAGGAAATGAAGGCGAAGGACTGACAAGTGTTCATGTCTAGACGCGCGTGGTAGAGCTCAAACACGACCTGGTCAAGTGGAACCCGCCTAACCCGGACGTGCGCACCACCCCTGAACGCAACTTTCCATGGGAGTATGTCAACTTGGACGACCTTTTGGTTGACTTGAAGCTGCCGCCGAGTCTCTTGGAGGTGCCCGTGCCCAAGTACTTTGTGGAAGACAGCAGCTCGGACCTCAAGAAACGAGATCGGGTACGTGATCTTGTTGTCGTCCCAGCCATCCGTTTCACATCGTCGGTCTCATCGAAATTTGTAGCTCGTAAAAGGGTACATGAAGCTCAAACTTGGCGTGGATTCGTTGCCGGTGGAAATCACGGAAGAGAACGTGTCCCTGACCGACACTGTACTTGGCACTGCCTTTTCAAACTGCCGTCCAAATGTGTCCATCGGATGTTCACAACTTGTGGGTGTGTGTTCTAGATGTCGTTGGAGGAAGCGATTCAAGTGATCCAACGCAACGAACGCGGACGTCAAGGCAAACAGCGCGGGTCCCTTGTTCGTGAACTGCGCGAGGAGGAGAAGCAGCGCCGCCTGTACGACAACGCCCAGACGCCCGAGATGGAGCCCGAGCTGGCCGCGGCCAACATCCAGCGCGTGTTCCGGGGCCACAATTCCCGCGGCAAGGCCACAATCGAGCGCGACGAGGAGCTCGTGTTCATCGGGATGAAGCCCCCCAAGAACGACAAGGCGGTGGCGTTGGAAATGGAGCTGGCGCTGGCTAAAATCCGCCGCAAAACGCAGCAAACGGACAACAAGGAAGAGTACGAGCGGTCGCTCACCGACGTCCACGAGACGGTGGGGTTATTCTTGTGATTCTGATCACTGTAGTAGCCTATATATATCGAAGCGACTCGACCAACTAAAAATTGCACGTACGGTGTTTGTAGGTGAAAAACGAAGAAGGGCCGTTTATGAAGGAAAAAATGCTGGAGGAGCGACGCAAATGGATCACGGACGTGATGGCTCAAGGCCAGCTGCCTGAGGACATGGTGGGGTACTACTTGATGATTAACCCGCCGCCCGTGGACGCAGAACCCAAAGACGAGGACGAGGGCAAGGGCAAGAAAGGTGACAAAGGCAAGAAGGGGGACAAGGGCAAGAAGGGTGACAAGGGCAAGAAAGGGGAGAAGAAAGGCGAGAAAGGCAAGAAGGGCGCGGCGGAAGAAGAGGAAGAGGAGAAGCCGGAGCGACCGCCGCCGCTCACGGGCCCGTCCGAGCTCTGCACCAAGCTGGCGGGGGGCGTGAACGCTTTCGAAAGCGTGTGGCTCGAACGCGACGAAAGCGACAACTTTCAGCAAAAGTACGACATTGATTTGGCCAAGGATGTCGTGCGCGGCCCGGTCGAGTGCCAAGTCCGGCAACAAGTGGACGAAATGCTCGTGTTGCAGCTGTCCAACATCAAGGCGCAATTGGAAGCCGCGGCGGCGGGGAAGAAGGGCAAAAAAGGCAAAAAGGGCAAGAAGGGTAAGAAGGGAAAGAAAGGAAAGAAAGACAAAAAGGGCAAGAAGGGCAAACCCCTTCCAGGGGATAAGATCGCCGAGCTCAAAGGCCGGACACCCGACACGATGCTGGCCATCCTCGTCGAGCAAAAGCTCGTCAACAACGTCACGCCGTGCGCCGTGACCGATTTCATCGGCGAGTATAACTACCTCGGCACGGTTTACCAGAGCTCGGACCGCCGCGACCGCTACGGCAACTGGGTCCCCCAAGACCCGTCCGCGGCCCAACTTCGGTGAGTATTCGTGCTAATAATTTCTAGAATCTCATGACTACTGTATCAGGGCGGCGATCGTCGAGTATTGCGTGCTACCGCTAGGGTCGTTGCCCGTTCGCACCAAGGTGAAGCACGTCCGATCAATTCTATTCTATGGCCCCAAAGGCTCGGGCAAGACCATGATGGCCCAGGCGATTGCGCATGCGACGGGGGCGCTGTTCTTCAACATGTCGGCGTCCAACTTGGTGGGCAAGTTCCCAGGTACAGCCACGTCGTAAAGCTCTCAAGGTATTTAACGACATGTTGTTCGTGTGTACTGCAGGCAAGAACGGACCGACCAAGGCCATTCACATGGTGTGGATGCTGGCCAAGTCGATGCAGCCGGCCGTGATCTACATTGACGAATGCGAGCAGATCTTTGCACCCGGCAAGAAGAAGGCGGCGGACGGCCCCACGGGGTACCGTAAGGACCTGCTCACGTACTTGAAGTCGATGGACATCAACGACCGCGTGCTCGTGATCGGCACGTCGTCCAACCCGATGGGGGGCGAAGTAAAAGACTTCAAGGCGTTCTTTGACAAGTTCTTGTACTTTCCGTACCCAGACTACCCGTCGCGGGTGCTATTGTGGCGCGCCACGATCCAGAACACGATCCAACACCACTCGTCGTCGGGGTTGGTCATGTCTACAGTAGTTTTAAAAGGTGTTCATGCTGCTTGGTCCAATAGGTCGCCGCCGCGAATCCCAGACGAACTAGACACGAGCACCCTGGCGCACATTTCCGAAGGCTTTTCGTCCGGATCGATTCGACGCGCAGTCGAAAACACGCTGTCGGCGCGCCGCGTCGAGCGCATGGAAAAGCGACCGCTCAAAGAAGACGAGTTCATCGGGGCGTTGGCGCGGCAGACGGCGACCTTCGCGGACGACCACGAAAAGTTCAAGAACTTCACAGCGCAAGTGACAGGGCTCAAGGAAACCCGCGACGCCATTCGAAAGGCGCTGGCCGGGGACGCCGAAGGCGCCGACGAAAAGGGAAAAGACAAGAAGGGGGGCAAGAAAGGGGGCAAGAAGGGGAAAAAGTAGGGCGTTAAAACATGGGGACTGTTTTGTTGTTGCCTATTGCGATGGTGTATTCATCAACATCAGTGCGCTCTTACCACATTCCTGACAGAACATACCGCATATATGAAACATACCGCATAACGTTATATGAATGACACATTATGCTCGTCCAAGCTTTCATATTGTGTATTTCACAACCAAATTTGAACTTCGTGATTTCGCCAAATAGCATTCGAATCCATTTGATCTCATTTAAGCTTGTACAAATTATACTATAAAACGATTAGGCTATATGTGGTTTTGCCCAATGCGGCGGGGCTGGGCCCAATCAAGTGATTGGATTGGCAGAAACTCGACACGACGTGATTTGATTGGCTTAGGCGGTTCTTGAATCCATTCACTAACGACATTCAATCCTGCCGAGAATGATATGACAATATGAGTGCGTTATTTAATTGGCGGTAAGAACGGCAAGGCCAAAGGGGGGGATGTTGTCGTGGCAGGCTCGTAAATGTCTTCCCAGTATGGTGGCGGAGTGTCCCGTAGTTCTCCCTACATCACATGTGAAAGAATGATCGGACAACTGACTTGTCGTAAGTTTGTCGTACAGTCGTGCGGTGCTGGTAGTACTCCTACATCACATTTGTTAGTGATATTAATAATATCTCGTGGAAATGTATCGACGTACGGTGTCCGTATATGGGTTGACTTTTTGGTCCCAATATGTGGCTTCGAGTTTGCCCAACTCGATTTCGGCCACGCGATTTTGCTCGGCGAGTTCTTCGTCCAGCTTTTGCTTTTGTAACGTGGCACGTCGAATGGCCACTGTCTCCCGGACGTAATCCCGCCATGCCACGTACACAACGCGGTTCCCAAAGCCCATCCTACGTCATTTATCAGGTAATGCGACTAAGGGGAGTGGGGGGAGTGGGGGGTACCATTTCCGCAGAACAAAGCGCATTTGGTGGAACTCTGTCGTCACCTACATACAAGAGTATCACGACAATGTATCGTTATTATTCACATGAAGAACGGAAAACGATACTTTTCTCATCCTTCATATGGAAGTTGTAGGTAGCCACTGCAGCATATTCGTCACAACAAAAACTGAACGGTACCTTGTTTTTCACTTTGGCCATTTTTTCCTTTGTGTACGTGTCCTAGAGATACGAATATATCCGCCACACAAGAATCAAAGGCCACCCGTCGGACGATACGTCGCAAGTACCCGAAGGTGTTGATTGAAGAGATGCGCCAACTCCTCGGCGTGGGGCTTCTTGGGGGGTTGGCGAGTGTCCAAAATGCGCTAACGAATCCAACGACATCAACGAGAATCTTTTCAACGTATAGTTTAGCGCATGACTTCTGGTACCTCGATGATGGCCGTGGCAGCATCGATCCAGTTGACCACTGGTTCCAAGCCTGGAATCGCACCCAAGCCGGCCATGAGCGAGTTGGCGTCGTCATTTGACGTCTCGTCGTCGCTTTCGTCGCTTTCGTCACTGGCAGAGTCGCCCCCTTCACTGTCTTCGTTGTCACTATTGTCGTCGTCATTGGTATTGTCACTGGAATTGTCTTTGTCGTCATCCGCTTCCTCCTGGCCTTGGCTGTTTCTCGATGGCTCTTTCTTGGTCTGGACGCTGCTGCGACTGTCTGCCAGTACTTTGCCATCTAACTCTAGCATTTTCTAACCACATCCAACACACAGCGTTTAGCTGAAGACTACGATATACGTATGGGATTGCAACCTGCTGCAGCTTTCGCATTGCTGGGTCCTGCGCCAGTTTGTGCAAATCGCCTTGGGCTTGGTCGATGCGTTTCATGAGCTCGTCCCTCCGACCGAGCAGCACCTTGGCTTGTCCAGGCGGCGCCGTGCGGATTTGCATTTGCAACATCTCCAACTCCTTCTGCAACCCCCCCATGGTCTTTCCCAGCGCCATCGACCGCCTCGAGTGTTTCTACAACCAGCCATCGTGTCGTAAGTACAGTACAAGACGGCATTGAGCTTACCGTTTGCAGCGCTTGGATTTTCAGGATGGTTTTGCGGCGGGTCGTGGCAACCTCGTGGTCGTGTTTGGCTTTTTGCTTCAGGGCTCGTTCTTTTGCGGCGCGGGTCGCCAGCAACGTCTTGGCGCACTTGATCGATGTCTTGTCAAAGAACTCAATGCCTACAATTATCAATGGTCACATCATCTCGTCATCATGTGGCGAAGACAACGACGACGATGGCCTGATTGTCTAGTTTGATCAACCAACGAACCTGGTTCCGAGTTTATGTATTCCACGCATTTGGCGCGCATGGCGTTGGCCAACCGCTCGCGTCGAGCGACCAAGTACGAGTCGGACTGCATGTCCTTGTATTCTTGACTGGTGACCATTTTCACACGAAGGAGTGCCGCGTCCGACCGCTCGCACTGGAACGGTGCGGGCGTGCGATTGCACGGCTTGCGCGTGTTTGTATCTGGATCAACGCACGCACAACTTCGAAAATTGGCCTACCACCAACAATCCAAACGTGAAATCGCCACCACAAACCACCCCCCCCCCTGCGGCAATCTCAAGGTATTATCCAACTAGGAATACTGGACGCCCCCCCTCCATCATCACGTACAACTTGGTCGCCCACGAGCGCCATCGAGTACTCGTCGTCGTAGTTTGTGACGGCGTCGACAAGCACTCGGTGGGGCAGGTCAAAAAAGTCGAAAGGGACGATCGATTCGCTCGGGCGGTGTTCTGGGTGGTTGGCCCAGTGGCGCTGCAGGCAGGGCAATAGGTCCTACCTCACAAAACGTCAGTTAGATACGTCGAAACGAAGGTATCAACCGATAAGAGCGCTGGAAGGACGAGAGCGTAGAACGACAGCGACGTGCCGCGCACAGTGCGCTCGACGTCTGGTGTAAACACGGCGAGGAACGGCGTCCAAGTCGGCAGGTCGTTTCCTTCCATAGCCAAGTCGAGCTCAACGCGAAACGCGGCTAGCACGGCTTGAAGCTGCTCCACGACCTTGCGCCGCTCTTGTCTCAGCCACGCCAGGTACCGTTGGTGCATGTACGTGACGACGGTGGCCGCGCCTTGGTAGACCACTTCCAGCGGCGGCATCGTCATGGGGTTCCGTTCCATATGGATGTCTTCGAGCACGGTCAAGTGACGGAACGAGTACGGTAGCTCTTTGATACGATTCCAATCCAGGCGCAGCGACCGCAGCTTGACGAGGGCGCCAAACGACTCTGGGAGCGACACGAGGCTGTTGTTGGACGCGGAAAGTGACGTCAGCGCTGGCAGCGTGCACAGCGAGTCAGGAAACGCCTCCAAGTGGTTCCTACCGTCGGCACCACGGGGTTATAAGCACGGTACGTACAGTACATACGGCAAAGATCAACAAACAGGTTGAGGGTGAGGGTGGTGAGCAAGGTTAATTCAGGACGAAACAACGCCCAGTCTCGAAAACGATTGGCGTTCAAGTTGGCGCAGTGGCAGCGAAGTCTGCCAAATGAAGGCGGGGTCTGCGTGAGTTGATTGCCTTCTACCCACACCTTTTCCAGGCGGACGAGGTCGCCCTGCATGGTATATAGATCGCATGAGCTTGTCAATGCTGTATGTACCCTGTAGAATACTCCTACGTACAAAGCGAGACGGTAACGCTTCCAAGAGGTTGTTGGACAGGTTGAGAAATGTGAGTGTCTTGATGTCGCACTGCGAACAACGTCACTAAGGATGGCAGGTCAACAATAATGTACACTACGTACGATCGAGTCTGGCAGAACTTTGAGTTTGTTTTTCGTCAGGTCCATTTCCACGAGATGGGTGAGCAGCCCTATCTACACATGTACCGCATTCAATTGCAATGTTCGTACACAGCAACTATCACCGCCTCACATTGTCGGGCAGCGTCTCTAGGGCGTTCGAGATCAAACACAGCACTTGTAGCGCTGGCAATTGCGTCGGAAGCTCCGAGGGCATGTCCACCAGCGCATGGCCCGTCACGCGTAGCGCCACGAGCTCTCGAAATGGCAGCACCCGTGCCCAGTGGAATATGTCGAGGTCGCCTTTCCACGCAATGTTGAGCTCGTTGTGCAAAATCGCGGCACGACTGTACGGACTCCACAGCCGCTCCTTCACTTGACGTGCCTCTTCAGCAACTCGACACTCTTCTTTCTCTTTGAGCTTCCGGTTTTCCACGAGCTTGGATTGGATCCACGCGTCGCGCTCGGCCTTTCCCAACGCCGTCGACGCAGACGCCATGGACAGTTACGCGTAACTGCCAATAGCAGATGTAGCCCGTCAATCTTTATATGCTGCAACAATATGATATGCAGTGAACGCTGCCATCAAGTCTCCTTCGCTTGGATATTCAGTGGAGCAATTCCAACTAATAGTGCCATGATTTCCGACGCAAATACAGTAGAACACCAAGCTTGGCATGTATTTGTGCAAAGTCATTTTGATGGTTTACCTCACAATGCAGGGGTTTGAATGACAAATGGCGACAGAAGTTAGTTCACACAAATACCACTTATAAGCCAGCTAGCTCTCCATTCCATCACCAGGGCGGCAGTTACAGTGCCTTTTCGATGCTTATAACTTTAAAGTATCCTTCCAACATCTCGTCGCGATGAGTACCTCGCCCGTTTCCGACAGTGGCAAACCTCTCTCCATGGAGCTTCTCTTTAACGTCAATGACGGACGACGCAGTTTTGGCATCCCTCCCTTGGCCAACACCGAAACCCCCGACACCGCATATCTCGTCATGCTGATTGCGATTGTGGTTGTCGTGGTTGTGGGGGGCGTGGTTATGTTTCGGCCCAAGCCAGTTCAAGTTCTTTGGCGAGCTCTGGGCTTCCAAGAACCGACGAAACCCATCAACTTAAACGAAGCCTCGGACGATGGCCCCCCTCCACCCCCGCCGAACCCCCAGGTCGCACCCCAGGACTTTGATTTCGACGACACCAATTGGCACGACGACTCGGGTATCGAAATGTGCCAGTCGCCTCCGAGTACCCGTCAGTCTGCCATCGACAGCTCGCTTCATGCATATGCAACAATAAATGTCCACTAGTTTATCAGTTTTAGCTGGCGTGTGTGTGAATAGTCTTTGACCAATGCTATCGAAGCTCTCGCCATAGGTTTGAAGTAATGGTTGAGGATCTACTGGCGTCAATGGCGAACTGCATTCTGTAGTCTATTCCCTACTTTACCTCGACAGTGTGAGTAAAAACTGAAGTAAATGACTAGGCATACCGGTACTGTATGTCAAACTGGCATTGATCGTCGTCTTTGTGACTCGCTCAAGTCCACCACACACTCTGTTTGGGGGCGACTCCCAGCAAAGTGTGTGCGATGTTTGACGGTTCGCGATACAGTGTAACGTTTCATGGTGCAAACTTACAATGTAACGCCAACACCAAGCGACACGTCCAGGTAAATGCAACTTGAATGGGTGCAATGGCGACGACGACGAGTTCCCGACGAGGCAGGACACCTGCAGCACCCCCAGCATTGCCCCCATCGAATGAGGAGATGGACATTGATGATTTGGCCGCGTTCCCCTACGGCTTGGCATGGAACGACCAAATCGAGCACTACATGCCGCCCAACTTTCCGCTACTTCCCCAGTTGACGCCATCCAGGATAGCGTTGTGTCGGCGGTCGTGGGCCCAACTTCACGCTGCGTCTACACCTGCCATGAAGCCGTACGATCGCCCCGGCATTGTTCTCGTTTACGAAGAGTTTTTCTACCGGCTCGTCCAACGCGACACAACCATTACCAGGGTCTTTCCCACGGCGAAGAAGCAGGGCGAGGTGTTGATCAGTGCGATTCAATTCATCCTTTCGTCGAATGCAGGTACTACATGGATATGTACGAGAAACCCAGTGTGGAAGCATCTCGAGGGATGAAGATTTACTTGGTGTTATGGAAATAGATACACCACAGGACGTCGCGGCTGTGGCCAGTCGAAGTCGCTTCCTCGGCCATCGGCATCGATCGTTTCCAAATGTACGTGGGTCTGATGTGAATCGTTGAGAGTTGATCATGCGGCGGGGCATGATATGTAGGTGCGACCCCACCACTTTGCCATGTATACGTCCACATGCGTCGAAGTCATCATGTTCTGGCTGGGAGACATGGCGTCGCCAGACATCGGCGCTGCATGGTCCAACACAGCCGGGTACGTTGAATAGTATGATGATATGGATGACTGACGTGCAGTCCCAGGTTCGTATTGAAGCATTTACTGGAACCGTTTCTCTATGAACGTACAGATCCGTACGAATGTTATCAAAACATAACAGTCTCTGCCACGCGGAAAGTCGAAGAAACCAGGATTCACAACTTCTCCGACACCGCGTCGTCGTCGACTTACACCAAGACTCGACCGGGCATGAAATCTACGTCGGCATGGAAAGCCCTTCGCAATTCAACAGCGCCAAAACACACGACCAAGATGCCACGCATCGCTGTGACATCGTTGATGATGAACGAGGCTCGAAAAGCCAGAGGGGCCACCGTGTCCAGTCCCAACAACACGTCGTCAATACCATAGTTATGCTCACCTACTGTATGGCTTTAGCAGCTTTAATACGGTCGCGTGTTCCGTCATACAACCGGGTAGTACAACACAATTCTTGCTTGCTAGTACTTGATACTACTAGTACTTCACACTGTTCGAACGACCACTTACAGTGAGTGTTCTTCACCGGGAGATGCGGGAACTGGCGAAAACTCATCATAACATGAAGCTATGGAAGACCAACATCGAGGCATTCATGGTTGGCGAAAGCAAAATCTGGACTTTCATCGCAGTCATCCAACTTGTTGGAGAGGGACTTTGGCTGCTGTACTGACACGCTTCCTACATATATCGAAAATGGGCGAACTTTGACGACTCTTTTCTCGAGCTGTGTAATACTTACAGCAATACAACTCGTACTAACGTTACAAGCTAGTTCATTACTACTGCTACTGTAGCCCAGCCTATGCAGCATGGTCTACGCATGCACAGCTCTCTCTGGCATGAGGCATCTACCCACATCTACACGCTTGTTCTTGAAATACGACGAATTTGGCAAGTTCCAAGTTGCCTTTCAGCTGTTGATTCAGGCGACATGCAACAAAGTGATCTTGATACTGTAGTATACTACTGGAAGACTTCCAAAAATACCTCAGAAGGCCAGTTTTTTATTCACAATCTGAGAGTGAAAAAAGTGTTGCTCTGTTTCAACAGCAAATTGCTGTCTGAAAATGTAAATTTCTGCGATTCTAAGATTCTGGTAAGTTTACTCTGCGAAGACGAAAAACTCGACTTCGCACATCTGAGGGTGATAATAGATCGCACAAAAATCGAATCTGAAAACTGTCAGTGTACTGATCTGAGGAAATCGCAGATTCGAATTCTGAGGCAATTTTGATAGTCATCCACGGTTGTTATGAGTTCCGTGACCCTTGGCACAGTATGCATAAAGAAATCGCAAACCTGTATGTACTGTACACTGTACTAACTTACTGGTACTGGGTAGTTTGCACCAATTTGCAAAACGTAAATAATTATGGGGCAGAATAAAAATACACATACGCAATACGATGTTCAAGCGAATAATAATATATAACTGTCGCACGCATACATGCCATTTGTTTCCGTGGAAGTACTGTAGCAGATTCACAGTTCCTGGTTGACTCGCATTTGACAACTTGAATAAAGTTGCATGTATTCCCTCGACAATGGGAAACCACGATTTGAACGAATCAAGGACCCTTCATTCTTCATAGTGATGTGTTTGTGTCCTGTTCCCGCAACTCCCCAGTTGTTTCAATGTGTGATATTATTGCCAATTCACAATGGGTTATGATCTCAAATTCAAGATCTGAAAATTAGCCAATCGGTGGGCGAGGATATGAGTGGTTGGGGGGTGTTTAGGGGTAATATTATATGTGAATTTTAATACCCTGTCTTATTTACACGTATGGTTTGTATGAAACGGAGCTATTAATTCCCATTTCTAGTTGTTGTATTGTTTTATTCCAACCCCCGATACTTCACGCGGATTGGTTGATTCATTACATGTTGGAGTTTGTATGCCGCAGAGGGGTTCGGGTGGCGTCATTTCGCAAGTCGTCGGATTCGCTTTGGGTAAGCCCTACCGCAGCCCCAAGCCTACCCCATCCCCACCAGCTACGAGTTGCTTCAACTTGAAGCGCATGATGGACGACGACGAAAGCTCAAAACACGAACAACTCCACGCCGTCAATGCCGCAGCCCAGCTGTACCATGTGCAACTGGCCCAGCAGCAACAGCTTCAGCAACTGCAGCACACCCAGAGCTTGGGAGCAAGCGTTGTGGCGCAACAGCTGAGTGCCGCGGCGGCCAGCGCCAACTTCCCGTATCCGCGAAACTCCCCCGACTTTGCGTGCGAGAACGTTGGCGACCGCATCAAGGGCAAGCGGAGAAAGTACTGTCCCCACGAAGTGACGGCATTGGTGCTTGGCGTCCAGCGTTACGCCGACGACAGTTGTCCGTGGAGCAGCATCCTTCGGGACCCGCACTTGGGTCCGCTGTTCCACGGCCGATCTGGCGTGGACCTCAAGGACAAGTGGCGCACGTTGATCAAGACCCGGCCCGAACTGTCGAGTTACACGGAAAACCGCAAGAACCACCGCAAGTACCGCCCGTTCACGACGATGGAAGAACGCGCGTTGATTGACGGCGTCAAAAAGTACAACGGGCAGCGCAACGTGTGGAGTTTGATCCTCGTGGACAAGGACCTGGGCGTGCAGTTCAACGACCGGTCCAACGTCCAACTCAAAGACAAGTTTCGCACGCTGCGGCGATCGGGTGTGGCCAACACGATCACGCTGACCAACCCCAGCAACCGCAAGTCCGCGCTGCCAACCTCCAACACCACGAGTCTCCGCCCAGGCGGCGGTGGAATCGCTGGCGGAGGAGGAGCTGCTTCCGGCGGCGGCAAGGGGGGCAGCCTCCTCCGTGCCCCGCTGTCGCCCAAAAGCCGCGCGCAGCTCAACGCGGCGGCGCTGGCCAACCCCCTGCTGCATTCGCAGTCCATGTTTACGGACCCGAACCTGTTTTTGACAGCCCAGTTGAGTCTCGGCCAGATCGGGCACCTCACGCTCGCCCAAGCGCAAGTGCAAGCCCAACTCCAGCAGCAAGCGCAAGCCGCCCAGGCAAAAACGTTTTCGCAAATGCTGGCGGCCGCCAACTCGAGCTACAACAACGCCCTGCCCGCGTTTATGATTGGCGGCGGCAACACGTCGCCCCAGAGCAACCTCTTTTACGCCGTGTCGTCGCCGTCTGCAACGACCGGGCACGGCACGTCGTCAGGAACGCCGTCCAGCACAGTTCCGTTTCAAGCTATGAGAGGCGGAACATCGAATGCAGGGCGTGGTGCGACCAGTGGCAGTGGGCGCATGGGTCGGCTGGCGACCGCGTCGTCGGCCAGTGGGGGGCGTCGAGGGCGAGGCAAAGCCAAGGCTACGTCCATTCAGACTGTGGCGTCTGTTCTAGACAATAATACCCCTGGCCTAGAAAATACCCCGCTGTCGCCCCCGCTGGAAGGGCTGATTCCAATGCCTGCGGCCGTTCGAGGAAAGCTGGACGACAGTTCCGGTGGATGGGATCCGATTGACGAAGTGGACGACCAAGACGACGACGAGTAAGTAGTAGAAGACGACAATCGTGGTTTATTTATTATGGATCGACCGACAACATCGACGACATGGCTGTGACAACGTCGGGGTCGGCCAATTCGAGCACCAGCGGCATCGCTGGCAGGATGTGCACGGCTCGCATCACCTGAGTGAGGGCTGAGTTAAGTATATCCATCAACATGGCTACCGCCAATACATGGGTGGTGGTTCGATCTTGTAGTCATGTGGACATTGAACTACTTGTAATACCTCGAGAGCGTGTTTCGGGGGCAGGCGGCGCATCCCTTGCAATAACCCTCGCAACACGTCGGGGTTGAGGATCGTCGAGACGGCGGCGGCAATGTCGTGCGGAGTCAGCGACTGTAGCAGCTACGAAGCACCAAACAACCAATATCCGAGTCAAAGTTTATAGCCAAAGACCGTACCGATGCCATGTTCTCGGGGTTGTGCTTGTACTTGAGCAGTTTGCGAGCCACGGGGGCGATTAGCGACGGTTTCAAAGTCCGTGTCCCGCCGGCGATGGCCGCAGAGTTTTTCGTTTTTACGGCGACAGAAGAGTCAGGGAGGGGGGGTGTTGGGTGGGTCACAACCAGCAGATCACGATGTTGGGGGTCGTGGTTGGTTGCTTGGTTGCTTGTGTCCTCTGCGTTCGTACGAGGAATCGCCGATGGCGGACTGCCATTCGTTTCGGCGGAGGCAAGGTTATGAGTCACTTGGTTGTCGTGATCGGTTGACTTGACGGGCTGGATCGTTGTTACTTTTTTGTCTTCCGTCACAGCTCCCCGTCGGTGGCGAATCGCTTCAAAGATTGCTTGCTCCTTGGCCTGCTGCTGGCCGTGCAAGGCGTTGTAAGCTGCCCACATCGTATGTATGGCGCCCCTGGCCGTGTCCAACGTGGCCTCATCGGCAGCCGACAAGCATGCGTCCTCGTCCGGTGACAACGCCGCTAGCGCCGGTCGAAACAGATGCAAGTGCTGTGCCAAGACGGTGGCCTTGTCTTGCATCATGTCCACGCGCGAGAGAAGGAGGTTGTCTTCGTGCGTCGGCATTGCCACTTGCTCCAGCATCTCCAATGCAGCGCTCAAGTCGTCCACAGCCCTACAGACAGATCCATTTTATCGACTTGTTAGTCCATGGAGTTAGTTACTATCTCTAATGTAAATGCAAGTGAGGGCGCACTGACTTTTTCAAATCGGCGCGATCCAAATGACGCAACAGCCGCGCGCGGCCGCGGAGACCGAGGGCCTGTACCCGGTCCACGGACGGGACATCGGGCGAGTCTCGAAGGAAGGTCGTGGCCAGTGCGACGGTTTGGTCGTAGTCCGACACAACGAGGGCATCCCGGGCTTGCTTTAAATTGAGCGTCCCCTCTGGAAGTTCCACGCCATGAAATGCTAGTGGGGGGGTACTTGGCGCGTCCGCGGCCGGCCATCGATTGAAGTCGTCGAAGACATTGGTGGCCAGCTGCCGCTCTTCGTCCGAGTCGGCCGTTGCTTTCCAGTCAGCGAGTGTGGCCAAGAGAGCAGCGCTGAGACGCAACTCGCCTTTGGTGTACAGTTTGCGCACCCAGCTCATGTAAAATGCCAGGATCTGGAGCGCGTACAACGACATGGCTGGGGAGTCCTTGTTTATGACAAGCGCCTGGATAAAGTCCGATGTGTTGGTAAGCAGGAGCATCTTGGCGTGCATGGATTTTGTCTCCGAACACGTCGGAGCTTGAAACCAGTCGAAGTCGGGGTTGCTGGTCATCTAAAATGGCGTGGGTAGGTACGTACTTGGCACGATTCGTACATACCTGCGTAAATACATCCAGCGCTTGGCCACGAAAGTGCAAGTTTTCATGCGTGAAGAGGTCCACCAGGGAATTTAAACCTCCCTATTGAGACGGCATGGAGGAGGCAACTTAGATTAGATCAAGGGCGGCGCTAGATGTTACATGAAGGACGAATTCTCGGGCGAGGGTCCAATGACGCGCATGGCAGAGGTACCATATTGCCAGGTAACGCTGACACACTATGAAGCATGGGTGCGTCTCGGGGGCTCCTTGGGGCGGTGCTTGAACAAGCAAGACATATAGCGCCGCTTGCTCTTTGGTTGGCATGAACAGCAAGCGCTGGGCGTGGCCGTCCGACATGCGTTTGCGGAGAACTTGTTCCACGTGCGGAGTTTCTGGGTTCGTATAGTACGCTGTGAACTTCTCCATGAGGGAAGCTTGCAATTCCTCGGGGAAGGATGCGATGGCATCGCGAAGAGCATCTTTGACGACGGACGGGGCCACGATCGTCGCAGTCATGGCGGCCGAGGACATTTTAGAGTGTGCAAAGCGTCGCGCGAAATTGTTCGATACTTCAACATCGAAGGTCATTAAGTATGACAGGTTTTACGATCTCGTGAAAATAAATATCCAACCGGCGGTTTCATGAGATCCGCACTTTGAAACGACTCATTTGGAAAAGACCTCGACAGGATGGGCGGCGAGACGGAACACTCGAACGGGATGCATTCCCAGAGAGAATTCGCCGTTTACTTTGCGGCGACGTTGATCATCATCATCTTGTCCATCCTCTTCAGCAACTACGCGGCGCATCACAAGCATTGGTACTTCCTCCCCGAGGCCGCAGGTGAGTACAATCGTCGTTGTTTGTCGTTGGCATAGATAAATTATATATGCATGTGTCATCGACCGACCCCCATTCTTGTAGCGACCATCTTTGTTGGCATGATGGGGGGCGTGCTTTACCTGATGCACACGGACTCGGTCACCAAATCCGTACGTCAGGACATCGACCTGCACTGCATGCGAAGTTCATTGACCTTTTGCTTTAGCTGGCGACGTTTGACCCGAGCATCTTCTTCATCGGTCTATTGCCCCCGATCATTTTCAACTCGGGTACTGATGTCCCCCTAGCTGCGGTCCATGTTCATCATCTCTCGTCTAGGGTACACCATGAAGCGTCGCTTCTTCTTTGACAACATCACGGCCATCGTCACGTACGCCGTGGCAGGCACGACGATTTCCAGCTTCGTCGTCGGCGTCATCGTGTACATTGCGGGCTACTCCGGCGCGAGTTTAAAGATGACGTTGGCTGAGTCGTTGTCGTTTGGAGCGCTCATCAGCGCCACGGTACCTACCCCGCCCACATCCTTCCTCCATCATATATCCTCATGGATATGATGCCATGATGCTTAGGACACGGTGTCGGTGCTTGCAATCTTCCAAGAGCTCCGCGTGGTACGACCCACCCACACAACAAAGTGACGCCGCTCACCCTATATATGTATGTATATACCAGGAGCCGACGCTGTTTTACTTGGTGTTTGGCGAGAGTTCGCTCAACGATGCCGTCGCGATCGTGTTGTTTGCATCGTTTTCCAAGTTTATCGGCAACTCGTTCACGGCGAGCGCGATCCCGCTGGCGATTTTGGACTTTACGTTCATCTTTGTCGGGTCGACGTTGGTCGGGATCGTGTTTGGCATGCTCTCGGCGCTGCTCTTCAAGCACTACAACTTCAAAGGGTGCTTGTACCAAGAGATCGCCGTGTACATCATGTTCACGTACTTGCCGTTCGCAGTCTGCACCGTCGTCGACTTGTCTGGCGTCGTTGCCATCTTGTTTACAGGTAACAATCAACAAAATGACATATAAAGACCATAGAGTTTCCGCTTGTACGTCATGAGTCAGGCATCATGATGATCATCATCACACAGATCGACTGTATACACTGTGTATGATGATGGGCCTCACAATGTGTGACGATGTGTAGGCATTTCCATGAAGCATTACACGTGCAACAACCTGAGTGAAGAAGGCAAAGCCTCGTACGTTTGTTCGTTCGTCTTGTGTGTGTGGGACCAACCACACTGTATCGCATATATCATCGTGGTTACTGTATCCCAGCGTGTGATGTTGGTGTACATACAGTATGATACCAAACACAATTATGTGATACAGTATCCCTTGTAGCGTCGCCAAGTTTTTCAACGCCATCTCATACGTGTCGGAAGCCACGATCTTTCTCAGTACGTTTGTCGATGAGTCGTCGGCGGCAGTGCCTTATGTCGTACGTAGACCTGGGCCTGGCGGTGTTTTCGCTCCAAGAAGGGTTCCATTTTGGCTTTTCCGTGTGCACGTTGATGGCGTGCCTGGTTGGTCGAGCACTGCATGTGTACCCGCTCTCGTACTTGATCAACCTGCGCAAGGCGGACGACCGCAAGATTCCCGCGGCCACGCAGCACATGATCTGGTTCAGCGGCCTCCGCGGCGCGCTCTGCTTTGCGCTCGCGCTCGAGTGGCCCAACGAACTGCAGCGCCAAGTATGTTGTACTGACGCAATCAAAACCATACTGTTTACTCCATGTCGCAAGGTGATATTGAACTACTTATGTTGTCGACTCAGGAAATCATCACCGTGACCATGGTGATCGTGCTCATCACGCTCTTTGTCGGCGGCGGGGCCACCGTGCCCGTGCTCAACTACCTCCAGATCAAGCGACTCACGGTGCGTTCTGTGAATCATCGAATGCAATGTATACATGTCGACGGCGGCGGCGACGGGGGGTGACGATGTGTGTGATGTAGCCAACGGAAGAGCTCGCGATCGACCAAACCGTCCGGCCGTTGAAACGCATGCGCGTGTTGCAGTTCGACGCCAAGTATTTGGTCCCGTTCTTCACGCACATGCACCCGGACGTGGACGGAAACGTGTCCAAAGCTGCCGCCGACGGGGACGGACGCGCGGCGGCGGCGGCAGTCGAGATGCAAGATGGACATGACGTGCGCGCGCCGGCGCCAACTTCGTCGTCGCCCGCTGGTCACAACGAAGATGAAGACGGCATCGATTTCGCCAACATGCATTAGGACCACGGACTAGCTTGTGTGCGTCGTGGGATCATGCATAGATGCAACGAGATCATAAATAGCAAAACGATGGTTAAATAAAGCAAACAGCACGATCTATGACGACAAAGTGGACGGGTCTGGCGGTGATGCAACGACGTTGACGTGGTCGGTATCGTCCGAGTCGTCGGCTTCCCATTCGAATATACGCATGTGGATCAAGTCTGCGACGCTGAAATGCACCGACTTGGCGGTCGTTTTGGGCTTGGGCACATGGGGCGGCTTGTCGAGGAGATGGCGTAGCTCGTCTCGAAACTCGAGGGGGATGCGGTTGCGAGCATCGCGGAGCTTCTTGGTCAGACCTGCTTCGGGCGGAGCATGGGCGTACTTCTTGTGTAGGGCAGACTTGCGCACGGAGTCGAGCGACGGCCGCACGTCCAGACTCCTGCGGGAAGTGCCACGTGGATGGAACGCAGTGGTGGCGAGCTTGGCGTTTTTGTACCCGCTGACGAACCGCACGACGTTGTCGCTGTTGCGGATCGCGACGGATTGGTACGAGGTGGCGGCTGAGATGGACGAGTCGCGGGGAAGGGCCGCGAGGTTGGACTCACGGAGGAGCAATGTCGACGGCGAATCTGTAGAAATGGCCGGAATCGAGGCGATGGCGTCGGCAGGAGTAGGTGCAGATGTGTCGTCGTCGACGGGAAAACTTGGGCGGACACCGGCGAGCTCGAGGGTACTAGTACTGCTGCTGTCGCTGTTCAAGAGCATGGTGGTGGGGGTGTCGGAAGTGGACGAGGGCGGTGGGATGGATGGAGCATTTTCTCCCCGTGGAAAGGAAGAGCGATGACGAAAGAAGCTGAATTTGTCGGTCACGATGGCTTTGGGTCGCATGACATCTGGACAGCTCGACGCGCGTGGTAGCATGTAATCGAAGCTGTTGCTGCGGAGTTTGAGGTTGTCTGACGAGGGATCATCCATTTCCGACTCGCTGACTGAGCGTTGTCGGAGGAGGCTCGAGGATGGCGAAGGCAACAAGGGGGTTTCCTCGGGGTCGTCGTCGCGCAGGCCGCAGTTCGACGACAACAAAAGCGTAATGGTAGGTTGCCCAGTGTTGAGCTTGACGTGGAGTGAACACCGACCCAGACGTCTACCTGTTGCATTACGCGAGTAAACTTCTTCGTATGTTGAGAGCCCGCTCTTGAAGAAGCGTCGGCGACGGTACGAAGCGGGCGGAGATTCGTCGTCGCTACTAAATGCATCACCGCAGAGTCTTTGTTTGTTGGTTTCCATTGTCGGGGAAATGGGCTGTGAGATAAGCATCGACGCAGTGACGTCCGTCGTCGCAGAAGTGGCGGAGACGGCGTCGAGGTACCTTGGTGGAGTGCAATGAATACTGTATGGGCGCCTAAACATACATCGAAGTTCGAAGTTTTCAGAACACTTGAATGCACCAATCACAGTGCAAGACAGCCTACAACATATTCCATGCAGCAACGTTATTCGGTATTGAACTACGATCGGAATGGCGGGAGCGCGAGAGAGCATGCCGAGTACGTGGAAGTACAAAGCAGAGTGCATGACTTGGGTCATGACATATGCGTGCTTCTTGTGTGCAGGGGTGTGGTGTAGTAAAAGGTACCACACAGCATGGTGTGTTGAAAACATTTGTACCTACTTTATGTGTTCTTCTCGAAGTTGAACTTGAGTGCACAGTGCACTCAAGGGAAATGATGCTTCGAAGAAAGACAAAGTGGGGGGACGCGCTACAGTATGTACTACGACTGCATGTTATTGGAGTTGGGGTTGCTTAGGACTTTACAATGGCGCACCACTGCGTGAGCACTGTATGCCAACGTTAGAGTGTGCTTTGGCTGGCTGAATTCTACGTTTTGTATACGGATGCAATACACTGAATTGTACGCCACATGGTTGAAGTTACGATGAATACTGTTTTGTCGGAAAGGTGTGCAAAGAGGAGCTGGAGTTCATCTTGACCCGATGAACTTTGCATTTCAAGCGATGCTCTACTGTAGTGCGCCGGTGCGTATGACTAGTTAGTAGGATTGATTGATCCCGCTATGTACCGGTAGTACGAAGGGAAGGAGCGGTACTGTACACTGTAGTGTTGTTGTCTGGAACATTACTCCCATTATATACCTATTGGATGGATTATTCGTTTTTCCGGGTAAAAAAAACAGGCTAACGTTAACTGTAAATCCCTACCTGAATGATGACTGGTTCATTCACTCGAGCACTTTACTGTAATTACGGAGTTAAACTAACTGTAAGTTAGTTGATCGCAAAAGTGGAAGTCAAGCTCTCCATGAACTCAGTACTGTAACGTCAGCCTGACGATTGTGAGTTCAACTCTACCCGTTTTCACATTGCACAGCTTGATATCTCTGTATCTGTACACTGTAAAACAATGGTCCTAATTAATTACTCATCGCATCCGGACGGTTACGGAGGTTACTCTATTTCCTACTAACAGTGGTCGAAGGCATCGAGGGTATATTTATGCATATCTCAAGGTCCAGTTGTCCTTTTTCAGTGAAAATTCGTAGGTGCTCGTAACTAAACGCCATATAAAAAATGTCCTTTGGATGTCAGATGTAGAAATGAATATCTTGTGACAAATGTTACAAACATGACAGAAATTAGACAATTATCACATTTACAATTAATAACCTATATCGTTTAATAGTATTTATTTTGCGTTTTATAAATCAAAGCTTATACGAGTACTCTCAAATTTAATCTTTTTGAAATAACCCTAAACCCTATACCTTTGATGCGTTCGACCACTGTAAGCTTATTATTAAGTTCTACATGTGTACTAGTAGTACTCGGTAAAACTATTAATAATACCGCTACGCAGTACTAGTATTGGGTTAGTACACTTATGCAAAAGTGCCAGTCGTATTCTGGAACAGCATACACTACAACTCCATCTTTCCTCGAAGGGTATATTATTACCGCTGGATAAATATAACGTGAAATTATCATAGCCGCCGCCGCGTCATCACGGCGTGGACCAGCCTATCGTCATTCATACTATCATACGTAGTGTACTATTCTTTTCGTAATAGCGACCCACAGGCCTGTCAAAAGTAATACTAAGCGTTTGAATAGTACTACTAAAGCTTTGAATGAAGCAGTTATAACTGTAATACGTGTTAGAAGAACTCTTGACCAATATAGGTTTCGTAAGCACTTCCTTGTTCCGCGAGTTGTAAAAAGAAATATAACAACCTCTAAAACCAAATAACATTCGTTTGCACAGGCATCCCAACCAGCTGTGAAAGGCCCCAAAAGAGGCGAAGTATTTGACGCATTTCTTGTTCGTTCTCTGCCCGACGTCCTTGGGCATCTCCCGCGCACGTCCAGAGTCCACACCTTCGTTGAGGTACTTACATCAACGTTGATCTATATGAATGCCTTCCCCGGGGAAGCCACGCTTATTGACAGGAATGGAATGCTCCTTCGCCGTGTGCGACGGCAGTGTCCTGACTCGAGGAGCCGTGAGGAGTCATGTTCGCTGTGGCCCTCATCGACCCCTCTTGTGTTGGTTAGGCAAGATCATGCAGCGCAATTCAGAGGCAGGAGACAGACGGTATGGAGGGGCGGCGACGAAGAGTCAGTCTTGGAAAAGTCGAAGCAGCAGCCACGACCTAACGACTCAGTCGGCGAGCAACAGCAGCGGCATTGGTGCGCCGGGTCAGCCCATCTCATCCACAGACTTTATTTCGTCCAAGACAGGGTACTTGACCAAGCGATCGATCGGCGCCATCGACGCGCTTGCAAACTGGCGCGAGCGGTTCTTCGTCCTCGCGGAGAGCAAGTTGTGCTATTACAAGGTGGGCGGCGGCATCTTTTCGAAAAAGAAGGAGGAGGAGCAGGACTTGGCGCACTTCAAGGGCCAGTTGGAGCTCACGTCCGAGACGGTCGTGAAGAAGACGAATATCGACAACAAAGCCAACTGTTTTGAAATCAACACAGGCGACAAGCGCATGTTTGCACACGCCAACACGATCAAGGAATGCGAGGACTGGATCAAGTCGATCAAGGCCCATGTGATCGCGCTGGGGGCTGCCGGCGTGCGCGGCAGTGGCGGCGACAGCAGCTCCTCCCCAGAACTCAAGCCCACCGCGGCCCAGGTAGAAGCGTCGGCGTTTGCATCCAACGTGACGGGGCAGCAGCGCAGTGAAGACTACTCACGACCGAGTCTGTGGGACAGCCACGACATTGTCCGAGGCGCAGAGCAGTCATCCGACCCCAAGGACGTAGTGATCAAGCAGCTGCTTGAAGAAAACCGTCAGCTTCGCGAGCAGCTCACGCAAAAGGACCAGAGTACGTACGCCCACTTGGCCATGTTAGCTCTGCCTTTTTGTGTAACATGAGTGCGTGTATAGTTATCCACCAACTGGAGACGAGCGGCGTGCCTTTGGACACGACCGCGTCCTCGTCCACGGCACTCACGTCGTCGTCGCGCGACACCATGTCCATACCCCGCAACTCGTCGCTGGCCCGCGTGGCGTCGGCGGCGTTTGGTGCCGCGGCCGTGCCCAAGCAGATGCTCGACCTCCGCGACCTTCGCAAGAAGCAGATCCAGCTGTTTGACGCTGCCGAGGTGGGCAACTCGCACCTCATCGCGACCCTCCTCCAGAACAACGTGATCGACGTCAACGGCGCCGGCATCAACCAGTACACGGCGCTGCATCTAGCGGCGCGCAACAACTTCCCCAAAGCGGTCGCAGAGTTGTGCGGACGCGGTGCGGACGTTAGTGCGCGCACGGCGGACCGCTTGACGCCGCTGCATTTGGCCTCCATGGAAGGCCACGCCGGGTACGCAATAAACCATGTATATATATAATGTCGCACAACCTCCTCCGCTCGATGTAAATATATATATATATATTTGGACTCGGGAGTGTTTGTCGTTTGTACAAACATGCGTAAATGTAACGTTCAAATGGATATCTCTTTTTTTATTCATTTCGGAATATTAATTTGTGTGTGCGAGTGTATATTTGGGGGATAATTATTTCTGTCATTCCCGTGGGTTGTATGAATAACGATGGTTAAAAATAGAAGGAATATATTGTGCTTTCGAGTGAAATTTCGTGTGGTGGCGTGGTTTCTCGTTGGAATTTAAATCGATTTGATTGGCTACCTCAGAAGAGCTCAACATTATTAGCCAATCAAAACCTTTTCAATGAAATTCAACCAATCAGATCGATTGTGGAGCGGTTTGGTTTGCGCGATTCGATTGCACCCCCTCCCCAAATTTGTATCAAATCGACAATATATGAAAAACACTTTATCACAGCGTGAATATTGTAAATCAAATAAATAGAAACTTTTATACCGGGTGTATTGACGACTGGTGTATCTATGTAGCTGCGTCGAAGAACTACTCAAAGCCGGGGCTGACCCCAACACGACCGACCAAAACGGCAACGGCGCCGTGCACTTGGCGGCGGAAGGCGGCAACATCGCATGCGCCAAGCTGCTGATCGCGTACGGCGCGCGGGTGGACGTGCCGAATGCGTCAGGGTCGCTTCCGCTGCACATTTCTCCGATCGGGCACCCCATCCGCGTATTGCTGGGCAGCACCGACAAGGCGTCGGCGTCATCCGTGGTTCCAGTGATCGACCCCACGGACGACACCAAGAAGACCGAGATGCATGTGACGTTCAAGAACAAATACCACGAGAGTCTGGCGCTGGGGCCGCGGGACTTCGAGTTCATCAAAGTGCTCGGGCGCGGCGCGTTCGCCAAGGTGTACCTCGTGCGCGGGAAGGGCGCGAACCGGGACAAGTACTTTGCACTCAAAGCGTACAACAAGCAAGCGATCGTGCAAAAGAACCAGGCGCAGTACATCCACACAGAGAAGGCGGCGCTCCAGGCGTGCTCGGACCATCCGTACATCGTCAGTCTGTACTATGCGTTTCAGTCCCAAGACCGCCTATTTCTTGTGATGGAGTACTGCGGCGGCGGCGACTTGCTCTCGACACTCACCCGTCGCAAAGCGTTCTCCGAGCCCGAAGCCGCGTTTTACATTGGCCAGATTGTGCTCGCGCTGTCGCATTTGCACTCCAAGGTACGAAAATAATTGGTTACTGATTTGGGTTCGAGTATATATATATATATGTTGTACGCGACAGAGTTTCGTTTTGTCTATATATATATATATTTGTTATTTTAAATATATATATGGATGAATGAATATATATATTATTATTATTTTAATAGTACATGGATAATATTATATATATATATATATCCATGTGTATTCATTCATCCATATATACATATATTTAAAAAATCGAAGAGAAATAATAATAATAATGATAATAATAAGTATATATATATATATATATATCATAGATTGAAAACCTGACGGTGGTCAAAACTATACATGTAGGGTATTGTGTTTCGAGACTTGAAGCCTGAGAACGTCGTGATGGACTTGGACGGGAATGCGCTGCTGACGGACTTTGGCATTTCCAAAGAAGGCGTGGCCGATCACTCGTCCGCCAACACGTTCTGCGGGTCGCCCATGTACTTGGCGCCGGAAATGCTATCTCGTTCAGGGTATGTGAATAAATACCCTCTTATGACATGTATTTATATATTTCCATAGCCACGGGTTCCCGTTGGACTGGTACTCGGTCGGCGCGCTGCTGTTTGAGCTGCTTACGGGGTTGCCGCCGTACTACACGAACGACAAGAAGCAGCTGTTCCACAACATCCTGCGCGGCAACCTGATCATCCCAGAGTACATTTCCCCGCAGGCTCGGGACTTGATCCAGCGGCTGTTGTGCAAAGACCCGAACCAGCGCCTCGGCAGCGGCGTCCGGGGCGACAAGGAGATCATGGAGCACCCGTTCTTTGCCTCGATCGACTGGGGCAAACTGTACCGCAAGGAGATTCCGGCACCGTTCAAGCCTAAAATCGACCTGCAGACGGGCAACGCGCCCCCAGACACGTCCAACTTTCCAAACACGTTCACAGAGCAAGAGATCACGGAGATCGAAAAGGGCATGGCGCCGCCGCCGCAGCCCGCGGGCAACAACAGCAGCCGCGTCAAGGACGAGAAGCGCCTCTTCAAGGACTTCGACTTCACGCCAGAGGTCAAGCTGGACAAGGAGGCCGCGTTGTACGAGGCGCAGCTGCTGTTGCACCAGAATAGCGCCAAGCACCTCAAGGCCCCGCCGCTCGTTGAGAGCGACGAGTACAGCATCTAGGGACGGACCGAGTCCTTGTATTACTCTCGTCGTTAACCACTGTGAAAAAGAAGAATTCCTACTAGTTCTGGTGCATTTCATCTTAAGAGTATAAAACAATGCCATGTCTTATTCCAACTTTGTATTGATATTTATTAGGAAAATAAGCCGGAATAACGATAGAACAAGACCAACAGAAGTTACGGTTCAAAATTTCGATTGGTGAAAAATTGATCGAGTAATAGAATTTAAACCAACCGGCCTTTTTGTACGGAGATAAAGGAGCATCAAGGATTTTAAGGGACACTTGCTACTTCGAATTTGCCATTTCATCGGAAATGATTGGTTGAATAACTTCGAACTGCGATGGAAATCTAGATATTTAGCCAATCACAAAGTGCTTTTCACATATTCAAATCTTATTGGCTATAATATTCTGTACTTCCATAAAACTTCGGTGTCCCTTAAAATCTGTCGCCCCCTGTATTATATCTTGGTCTTTGTGAACAGCACTTATCCGTATGAACGTTTCATTGTATCCGGATTATTCAAGATGTTTAACCTATTTTCCAGATAAAAAACGTAAGTAATAATTATTTAACGTAAACATTACGTGGGTTAACTGAAAGAACCGAGGCGTTTAAACTAAAACGTCTCCTCCTGAGGATGGCCAATCTGTAGTCTTTACAATGTTAGATGAAATGCACCATCACGTACCGTAGTACAGCACCAACTACAACACCACGTCACTGTTAACCAAACAAATTCATAAAACATTGTAATATGTATCACTTCTCAGGAGGTTTATATTATTACGTGCAACTTCCCCTAAAAATCTACTATTAATAGTACTTCGAACTTCCGAGTAAGATTTACCACTTGACTTCCAAGTAGTTTTGAGTAATAGCATGAGCCAATCAAAATCGATTTCCCTCATTTTTTTCACGATTTAGAAAAAGCATCTTTTTCAAGTTTGGTATAGTGAGTTGCGTAAAAAATCGCAGAAAAGGAGGTAAAAACCTGTATTGTGAATTCGCTATAAACTTCCAAAATTCGCCTGGTTTGTCTAATCAATATTGAATCACCCTGGAGTCCTGATTGGTTGAATATACTTGTCCTTTCGAGCCAATCAAATCCAATCAAAAATGGAGACGAGATTCGATGTACTGTACTGTATCGAATCCACAATATTACTTGGAACCACTTTTTCACTTGCTAAAAATATCTACTTGGAACAGGCCCCTAAATTGCAAGCTATTATCACGTATACGTATAGTAGATAGTATCACGAGGTATACTAGCCAAGAGGTACTATATTACTACTATGTACTTTTGAAACAATCCCATCGCCATCCATACTATTGGTAGCTAGCTAGCTCTACACTATGACTGTATGATGGATCGTGCGGACTTGGTCCAAACAATTTCCATGTGTGTCGTGCGTGTCGGATCGACCCACGGCCGACTAAGTTCATGGCCCGAGCCAGAAGCCGGGGTTGGGTACGTCGCCAGTGTGGAGCGCCTGCCATCGCGCATGAGTCGCCGCCACGATCGCGAGCGCGTCCGCTTCGGTTGTCATCGTGTCTTGGCTGAGCGTGTTAACCGGCTTGCCTTCTGGCACTTTGTAGTTTTTCAGCCAGTCGACCAACTGGGCCACGATCTGCGGCTTGTGTGCGTGCAAGTCGTCCACCGAGTGGATCAGGGGGGCGAGGGGGTCGTGAACAGACAACGCGATGATCTTGTGGTCCACCTCTCCGTCGTCAATCAGCTCTAGACTCCCGAGCACTTTGACGGGATGGACTGACCCCATCGGGAGCATCGTGGAGCCGATTTCAATCACGTCGAGGGGGTCGTTGTCGCCGCCGTGGCCCATCGCGTCCTTGGTCGACGGGTCCTCCCACGTCTGCGGCAACATGCCGTACGTGAAGAACGGAACGCCGTACAAGTAGTACCGCGAGTGGTTGGACTTGGTCACGTCTTGCTTGATTGGGTTGAATGCCGCGTACTTGTTCACTTCCATCTTCTCCATGCGGCCCTTTTCGATCTCAACCACGAAATTCACCACGGACGCATTCACGTACAGCGGCACGTCGTGCCACGGCGACCGCTTCGTCCCCGTGGTCGGATCGACCAGCGTCAGCTCAAAGCCCGGCGTGCCAATCAACGCCGCTGCCGGCGTCACTTGCACCCCTGACGACGCCGGCGTAAACTCTCGAAACGGAACCGAATACTGCAAATACGACGGGTCTGCCTGGCGTTGGTAGTACTGAATCATCAGATCCCATCCAGCCTGCGCCATAAAGCCAGGCGGAACGCACGTCGGGTCGGCTTCCCACGTGTCTGGCACGACGCCATTCGCGCACGGCTGGTACCCCTTCTTGGCCATGTACCGCATCTTGGACCCGGAAATGGACAACAAGTTGTCGGCTTGGTTTGTGTCGGCCATGGGTTTCATTTTATGGTCCGTCTTATCGTAAAAAACCTTGGGGAAGCTGAGAAAATTCATGTGTTCCATGCCAGGTGCCAAGTGGAGCACGTAGCGTCCGTGGTCGCCGGCGTACATGTCCTCGTCCGGGACGTCCGAACGCTTGATACCCGCGGGGTCGCGTCCCACGACAAAGTACGACGCGCCGGCGTTCTTGCGGCTCTTGGCATGCCACTGCACTTCGCGGGGACCGGCGTACACCATCGGGGATGGCCAGATCGACAGCACCGTCGACGCCGGATCGAGCATGCCGCCGTCTTGGAGGATGGCTTCGTGCTGATGGACGCGGACGTCGAGGGGTACGTCGTCGTCTTTGGTCCATCCGCCGAGCGGACTCAGCCACAGCACGGGGTTCTTGAACCCTTGGTCCAGCAGCCACTGCCGGCCCTGGTTCATCAGGTACGCGTGTCCGGCGTGCGTGGGGTTGCGCGTCTGGAAGGCCAAGACGGCGTCGGCACCCAGTGCATCAAACTTGGCGCGGAGCTCCGACGGCGTGAGGCGGAACTTGTCGAGGCCGTCGTTGTACGTGACCCGCCGGAGCAGCTTGATTTCCCCGCCGACCAAGTACTCGCCCGAGGTTTGGATCGCCTGGACGTATGGATGGCCCAGGTCGAACGCGCCAAATGTGCGTGTGATGCGCTCTTCCTTGCGGTGGTCAAACACTTCGGGGTTGGTCAGAAGCGCCACTTCGTCGCCCGTGCGCGACACCAGCACGACGTGGGGGGCGGCGTCGACGTGCAAGATGGCGTCCTTGGTCGCCTGGTTCACGGGCAGTACGATCGGGATCGGCATGTTGACTCGTGTGCCGCGGCCGACGTCTTGCGTCGAGTACTCGGAAAAGTTGGTTGTCGCGTGGGGGTTCAATGAGCCTGCCGTCAAATTGTCGGCGTCAAACACGACTGACGAGAAGTGCAGGCATTGCAAGTATGCGCCTTCGCGCATGAAGCCGCGGAGCGGGGACGCCCATCCTTCGCCCAACACTTGGACCCAATGCAAGTCTTCGTCGCGAAGGAGAACGCGAACGGCAGCGGGGGGCGTCGTCGGGGGGCTGGCGACAACCGTCGGGTACAACGCGTCAAAGTCGGCGGCGGCGTTGCCCCCGTCGGCCACGGCCATCCCCGGATACCCGCTCGGCAACGCATCAACTCCCGTGAGCAACCCCTTGCGCTTCAAGAACGAATAGACGGCATCCACTTCGGCGTCCAACGTCGAGTTGGGCGTGAACAGCGTCAAGTCGGCGCGCAGCGGCGCTTCGTACGGCGCCGACACGCCCGTGAAGTCCTTGATCTCGCCACTTACGGCCTTCTTGTACAGACCCTTGATGTCGCGCGCCATGACCACGCTCAGCGGCGTGTCCACAAACACTTCGTAGAACGGAATGTTCATCTTCTTGTGGATGTCGCGGACGTCGTCGCGATGGGCACGATATGGCGACACGAGGCCGACGATCGTGATGGTGCCAGATTGTGCAAACAGCGCCGCCATTTCGCCCACCCGACGGACGCTCTCTTGGCGGTCGGCAGCGGAAAACCCGAGGTCGCGGTTCAACCCAATGCGCACGTTGTCCCCGTCGAGGCGATAAACTTGGATGCGGTCGTGGATCAGCTTGGCTTCCAACGCGCGACCAATCGTGCTCTTCCCACTGCCAGACAGACCTGTCATCCAGATTGTAGCGCCTTTTTGCCCGATCGCGGCAAAACGAGTGTGCTCAGTCACCACAGATTCGTCGTAGAACACGTTGCGCTTCATGTCTAGCTTCTCCAAGCGCTGCGCGGCACAGAATTCCCCCTTTCCATTAGACAATGGAGTGAAGACCAGCGCAGCGAGTGCCAGGTATGGCGCGAGGACTAAGACCCACCACACAATGGTGCGCGCGCGCGACGACCCGCTTGCCGGACGCACTTCTTGCGTCATCTTCACATCCATAGGATCCATATCTGTGGCGTCTTCTTCCGACAGCTTGACCGATGTGTACTGCACTTCGTTCCCCATCTTAGTCACCGATGCGGCCGCGATGGCACAACTTGCCAAATGAACAAAGGCATCGATCCTTCGATTACTTTTCATTGGCCACTGAAATCGTGTGGAACATCAAACGGATAATGCACTTAATATCCGGACAACGGGATTACGCTCGAGAGTGTTCGAAGCAATATTCGAATTCAGAGGTCCATGCTATTGAGAAAGGTATAAATTGTCACCGAATATATAAGGTCAAAGGTTCATGGGTTGACCACGTTCAAGGGGTTGGTTGTCATGCATAAATGCTCAGTGCTCGCTCGGCTTGCATACGCGACTGCTGATACGGGGTAGATGCTAATGTTACGCAGACTGCAGTTGTAATACCATCTACTTCAAAGTATTTGGGATATGATGCTCAAATCAATACTTTGTCTGTCCAGTCTAAGTCTATCTCGACCATGGGCAACCCGTTCCCTCGAGAAGGCGCGTGGACGACGTCAGCTTGTTGCCTTGACATCGACGGCGCACCTTTCTCGCATGCTTGCGGCATTGCGAACGAGTACGAACACGCGTCCATTGTTTCGTCAACTTCTTCGTCCGGTATCATGGCCAAGTCGAACGGTCCCATCTCATCCATACTGCACACGATTAGTTAGTCCTTCGATGCGGCAGAGTTTGGTGTAGCGTACTTGTGATGCAACGCCCGCCATGGCGCGTGGTGCTGCTGATGGGGATGCTGTTGGTACGTCTGGGATGACGTCAAGAACGGGGTGTCGTGGTTCCACGTAGCCGATGTCGCATACGGATGCTGGCTATACACCATGTCACAGCATGTTCATGGGAACAAGCAGTTCGTACTTGATGTGTGAGAGTTGCATCCATGGTTCGGGTTTCGGGGAGATTCCGCCGCGGTCCGACGTTGCCAATGCGCTAGAGCATGATCATTCAGAAAGAGCCGCGACTCTGGTTGATTTGTCCGTAGGATCATACCGAACACGGTCGAGAGGTGTATGGCGTGGCGTACGCTGCTCATCCTCTACGTCCTGGGGTAATAGAGTTGAGTACTTTTCGATGTTCGAACTATCGTATATCGAACGATGCAAACTGAGAGCGCACGCACCGACAATGCTGGTGCGAAGCACGATCTGTCCTTGGCCTTGCCGCTGCGGCGGGATTCCCGCCTTTGCTTGGCGAACCTACCAAGCCGCATGAACATGTGAAGGTCGAGCAATGTCAACTTGCCATCGATTTTTGATCGCGTTGTCCGTTCGTCCATGGAACATCTTGGCAATCTTGCTCCACTGGTTACCGTGTTCAGCATGGGCGGCCACAAGGAGCACTTCCTCTTCCTTGGTCCACGGTCCCTTCTTGATGGTCGCATCTAACGCATCGTCAGCGGAATATCGAATGTGACACCCATTCTACCGAGATGGTTGTGCCATCGTTCCCGGCACTGTTTGCCACTACGCTTGGCGCCGTTGTGGCCGTTCGCGCATTCGTCATTGAGGATCTTGGCGAGTTTCGACCAGTGTTTGCATCCAAGCTGAGCCACGAGCGTGACGATTTGATGGTCCTCGTGGGCGGTCCAGGACCGCTTGCCCCCTTTCTCACGCATCCCGCCACCGTCGCCTGATGGCATTTCGTAATACCTGTCCATAAGGTGTGTTGTCTACAAGCGGATAAGTGGATGGAGCGATGAGTGTCGTATGGGAGCGCGATTGAGGGTTACACTGCTTTGTTAATGGAGACGTCCGCTGATGTCGTCGCGTCCTTTGCTGTAATGGAGTGGCAAACGCGATCTTGCAGCCTGGCTCAAGAGTCGCGATCCTTGTACGAGTTATGAAACAATTCAGCCAATCCGAAAAATGTACGATTACAAACGAATGTACCCCCTCGGCCAACAATATTATAATAGTTCAATTTACTACGTATTCGTATGGTGATAAAATATTACTTGAATTTCCGTACGTACGTCGTAGAGTATCTAGTACGTACGTCGTAAGAGTATCTAGTACGTCGATGTATGAATAATCCCTATGAAAACGTATACTATATTAAAACATGGGGGATGTGGCGGACATCCTCGGCGTGAGCGGCGGCGGCACGACACCACCGCCATCCAAAGGTCTCCAGAAGGACGAGAAGCCCAAATCAAAGACAAAAGGATTGCATCGAGAAGTGCTACTTTTACAGGAGAGCAAGCATGGCGGCGGGATAACTCCCCGTGGCGTGGGTGGACGCACCCATGTGTCCATCATGCCCGGAAGCAACCTTCCCATGAAGAAGTCGCTGTTGTCGCAACGACCTGGGCTTCGCAACAAGTGGTATAACCCATCCTTTGATCCTTCTCCATCTTTGAGCTATAGTATTGACGCTATCTAGGGTACGGCGGGATTTCTTGAATGCGGCGCGGACGGACGGGTTAGTGTTGACCCATTGGGTCAAGTCGTCGCTTCCGGAAGGGTTGGAGTACCCATTCGCCCGGTTCAACGTCACATGCGAGCTCCCTGCATGCTGCACGAAGGACGAGTTTGACAAAGTTCTCGCGGCCCATCGAGATCCGTTGATTCCGACGCCGTGGACATTCCACGATACCACGTACCTCTGGGATGTGTGCAAGCGCTTCGAATTGCGGTGGGTCGTGATCACCGATCGGTTCACGGCGCCTTCGAACGTGGCTCGATCCATGGAGGACATCAAGTACTGGTACTACGAAGTGGTGCGCCTTCTCGCAGATTCGCGGCAGGTCAAGCCGGACACATTAGGTGATCGGGACTCCACCAAGTTGGAAGTGGACGGGTCAACACCTGCGACAGAGTCCCTGCCGTCCGTCGAGGCTAGTTCTATTGACGAGATCAAGTCGGAGCCTACGGGTGACGCGTCTGCCGGTGGCGTGGCCGACGACAGCGTCGCATCATCACCTCCCCCGTCGGTGGCCGCTCCCCCGTCCGCTTCAACCACGTCACATGCTCATCGTTTCCACATTGCCTACGAAAAGCACCGCAAGGCGACGCTGGAGCTGCAGTTCAACCGGTCTACCGCCGAAGAAACAGCCATCAAGAAGTTACAGGATGAGCTTCGCCAAGTCGAACAGCAGCTCAAAAAAGCCATCGTCAAGGTCGACGCCAAGAAGAAAAAGGTAGCGCCGACGTGTGTGATGATGTTGGCTCACTAGGAGGATGCAGGAACTGGCGGACGCGCGGACCCAGCTCTCAAGGGACACGCCTGCCACTGGCGTGTACTTTCGATCCTCGTTGCAAGCGCTGCCGTCGCTCAAGATGGGACTCAGCGCCAAACTCGTCAAGAAGATGACACTCATGCTCGAAGAAGTAGGTCTCGTCTCCCGTCTACTTGTATGAATGCCGCCGTTGTCTAGTTTGGAGTGCCAGCTCGACCGATGCCCACCAAGCAAGTGTCGGACTACTTCGACAAAGTACGCCAAGACATCCTTGCTCTCCTCGCGCTGCGCAAGGCTTTGGCCGCCAAAGTGCATGAAGTCCACGTCACCGCCGACAAGCTCACGGCGCTCACAGGTACAGTACCTATCTACTAGTACCTACTAGTACCTCCGTCCCCTTGTATATATTTCTTCTTATGTATGTATCAAAATATTCGATTTGAACAAATATTTAACGGCCAGTCTGGCAACGTGAAATATTGCAATATTCTAAGCCAAAACGCCATTTTGGGGCCGAATGCAACAAATTTGATCAAAATTGAAACATACGTTTTAAAGAGTTTTAACCCAATTCCAATAAATACTTCGCGACGTGGGATTTACTCGTTGAAGAGGTCCAAAACGCGCCATACTATTACAAAATGGAAGCCTTTTACCTCCATTTTGATTTATTTGATTTATCCCATTTTGCCAAAAAATAGAATATTCTTTTTGAAATGTTACCAGACGCACCCTAAAAATAATATGTCAATTTCACAACAATGACGACGGCAGGCGTGCCACACATTCCGCGCGCGACGAGTCATGTCCCAGATACACCGATCAATCATCTCCCGACACTAGCGCCTGGAACGACCGCCACGCCCACTGCCGGAGCTATGACACCCACGCCATTAACCACCCCTACGCCCGTCGGCGCCGCGTCCAAGATTTCCGTAAGGCCGGAGCATCTATATCTTGTTTTGTGTGTGTATAATATGTATGTGCAATGGGGAATCTGCATTTCTCACATTAATCACATGTGGGTACTGTATAGCAAAAGGGCGGCGGCTCGGGGCTCAAGCGCAAGGTGGTGGCGTCCGCGGGTGGCGGGGCGGCAGCGGCGGGCAAACGGCCCAAAAAGTAGTCTAGCTAACGATGCTCCTAATTGAAAGTGTTTTTCTTTTTGCATTGACCGTGTTTTTTTTTTTTCATCTTTTTTTTTCAGGTCATCGCATCGAGGTCGTTTTTTTTTTCGTTTTTTTTAGACTTTTTTTTTTCTGCCGCGGATAGCATCGACGAATACGTACGTACTTCGTCAACGTAGTTTAGTAGCCGTAAGGATGGTAGGCAGGGCCACCCATGCCGCGACCGCCGCGGCCACCACGGCCACGACCGCCACGACCCCGAGGAGCGTACCCACCTCGGCCGCCACCGCGGCCACCGCGGAAACCACCGCGACCCCCACGGCCTCCACGACCGCCGTAGTTGTACCCGCGTTCGTTCACGCGCTTGGCAGTGACTTTGAGCTGTCGACCGCGGAACGTCGTGTCGTTGAGAAGAAGCGCGCTTTCGACGGCGTCGTGGTTGGCGAATTCAATGTACGCGTATCCCTTGGGCTGGCCCGTGAACTTGTCGCACAGGATGGTCACGCGGTTGATGGTCCCGCAGCTCTGGAAAAGGGCTTGCAGTTCTTCAGGCGTGGACTCGTAGTCGACTTGGCCGATATAGATGGAGTTCTCATCGATAGACGCTTGTTGTGCCGCGGTCGGTGCCGCAGGGGGCTGGTGTTCTTTTGGGATTTGCGACTGAACGTGGCTGTGCATTTGGTTGAGCTTCTGTGCCTCCTCTTCCATTTCCAACACCCGACGCTTCATGTCTTCGATCTCTTGGTCCACTTCCTGAGCTTCATTGCTTTCAATCGCCTCAGCTTCTGCGGCGAGTTGGTCGACGTCGTGTTCCGTGTCCATGGTGGTGGTGGTAGTGTGTGTGGGGCGTGGAGTTGCAGAAACCAAAACTGGGGGTTGTTGGTTCCTGGCGAATGTGTTTTAAAATAAACCATGAAGGATTAATAATACTAAGGTATTTGTATTACAGACGTTCCAGATGCAATAAAACACGACGAATTTATATAACCTTATTCTCGAATCCCAAGATCAGCCAAATGGAATCTCCACGGTTCGTAGTGAGTTGGCATATGCCACACCTGAACCCGCTACATAGGACGTGAGCAAATGCGAAGGAGACTCTTCTCCCTTGTAGTTAGCGTTACCATTGAGTTCGCCACCATGTACAGGGATACAGCTCGGGCCTGCCATGCTATCTTAAGCCAGGGAACCCTTCAAATTGCATCCTGCCCTGACGTCAACATGACTGATGCTCTGGTTCCCAGGCAGTACTTTCACTCTACTGAGCATATATACGAGTAGCTGCGAGGCGTGCATGCTGTATACTCGTGCTATATGTGTGATGCATGGCTAGTCTCCGACTGACACTCTCAGAACAAGTCACGCATCAGCAATCAGGACGTGGTCAGGCCATTCAGGAGCCCGATGCCTCATCGATAAAGTATATTTAGCGGATGTCCCTTGTCCACCTAAAAATACCCACGTAACACATTCCAAGCACACCCCATTCCATCACGTTGTGGTGGCTGGCTTCCACTCACACCTCTTCGATCCATCGCACAACACGACATGGACGTCCTCGACGCCAGCTACGACAGCGTGGACGAAGTGGACGAGGACGCGGAACTCGAACTGTCGTGTGCGCTTCAAGACTTGACCACGCGGTGCAAGTCGTTTTCGGCTAAAATGACCGATGAAATCCCAGAAATCGACGACGGCGAAGTGAGCGAAGACGAGGACCTGGCCGCCGATGCCAAGGCGCGCCCGTCGTCGCACCAACTGCGATACTGCGCAGACAAGCACACTATCGACGATGACGACTATTACAACCAAACCCACGACGAACTCACGACCATTCAGTGCAATATCAAGCAACTTCTAGAGAAACTCGAAGATGCCGCCGCGACACCAACGCCGTCGACTTCCGTGCCATCCCTTGGCCGCCGCCAGGACTGTGACGACAACCACGAAGGTATGGACGAGAAAGCCACCCCGCCGCCGAACAGACGACAATCGATGACGACCAACCAACGACAGGAAAAGTAATGACAAATCAACCAACAATAATCGCGATTACATTAACATCGTGCCAAGTACGCCAACACGCGGCGCTGCAGCTCGACTTCGTCGGCGCGGAGATCCATTTCCGCGGCGTGGTGCGCCATGTCAAACTGCATTTTATGCTGCAACAGCTCGAGCAACCTCGCGGCCGCGCCTCCATCCTGCTCTTCTTCTTCTTCTTCGTCGCGATCGTTCACGGTCGAGTCGGCCGCCATGGTTTTGCCGTGGCTACTCAAACACTAGGTAGTCAGCCATTCACTCACAATGTGTGAGCCCTACTCGAGACGGCGGCGGCTCTGTCTGGAAGAATGGAGGTAATCCACGAGCTGGTGCTGCATGTGCAGCTCCTGTGCACGGAGATGCTGGTCCCGTCGGCGCATGTCCATGTCCAGTTGTAGCTTTTGCTCAACGATGCGAACGAGTTGGGCAGCAGTCGAGTCGAACGACATGTCGTACACTTTGCGTTTGCGGGTCGCGGCCGCGGCGGACGTGAGGTGATGCAGGGGGTGGTGTCGAAGCAGGGCTTGGTTCGGGTGTACGAGCGAAGGCAAGTGCGGCGGCGACGGGGTGTGGCGGGGAGGGGGATGCAAGCGCGACCCCCCACCTACTGGGTGTAGAGGGGCGGCCCGTTCGACTTTGAACGGGGCGTCGGGGGGGTGTTCCTGCAGAGACTTCGTTCGTTCTGCTGTGATGGACGGAGAAGGGTTGGCGACGCAGGGCGACGATGCGCGGAGTACGTTTTCTGCCGGCGCGACTTGGACCTTGAGCGATGGGAGGTGGATGGGGGGTGATGGAACGCCAGTCGAAGCTTCCATTGGTGGTCGATACAGGACAGGGGACGGTGAAAACATGGCGTGGCGTTGCGCGGACGACGAAGATGGCGGAGACGACTCGGTGGGAAACGGCGTCTGCGGACGCGTGGGCATCAGACTGAGCGGGGGCTCTCGAGGAGGGTGCTCCCCATGGAGTGAAATTGTCGGCGACGACTTGGTCGGCGACGGTGACGACGTGGTTCCGAGTTTCAAAGTGGAAGCATGCCGCAACGACTGGAGAAGCGCCTCCTTCCTCCTGTTCCTGGCTTCGCTTTCGTCCTTGAACAGTTTGTCGAAGCGCTCCTCGTCGAACCATCGCATGAGCAGGTTGCCTCGATCCCTGCATGCAAGAGTATGTCATGGTGATGGGCAATTTGTCGTCGTCGTCGTTGTTACCTGCAAATTTGCCACTTGCATGCTGTGCGGTTGTCAAAGATCTGGGCGCCGAAATCCCGCGCCACGCGCTCCCACATGGCGAGTCGAGTACCATGTTTAGCCGCGATTGGATTGTGGACCTGGATGAGCTCCAGCAATGCTACGTCCATTGCCGACGTGAACTTGATGTACTTGACGCGGACAGGTTGCACAGCTTCCATTGGCGTGCGACCTAAGGTTCGTCATGAGGACATCTGTCTGTGTCGATGACGCCATTGACATCACGAGGAGCTTACCGTCCAGCATCGAGTGATTGGGAATGAGATGCCCCAAGCATTTGCAATTCGCGACCACCGTCGCGAAGCCATGAGTAACAACCTGGAAATGACCATAATATATTTTCCAAGATTTCAGTACTGGATGACGACCATATGCGTCACATGATATGTTATCCTTAATCGTCGTACATTCACACAATTTAAATAGTAGGTTCTATGCTTGTATATGAATAATCGAGTACATATAAAAATGTTTACATAATATGATTCGATATTTTTACATGTTACTAGACATACGACGAGTTATGTGACTTCGCATAAACTGCAAATTATCTTCTATTTTTAATTGGAAACCCTCGATTCACAAGACTGACAAACATCACAGCGCATGCCGTGTTCCTTTAGGTACTACCCCCGATTAAAGGCGTTGGTCGCGTCCTACAGGATTCGCCTTGGTTATCGCAAATGGACATGTTGGTCTCCTGCGGGCAGCGACACTTGTCAGGGGGCAATGGAAACTATCTCTTGCAAAGGGTTGTTCAATAAATCTGTCAAAATACCAGTAAGTTGGAATTACACACTGGTGTAACTAATGTGGGTTGTACCGCCTTATCAAATTGGTTCTTAACGCTATCGTACTGTACCCAGGTACAGTACCTGTACAGTGCACTCTAAGAAAGACCGTCACCATCACAGTAAAAGGGCTGGCAATTACATGGCATTGCCCGATGGCTGTGACTAAAGTTACTTGCTCAAGAAGCAGCTCAATGACCCTGCGACCAATATGTTTGGTTTTTAGAAAATTCGGATTTTGTGTCTTCCAAGGTACAAACCTGTATAAACCGATAAATTGTACCGTCAAATACTTCCGGATCTATTATTAATAATAGGTACAGATATTGTAGTTTTGCATATTAATACCTTACCTTTAATTACTCTGTTTAAGGTATTTCAAATTACTACTCGTATACCCTATTGAATTGTGTCCTTCCACCACTGATCACAGCTCAACCTACATCATGAGCGGAATCCATAAGTCTCTCCTTAAGGTCCAGCAAGCCAAGGTGGTCTCCGCCGTGACTCAGGTACTAGCCGATCCACCACGGATCTGATGTGTGTCTAGGGTGCCAAGTTCATCGGAACGCACAATGGCACGTTTCATTGCGACGAGGCGTTGGCTGTTTCGCTCCTCAAGATCTTGCCGCGCTTTGAATCGCACGGTACTCTACGCCATGCGATATGCGTCTCGTGACGGTTGCATCATTCATGGTGTAGCCATCTTGCGCACGCGTGACTTGGAAAAGTTGTCGCACTGCGAGGCCGTGGTGGACGTGGGTGGTGAGTACGACTTTGCCCGCATTCGCTTGGACCATCACCAAAAGACGTTTACCGATGCGTTGGATGGCGAGAACACAAAGCTGTCGAGCGCAGGGCTCGTGTACAAGTACGTTGTGAGGCCTCCATCATCACCATGTTGACAGTCGATAGGCATTTCGGGCGCGACATTTTGCAAACCATTTGCGACCACTCGCTCTCCGAGCCAGTGCTGGAAATCATGTACAAGAAGCTGTACAAGGGATTCGTGGAGCACATCGACGGTATTGACAACGGCGTCGAAGTCGCATCTGGCCCGTCCAACTACGCCATCACGACGTCGCTCAGCGCCCGCGTCGGCTACCTCAACCCGCGATGGAACGAAAGCCAGTCGGACGACGTTGTCAACAGTCGTTTCCACCAAGTTCGTTCTGCCTCCTCGAAATCTCCTAACAGACTGCCACGTCATCATCATCTAGGCCATGAACTTGACCGTGTCGGAATTCGTCGAGCGCGTGCTGTACTTCTACGAAGCGTGGCTGCCGGCGCGATCCATCGTCGAAGCGGCGCTCAAAACTCGCTTCCAGCTGCATGAGAGCGGAGAGATCATGAAGTTGGCGTATTGCCCGTGGAAGTCGCACTTGTACGATATCGAGGCCGAGTTGCTCATTCCTGGCCAAATCAAGTTTGTCCTGTACGAAGACTCGACGGGCGGCATGTGGCGCATCCAAGCCGTGAATGTTGAAGATGGCAAGTTTGCCCTGCGCATGGGACTGCCGGCGGCGTGGCGCGGCCTTCGCGACGCCGACCTGTCTGCCGTGTCTGGCATCGAAGGCGGGACCTTTGTCCATGCCGGCGGCTTCATCGGAGGGAACAAAACGTTCGAAGGCGCTTTGCAAATGGCTATTGCAACGTTGAAGCTGGCCAATTAAGACACACCGCTTTCAATCGACCGACCTATTCATGGTGATCTCACTCACTACCAGTTGGTGTCGAGGTTCCACCAACGATATAGCTAGCAGGCTTGCAGCCATTTGGTCATGTATTGGGTCTCATAAGGCTATAATGACGTTCAAGGCATAGATAGCTGTTGCCACCTTCGTGGAGGACGATCGATGAAATGTCGAAGCGTTGTACTAGTATTAATAGTAACGTTATCAATAGTACTGTACTGGTACAGTATTAATTATTCTACGTACCTCGAAGTATTTTAATACTATTAATCTGTACAGTACTATTAATATTAAAATATTTATAATGTACTATTAATATTAAAATGTTCTATTAATATTAAAATGTTAATAGTACTGTACAGACTTCAAGTACTGTAGTCACCGAAATTAGTCAAGAACTAGTAGCCAATAGCATTTGACCCTATTGAAGCTTGTTCAAACTATACCATACAATGTTTAGCATATATCTCAATTTCTTCGAAGAACTTCGTCGACATCCATCATGGCAAGGTTGCAGCCATATCCGGTTATTATCCGGATACGACCGTTGGAGAAACTGTTGACAAAGCAGAGGTCTGTGGGTTGTGATTGGCCGAAACAGACGATCTTTTGAACTTCAACGTCTTGTAAACAGTGGCGTCGCCAACAATCGCTGGAAACCATTGTTCGATTGACGTGGAGATCTCATGGCAGAAGCACGCGCGGCCGTCCATGTGTACGAGGGGAATCGTCGTGGCGTCAAGCTCCTGGTGTCCCAGGAAGGGTCCATCGAGGTATCGTTTGTGATTCCGTCGCCGAGTGAGTTGCGCTCGACCATGGTCCGCCATCTCCACTACATGAAGAACACGGTGCAAAACGTGATTTACCCCGTGCCCCCTGCCGTGGCCGGCGCCATCGTCGTCGTCCTCATTGGCGTCGTCGCCAGCTCGTCGGAGGATTCGTATTGGCGACACAGCACGATTTCATGGTGGGTGTGGCACATTGGCAATTTCTTCGTCCCGTTTGCATCGTCCATTCCCCGCAGTTTGTACGTGGCCTACTTGACGGCGTGTGCTGCATTTGCCGGCCTCGTGTTGCTCATGTCCATCCATCGAATCATTCTCCGCGCTCTCTTGGGCTACCGCGGCTGGTTGTACTTGGCTCCCAAGGAAACGTCCATGGCCGTGACCGCGTGGGCCGCATTGATCAAAGTGTTGGGCGGGCATTCGCCCTTGACGTTTTCGTTCCAAAGCGCGTTGCCGCGCATGTCCGTGCCGCCGTTGAAGGTCACATTGGAGCGATATCTCAAATCGATCCACCCGTTGGTTTCGGACGACGAATACAAGCGCATCGAAGGACTTGTCGCCGAGTTTGAAGGCAACGCCGGGCCCAAACTGCAGCGGTATTTGGTGCTCAAGAGCTGGTACGCGGACAACTACATTTCCGACTGGTGGGAGCAATACGTGTACTTGAAAGGCCGGTCGTCAATCATGATTGGCAGCAACTACTATGTGCTTCCAGCGCGGTACATCCCATCGACCAACCAGTTGGCGCGCGCCGCGGGGGTCGTCCGCCAACTCATGGAGTTCAAGCAGAAACTGGATCGAGAGCAGCTGGCGCCCATCATGCTGCGCGGCCTGGTGCCGCTGTGCATGTCCCAGTACACGCGCATCTTTTCGACCACGCGGCTGCCCGGCCGCGACGAAGACACGCTGAAGAAGTACCACTCGTCGAAACATTTGGCCGTGAACTGTCGGGGTCGGTGGTTCAAAGTGCCGTTGTTCCGCAAAGGCACCCACGGCGACCTCTTGAGTGCGTACGAGATTGAACAGCAGCTGGTGGCAGTGTCGTCTGCGTGTGCCCCGGAAGACGACGTTGTCCAGGAGCAGTACCTCGGGGCCCTCACGAGCGCGAACCGGACGACGTGGGCCGAGCACCGCGACGCGTTCTTTTCGGAGGGACTGAACCGGCAGTCGCTGCGCGTGATTGAGTCGGCCGTGTTTGTGTTGGTGCTGGACGACGCCAGCCCCGAAGACTTGGACGAGCAGGGCAAGCTGCTGATCCACGGGAATGGCGGCAACCGCTGGTTTGACAAGTCGTTCACGATGGTGGCGTTTGCAAACGGCAAGGTGGGCCACAACGTCGAGCACTCGTGGGCCGACGCGCCGGTGATGGCGCACTTGTGGGAAGAAGTGTCGTTTCGGGAAATGCTGGACGAACCGTACGACGTGGATGGACGTTGCAAGAAGCCGGCGTCGTTCAAATCGGACGTGACGCTGCCGCGGTGCGAACAGCTGCAGTGGAACTGGACGCCCGAGCTCCACGACGCTGTGACGGCGTGCATGGCGACGGCGGCCGCGTCGATTGCCAACTTTGACCTGCGCGTGCTCAACCACCGCAAGTACGGCAAGGCCGCGATCACGAAAACGTGCAAGATGAGTCCGGATGCGTTCCTCCAGCTGGCGTTGCAGTATGCGTACTACAAGAACACGAATGGAACGTTCACGCAGACGTATGAGGCCAGCATGACGCGGCTGTACAAGCACGGACGGACGGAAACGGTGCGGCCGGTGACGGATGAGTCGAAGGCGTTCGTGCTCGCGATGGCCGACCCAACCGTGTCCAACGCCGCGCGCCGCCAGCTCGGCTGGGCCGCGGGCGAAGCGCACCAAGATTTGTACCGCAATGCCATGTCTGGGCTGGGCGTGGACCGTCACTTGTTTACGCTGTACTGTGTGTCTGTGGGCATGGGGATTGAAAGCCCGTTCTTGAAGGAAGCGCTGAGTCGGCCGTGGCGCCTGAGTACGAGCCAGCAGCCGCAAGCCCAGACCGACTTGGTGTCGATCATCAAGAAGCGAAAGCTCGTGGACGACGTGAGTCGGTGCATCTGTCCTGGGGGCGGGTTTGGACCGGTGGCCGCGGACGGGTACGGCGTCAGCTACATGATTGCCGGCGACTCGGACCTGTTTTTTCACATTTCGAGCGACAAGTCCTCGGGCGTTACCAGTTCGACGGCATTTGCCCAAGACCTGCGCACGGCATTAACGGAAATGCGCGCAGTGTGGAACGATTGAGCAAGGGATGATGGAGTTGGGATGATAGGCAGCAATATATTAATATTTCTAGTAGTACTAGTATAATTTTGGATGAAGCTATATACTTTTATTTTGCAATATATGTTCTAATTTAACGATTACCATAGTACTTCGAAGTAGTCCACTACTAATAAATATTAGTATCCGGATGTTTCGCGATCCACTACTAATTATTAGTAGTAGTGGATCGCGAAACATCCGGATAATTAACCGGAAATTAGTGGGGGCTAACATGCCAACTAATGCGTAATACTGGTAGTAAGTACTTCAAGTAATAGTTTGGCACTAAGGTATTATGTATTTACAAGTGTTAAGTGTCAATAAATAATAGAGACTTTTAGCAAATTGGAATTTGGTGAAATTCCTGAAATCTTCTTCGTTCGATTCTTCGAAAAAAGTTGGGGAGCGGAATATCAAAACCCCCGTATAGCTTCAACGGAATACTTTCAAACTCCTGTACGACAAGAAATGCAAGTTGGTGAGTAGAATTGACCTGAATTGGTTACCATTGATTGACTGTGAATGCGTGAAGCACCATCCATCACGCGTCGCTGTAACGTTAGCCATTGCTTTCGGCTCGATCTACACACACCGAGCCATAACGTCATGCTACTGTAGTTCGGGTAACGTTACCGTACAGTATCGATATGTTTTGTCGTCTCCCCAGCAACTCGTCAGCGGCGTTGCTCTACGGTAGTACGGTAACTTTGATATATTTGGACAACGTTACTGTACGAGTGGAGTCGTACAACAATTGCTTCGACAATGCACAATACGCTGTAACGTTGTAGCTCAAATTATGGCTATGAAACAAGCAGAACACTACTGTGGCACTGCCTATGCGTTTCAACAGCGCACGTCGAGCTGTATTCTCATACTACACCATTTTGCACTTAAGTTGGACGAATGTCCGATATATTTGGCCGTGCACCTGATATATTTGGTGGTGTGCCCGATATAATTAGCCATGTGCCTGTTTAATTTGGCACACCGAGGTCGTGTGCCCGATATATTTGGCGGTAATTGGCCGTGTGCCCAAGTAATTGGCCATCTGCCCGATGAATTGTGTCGTGAGCCCGATGAAAATGGAATACTGTAACTCAAATAATTAGTATGTTCCATGGAGTGCAAATCAGTTTTGGTGGAAACATCATGTGGTTGAAGTTCGGGGATAACGCGCGAAGGCAAGAATTCGAAATTTATACTTGAATAAATTAAGTTCAAGTTCATAATGCGCGTATATTGAATGCTCATTATTCGAATCGCCAAGGAACGCAGAGCATGGACCGTAGCTAACTCTGGTAATAATAATGTCAATTGAAGTATTGCCCCTACACTTCAACGTTTCATCCATACTTCAAACTCCGTCCAAAATTTGAATCTGCTCATTTTTCGATTTACCTCATACAGTACGCACGCACCCACGATGGACGCGCGGAGGCCATGGACAACATGGGCGTTGGTACACGTCACAGCAACGATGCTGCATGTGTCGTTTAACGACCATTTCTATATGGGTGGTGGATTGTGCTTGCTGGACGTAGATGAACTGTTCATACATGTACTTCAAATTCACTCCAATGGTTGACACAAAAATCGAGCACCAGCCAAGTACGTCTCAAGATGGAACGCAATCGGTTGAGTAGCAGGCGTTGCCGTCTAGCAAGTTGAGAGCGGCACACAGACGCGCATCTTGACGACTGGTTAATTGTCAACGCTTACTAAGCCAATGAACGGGGTTTAATTTGTTAGCAATGGTTTTGACATCGAAATTGCAAATTCCGTGATTGCTAAAGGTGTAACTTCAAATATCCGAATCAAATTCGCGAAGTGAATTCGAACGTAGTTAATTTCGGGAATTTGATCAAATTACAGGTTTGCTAAACGTCTTTATTGTCTGTTGATTTCCACGAATATGAGGTGCAACTGTGCGAAATGAGGCTGTCATTTCGTATACTACGTAGTATTTGAGTCAAATTCCAAGCGGAATTTGAAGCTCTCGAAGTTCGTAGATGTGTATAACCCGAAGTTCATTTCAGGAATATCAAATTCCTGTCGTCGAACAGTAGTAAAAGTCTTCAATAAATACTATCAATAGTAGTAAATTCTCAAAGACGACGGACGGCGAAGGGTATACTAGTACTAATACGTAGTGGAGTAGTTCAGCGGTCTCATAGCCGTGAAGATCCATGCGACAGTAGAGAGGTTTTGCAAGTGTCCGCTCGCAGTCTCGTTCTACTTATCTGCCAAAACCGGAAGTCGACCTGTCAAACCTGATGTAGAACGGGAACGCGTCCTCTTAAATCTGATTGCCCATCCGCGAAAAGTGCAGATCTCAAGGACTGGCATTCCAGTCTGCTCCGTGATAATTGCATATGATTGGCGGATCTTGGCCAATCAAGAACGGCATGACCCTCCAACCAAACTTGACGCGTCAGGTTTGAGTGGCGAGTGGTGCAGTTCTTGATTGGCATGGAGACACCTCAGCGCCGCCGCGTCTACAACGACGAAGAAAATGTCATGCTTCTTCGTCGGGTGAATGCTGACCGCCCATTCCAAGCGAAGAAAGGCGAGATAATGAAGTCGTCGGCGTCCGTCGCAAACAAGGAACCTCACTATATTAAAACAATATGACTATGGCCGATATTGGCTTGGTATGAATTTTCGGTGCGTGACTTGGATAGGCGGGGTTGCTACGAGTAAATGGTTGTGTTTATATATTTTTGCGCACAAAGGAGCCCGTGAACGCCGTAGTTAACGTCTGCTTCATGATGTATCTGAGTTGGAAATGATTTCCCGCCGTGGATGAATATCCGAATAATATTTACTTGTACGGATATTTGTGAGCAGAGACAAACTACTAAGTACTAGTATGTTGGATATTCCGTTCGAACTGTGACACAAAAAGCATGGGTCGGAGCAGAACGCACCCGCGAGCGGACACTTGTAAACCCTCTCTAGTGTCCATTCTTCGTTCCATGACACATGCACGGCAAGGTGGTGGGACGAAGATAGAGCGCATGATGCCGACGCGGCGGCAGTCATCTCTTCCTGTTGTCCGCTCCTACTTATCTCGGAAGGGAAAGACGTTCGAAATACTCGATGGAAATGCGGACAGGGCGTTGAAGTTGAAGTGCATTGGCCAATGGGAAGACCCGAGCCTATATCGTGGGATTTATACCGACGGGAGTTTCATTTCAAGATTTGCAGGCGACGGGACACAACAGCATGACCCAAGGCCCGCGCGATACGAATGCATGCAACTTCGCATGTGGAACAACGGTGAACTCGAGCATCGATGGAGAGATTGGCCACGCTCCGAACAAGGTGGACGAGCCAACGTGTTTGAAGAAAATTGCGCCACAACAGAAACCCCAATACATGCAACTGCCTGGACGATATGGGCGTGGGTTTGGCTTTGGTAGTGGCCTGCCAAGTTGGCATTCAGCCAAAGATCGCACCGCCAAGCGTGTCACCAGCTCTTGAAGACACCCCCGTATGCGATTTAATTTATTTCCTTCTCATACGACCTGACCAGCCAGTGGAGTATTCCTGTCTTGCTCCAAGGCCGCCAAACGTGTGAAACATTTGACAAAGGGCATAATACAGTACTACGTAGTATACATTATTTATTAGGGAGAGTCAATACATATATGGTAACTTAGGGATTATCGATCTGCTTTTGCTTTTCGATCACTTTTGAAAAGCAAATTTATATTCACAAAACCATGTCCACGGTATTTTACAGTTAATAACGAAAAGAGGCAATATAGAAATCTATATCCGTATCCGCATAGGCGATCGAAAGAGACTGGCTTACGAACGCTGTGATCGCTCCAAGTAGGACATCAAGTAGGACGTTAGGACATTAATGTGCCTCTTAAACTCGATTCATCTATATTCATGCACCATACAGGTGTTCTCGCGCACTAATTCATACTCCGCTTGCCATGGGGTTGTGCAATCCTGTCATGGTTGCTTGGTCTATCCAAAAGCAAACGTCTCGGATATACACTGAAACGCATAAAAGCAGCGCTAAGCCTTCCAACTGTCATGTACGCCTCGCTACAACTACTCTAACACATCCTCAGCTGGTTCCCAGTGCGACGTGAGTACTGGACGGTAGGCAGGCAGTGCTGACCATAAAATAATTTTCCGTGGATATATTCATTTTTCGTATAAAATGATACTACGTAGTAAACGCTAACGTATTTTTGGACCAATCAGAAATAGGTTATTCGAACTTCAAGTGGTAAAAGATAAATATTCTTTGTCACAGGAATAATTCGTGGTTACCACGACACCTGGCTTCAAAACCACTCGTAGATATATGGGTGAATATGATTACTTTGCGGACACTGTTCGGTCAATTTGAGTCGGACATGCTTGACATAATCCCATCACAGGAGTCGTAGTAGGTACCTTCCGTTGCGGTAGATCCATCATCCACACGTTACTGTACAGTGATCTGAGTCCTCCAATACCGGTATGATCGCGCTGCCGCCAGTGTTCTCGCGCCTTGCATCCTACACATTCATGGGGCGACGGGTACGTACTTCATCGCGCATCATCATTGTAGCACTTCGGGAAGTATCAGGAATGCGCTGGAAATTCAGTGAAATTATTTGAAGATTGCATTATAGCCAATCAAATCGCGTAAAACGTGATTTGGTGTCAAACGGCGCACATTCACTCTTGGATTGTGGTCCAGACATTTGGTCCACACCGGCACAATCTGAGCATGGGACGGAGTTGTAATCAAGGCATGCGATCACAACACAACTGACATGACCGAGAGTACGACGACGACCTCCACACACAAGACCACCACAGCTGATGCGTCTCCTGCAAATGGGTGCACTGCACGACTGGTCACATTATCCAGCACTGGCACGAGTGCCAGTCCACACATCGCCACCCGCAGTAGCGACGACGACGCTGTGAGTCCGAAAAGCCGAGGCCAGCGCCGCGAACCAGTCGTTACCCTTCCTGCTCGATATGGGCACGGGTTTGGCGTGTCGTTACCGAGTTGGCATGCCAGTAAAGCGAACCAAGCCAACAGTAGCCGCACATCCACGAGCAACGCCAGTAGTGCAGCATGACCCCAAGCAAGTGTGCCATATGCATTATGATCTATGAATCCACCGTAATATATTCTCTATTATTCTGCCTCGAATACAGTCGTACTATGAGACCACACGAGATCGATCGTCTGGTTACAACAGCACGAGTTGCTGGTCCATAAAATCCACAAGCACAAACCGCACCCACAGGTAGATGGCCACTCCAAGCAAGATGGAGATCGGAAGCGCCGGCAGCGCCTTCTTGTACACGCTCAAGAGGAACAGCGTACTGCCCAGACCCTACAGGCCCAACCACGTCACAGCCCAACCACGTCACACCCATCTTACCATGAGGATCGACACAAGGCACGCAAACATGGCCGACACGTCGAATAGGGCCGCGCGCGACACCAGCACGCTGTAAAAGACAAAGTCCCCCAGCCCCAACTTGATCGTGTTGTCTACATACATTTATTCGATTCATTCACACCATGTATACGTATAGTCAAAAGTGGAGTGGGGTCAGACAATCGATTGACCAATCAAAACCCAGCACACGAGTCAACTGGCCAATCATATCATCTCTTCGACCAATTCAACAAATTAGTGTGACTTCGCATAATCTTTCCATACAAAAATCAGTACAAACAATCGATCGACGTTATATTTGGCAAAGAATCACAAGTTTGGGTAAAAGAAAAACAATATGTAGACTTGACATATACACTAGGCATACCGTCGTCATCGTCGTCGTCGTGACCATATTTGGCCGCCAGATCGGTCCACAGGTCGCGCTCCCGGCCTTCGTACAGGGCAAGCACTTGGTCGATTCGGTCGATGGCCGATGGATTGTATTCATGGTAGAACGCGACAAGGCGATCCCGGAGGGGCAACTTGGCCGGCACACCTTTGTCCGACGCAAGCAGTGGCTCTTGGCTGTCGTCGTCGTCGGGACGGGACCGGCGGCGTGTAAACGTGCATGTGCCACCGGCGGCGGCAGTCGGCGCGCCGTCTAGCTCGGGGAGCGGCTGTCCTCGTTGGTAATACGCAGCGTTGGCCTCGGCGGTTCCCGTGGAGTGAAACGTACGCTGGACTTCGGCCTCGTACAAGAGTCCTGGAACAGAGTAGTAGCTGTTAGGGCGTGGTAGGACATGATAATAGTGTTGTGCTGATTCTAATCAATAGACACAACCTAACGAACACAAGGATCGGCAGAAGAATTGAGCGAATCAGATTGCAGGAGGTTATTATCGACATTTAATTAGTGTGTGACTGAAATTAGTGTGAGTCCAATCACCACAGGACACTTTTTCACATTCAAGGTTCAGTATTGTCAAGTCGATTCGAAATTGGAGTGTTTGGGTGCTCAATGAGCAGAAGAACCAAATCGGCATGCAATCGATTGACCAATCAAAATCCAGAATACTAATCAAGTGGCCAATCAAATCCAGTATTCGACCAATTCATCATCAAATTAGTGTGTGACTTAAATTAGTGTGACACTGGACGATCTTTACAAAAGTCAGTCCAAAGAATCGATCGATGGATTTGGCGATTCAGCACAAAAGTCAACCAAATTTGGGGTAAAAGGACATCAATATATGTACCAGGTAGTGGCCGGCCTTCTTGCTGGATGAGGTTGACGAGGCACTTGAGCGGCCCGCAAGGGGTGAGCACGGCGCAGAGGTCGTAGAAGGCCAGCACGACCACGAGGGCCCACGTTGTCCACTCGGGGAACTTGCTCAGCTGCCACGCCATGATCACAGACACCGCAACCAAGTACGATTGCGTTAACGACATGTTGACTCCCTGTTAGCCGAGACGAGATGAGGAAAGGAGGAGATGTGATGGTGGGGTACATATAGAGGATGCGGCAGGTAGATGAGGATACCTTTTGGTAGAAAATGGCCAGAACCCCCACGACCGCAAAGTTGTACATGACCAACCAGTACGACCACACGTCAACGGGGATGCGCAAGTTGTCCAACGCGACTTCAGTCAACCGCCCGCCAAGGAACCCGAGCAGCACCGCGGACGACAGGAACATGTAGCCGACGAGGAACTACAGATGGCATATGATGACAACTTGCTCGAAAATATAAAGACATGGACGAACGGACGTTGGTGAACTTGAACTTGTAGCAAATGACAATCACAAACGTCGCGACGATGAAAAAGCTGACAATCGCCAACGCGTTCACGAAAGCATGGCCAAGAAGGGTACTGTCCGAGTCTCCATCTTCAGGCTTGTACACAAGATACGCTCTAAGATAAGAAGGGTAAGACGAAAGACGACAAGGTCGACGTGTATGCGTACTGGGCCATCTGCGCGGCGGCGTCGGGGTCTCGGATGAAGATCGATGCAAAGCTAGGTTTATGGAGGGGTTGAACACGCGCGATTAGACGAGCATGATGTACTCACCTCGACAAGAGCATGGTCAGCGTGACCGGGAGCAGCACCGCTTGGAACGACCCCAAGGAATGCATGAGATCTTCGATGTCGACCTCTTGGCTTTCCTGCGTGTCCAGCTCATTCTCGGGACGCGGACGAGTTGGTTTTGCCATCAATGGGACGCTGCACAGAGGTTAGTGCTTCTGGGATCGACGTATCATCGCTATGCAACGCTCTCGGAGCGTACCTTGTGGCATTCATCGAACAAGTCGCCTCAAAATGCAATGCTGTTGTTCCTGAGTGCCAGAACTGCAACCCACAAACCTATCACGATACACTTGCTTTTTGTAAGTGAATTTATTAAAAAAGTCAAAACATTTTTAGCATTTTCTAACACTATTTAAAGTCTATCACAAAGAACGTTTCACAGAAATCAACAGTCGCGGATGGCCACCACGGATTGTGCTTGGACCTCGCCAGTCACTGCGCACCAGTGGCATGCAGAAGCACTCCTTGCATAACGTTAGTGACCTTCGTCAGCCACATCCACAGTGCATGCTGTTGTCTGCAGGAAGCTTTAGGCAAGCAGAGTCTTCGATGTATTGTTCACGGGGGGGTTTATTCAGTTGACTGAACTGCTTCCACCTTGCCGAATGGACGACGACGTCATGTAGCTACCGGTAGTGCTTGATGGGGAAAAATGGAGAGCTGCCCCAAGGAGGGATAGATAACCTTTGATGATTGATGAAATCAACGGGGTACAGACTGTACCCAGAGGAGGCCAATACCATGGCAGGCTCACGGATATTCACTTCCCCCACACACTGCCTACACTGGACCCAGACCTCCATCCTCACCTACGACACATATGCCCTCGATACACGCGCATACCTGGAGGTTGCTTTCCCCGCCATATACCAGGCTACCTCAGGCTGGAAAACCTTCCCCACCATGACACATGCCACACGAGCCTGGGCAGCCTCTATTACCCACCTACACGCTCCACATTTCCATACTCAATGGTTCACGGCGCACTGGGCCGCCCTCCGCCGACACTGGCAATCCACATGCACGACTAACGTGGACCACATACGGACCGCAGGGGAACTACCCCTCCTCACAGAGGTTAACATTCTGCTCAAACGCCGTTACCATGATACCGCCCCCATGGGCCATGACCGACGCATCCGCGCCCGCAGAACCCACCTCACAGCCAAGACGCTCCACTGGCACTCCCGAAGACTCTCTTTACTACCACCCGCCATCCCCATGGGCTACGCCGACCCGACACTCCGGCCACAACGACTTCCCCCGGACCCCGAGATACACCTCCAGCGGCTTAAGCACATTCCTTTTACCCTGGAGCCGACACAAATAGGTTTTCAAGTAGTAAAGTCCGCTAGCTGCTATTGCAGCTAACGTTAGTACGCGGCCGAGGCCCAAAAGTGGCCGCTGAGTGATTTTAACTTTTACAGCGTAATATCAATATCAATATCTGTACCCATACTGACTGTACTGTATCGCACAAGTGAAGATGGTAACGTTACGATGTGGCTTATCGTTTGCATCGTTCGCGTGGTATAGAGATTCGTGTAGAAGTGATGAGCCAGACGGATCGTATGGTGCCGCCTTCACCCACGTTCAGGCCTCTGTGACGGCATGCGATCTATGACGGCATGCGATCGATTCGTCGGACGAATCTGATGATGGACGGCACTAATATCCACGGACGTTTCTCTTCCGGATAACGATTGTCCGGACAATTCCATGACACGGCCATTTTGTAATTTCCGACCACGGCACACCACCATGCAACGATCCATTCGAGTGTCCATTGACCGCGGCGGCACCTTCACAGACGTCTACGCAGAGATGGGGACCTCAGCCAGCGACGTGCAAGTCAAAGTAATCAAGCTCCTGTCAGAAGACCCTGCCAACTACCCCGACGCCCCTCGGTAACTCGCTGCTTCCTTGACTTGTACACGTCGACTTGTGCTGATGACGTGATACATTGTAGGGAAGGGATTCGTCGCATTTTAGAAGAATTTACGGGCATTCCTCATCCTCGCAATCAACCCGTGGACACCTCGCGGTTGGAATACATCCGCATGGGGACAACAGTGGCGACTAATGCGTTGCTCGAGCGCAATGGGGAGCGCACCGCGCTTGTCATCACAAAAGGCTTCCGCGATTTGCTCTATATTGGCAACCAATCTCGCCCCAAAATTTTCGACCTGGAAATCACGTCGCCCGATGTACATACGTCGTGAATGTGTTGAAGATTATGGAGCTAATCGTGGTGTAGATGCTGTACGAGGAAGTGGTGGAAGTGAACGAACGCGTGCAGCTCGTGTTTGAGAACGACCGCCGACCCACCGACATCCGCGGGGTCAGCGGCGATTACGTCCGCGTCTTGGGCCCGCTCGACCTCGTCGACCTTCGCGCGCAACTTTCGGTCCGTCCCTTTACATGGCCGTGTCGTTCTTTTTTCTCAGAAAGTACTGTATCTAGGCCGTGCGCGCCAAGGGGATCAAGAGCGTCGCGGTTGTGCTCGTGCACTCGTACACGTTCACCCAACACGAACAACAGATCGGATCGTTGGCGCATGAACTTGGCTTTTCCCAGGTACGTACACGTCAAAGTCTCCATCTCGAAAACACTTCTACAGGAGAAAAAAATTCTTCCTAGATCTCGTTGTCGTCGGAGATCATGCCCATGATCAAGATGGTGCCGCGCGGGTTCACGTCGTGTGCCGATGCGTACCTGACCCCTGTCATCAAGGTACTGTACGCCTTTCCCCCTTTTAGCATCCTACGACCGCTCATTCAATCGTCATTATGTTTGTGTTAGGACTATTTGCACTCGTTTTGCTCGGGCTTTGACTCCAACTTGAGCGACGTCAAGATCAGCTTTATGCAATCCGACGGTGGACTCACCCCCATGTCGTCGTTCTTTGGGAACCGCGCCATCTTGTCCGGTCCTGCCGGCGGCGTCGTCGGGTATGCTCGCACAACCCGTCCTCCTCGTCTTCCGGCGCCGTTGCCAGGTACATTCCGTCGATTTATTCCCCCAAAGTTACCACTATGTATCTGCGGTTTCTAGTCATTGGATTCGACATGGGCGGCACCTCCACCGACGTGTCGCGCTACGACGGCACGTTCGAGCACGTGTTTGAAAGCGTGACGGCCAACGTCCCCATCCGCGCCCCTCAGCTGGACATCCAAACGGTGGCAGCGGGCGGCGGCTCTCGCTTGTTTTACAAGAACCAGCTGTTCGTCGTGGGCCCCGAAAGCGTGCGCGCACACCCAGGCCCCGTGTGCTACCGCAAAAACGGCTACCTCAGTGTCACCGACGCGAATTTGGTCACGGGGCGCATCGTCCCCCAGTTTTTCCCGCACATTTTCGGCCCGTGTAAGCGAGATATGACGACGTTATGCCACGTGGAAGAAGACGTACTAAATACTCGTTGGGATGTGTAGTGGAGAACGAGCCGTTGGACGTGGAAGGCACCCGCAAGGCGTTTCAAACGCTCTCGGACGAAATCAATGCGTCCCAACAGACGGCGTATTCCGTGGAAGCGATTGCGTCGGGCTTTTTGCGTGTCGCGAACGAAGCCATGTGTCGCCCGATTCGAAACTTGACCCAGGTATGTGTAACAATGAAATGTCATTGTGTGGTTGTTGGTGGTTGGATGATCAGTGTTGACGACACTATTATACATGTGTAGATGCGAGGATTTGACATTACGACGCACGTGCTGGCGTGCTTTGGCGGCGCCGGACCGCAACATGCGTGCTCGATTGCAAAGGCCCTCGGGTATGATGTCGTTGAAGCATACGTTGTTGGGGGCTTACTAAATGGTTGCACAGGATGAGCAAAGTGTACATTCAACGATACAGCGGTATCTTGTCTGCGTACGGATTGAGCTTGGCAGACAGCGTCATTGACAAGCAGTGGCCTGCGTCGTGCCCGTACGTTGCGTCTGAAAAGGTACGGCAAAAATCAAACGATAGCGATTATTCCTGGCATCAAGAGCGGCGATGACTTTGTGGCTTTTCTGTAGCCGTCGTTGGTGGCCAAACTGCAATCGCTGGCGTCGGTTGTGTTGGCGGACCTCAAGGCCGAAGGGTTTGACGAAACCCATAGCACGTTGGAGTACTTTCTCAACCTCCGTTACGAGGTATGTACATTCGTACCCGTTTTGTTTTGCGTACATATCTCCAATGTGTGGACAGGGCACGGACACTGCGCTGATGACGCGCGCGGTGCTGCCTGCGGGCACGACCGTACAAGCTGGCCTGTTGGCGTTTGACTTCGACACGGCATTCACGACCAAGTACCAGCAAGAGTTTGGGTTTCTGCTCCATGCGCGGTCCGTGCTGGTCGACGACATTCGCGTCCGGGGGACGTTTTCGCCGCCATCCAACTCGCAATCGACCCCCACGACGATTTCAACCACGTCGGCCTCGCCCCATGCGACGACGCCGCTGTACTTTGACGAACTCAACGCGTGGAAACCCGTGCCCGTGTACTTGCACTCGGAGATGCTCCACACGCAAACGGTGGTACAAGGGCCGGCCATCATCATGCAAAACCAAGCCACGGTGGTCGTGGAATCGGAATGGACGGCCGAAATCTTGCCCAATGGCGACTTGTACCTGTACTTGTCGGCTCCGTCGTCGGCCCTGGCAGACCAAGTGCACGACCAAGACGTGGCCCCAGTCGTCGTGATGGACCCGATCCAATTGTCTGTCTTTTCCCATCGCTTCATGGGTATCGCCGAACAAATGGGGCGTACGTTGGCGCGCACGTCCGTGTCTGTCAACATCAAGGTACGTACGTACATATTTCTGTCCACGATGATGTGGTAATTATATAAGTGTCGATGTCCCCCAGTCGAATTGACCCCGTACTACTCTACTTTTGCCGATGATTCTGGTGTACATTTATTGGGCTGTAAAGTCGATTTATTCTCCAAGTCGCTCTACTTTAAAAGAAACACATCCGAATATATATATATATATATCACTCATGGTACTATTTTGACCATGTAGGAACGATTGGACTTTTCCTGCGCGTTGTTTGGGCCGGACGGCGGGCTCGTCGCCAACGCCCCGCACTTGCCCGTACACTTGGGGGCGATGCAGCAAGCCGTGAAATTTCAAGTGCGCATGCTGATACTTTGAGTGGTTTGTGGCTGACAGTGTGTTTATTGTTGTTGTGTAGATGCAACATTGGGGCCACGACATTGTCGAAGGCGACGTGCTCGTGTCCAACCATCCGCAGTTGGCGGGGGGTAGTCACTTGCCAGACATTACCGTGATGACCCCCGTGTTTGAAAGCGGGCGCATCGTGTTCTTCGTCGCGAGTCGCGGCCACCACGCCGACATTGGCGGGATTGCACCGGTACGTCCATGGAAAAAAGGATTGTGTGGACTGCAATGTCGTGACGTGGCCATGATAGGGTTCGATGCCCCCGCTGTCCAAAACGCTGACGGAAGAAGGCGCGGCGATTGTCGCGTTCAAGTTGGTGGATGGGCGGTCGGGCCAGTTCCAAGAGCAAGGGATCACTGACATTTTGCTGCAAAAAGGCAAAGTCGACTCGAACGGCCGCCCTGCGATCGGGACGCGCAACCTGCGTGACAATCTGTCTGACTTGAAGGCCCAAGTGGCCGCCAACCAGCGCGGCGTGCTGCTCATGCACGATTTGATTGCCGAGTATTCGCTCCAAGTCGTGACGGCGTACATGTACTTTATCCAGGTACGTACGTACACAGTGCACCAACAATAATATTTTTATATATATCGATTCACATGTGTAGGAATCGGCCGAAAAAGCCGTGCGAAACATGCTGCACACGTTCTCCCTCGCGCAACATCTGCCCGAAGTCGGTAGCGTGTCAGCCGAAGACTTTATGGACGACGGCACGCGCCTCGCGCTCAAGATCACCATTGACCGACGCACCGACAGCGCAATCTTCGACTTCACCGGCACGGGCGCCGAAGTGTACGGCAACATCAACGCCCCGCCCGCGGTCACGTACTCTGCGATCATTTACTGCTTGCGATGCCTCTTGGACGGCGACGATTTGCCGTTGAACCAAGGATGCCTCACCCCCATCCAAGTCATCTTTCCTGAGAATGGCAGCATCCTCAACCCGAGCTCGACGGCCGCTGTCGTCGGCGGCAACGTCACCACGTCCCAGCGCGTCACGGACGTCATCTTCCTCGCGTTTCGCGCATGTGCAGCGTCCCAGGGCTGCATGAACAACCTCACATTTGGCTCGTCGACGCTGGGCGGGTACTACGAAACGATCGCGGGCGGGGCGGGTGCCGGCCCCCACTGGCACGGCCGCAGCGGAGTCCACACCCACATGACCAACACTCGGATCACCGACCCCGAAATTCTCGAGAAGCGGTACCCAGTCTTGTTGAATGCGTTTGGCCTGCGCCAAGGGTCGGGCGGCGTCGGCAAGTTTGCCGGGGGCGAAGGAGTTCACCGCGAGCTCAAATTCCTCGTGCCCATGACTGTGAGCATCTTGTCGGAGCGACGAGCATTCCAACCGTACGTTGTTGTGAATATCAGTGAGATAGATTTTTATTGGGGGGATGATGTGCTGTAGGTATGGCTTGTACGGGGGGGGACCTGGTGCCCGAGGTCACAACTTGTTGACGTACACGGATGGCCGAACCATCAACTTGGTATGTCTGCTAAATAATGAAGACATCGATGCTGATAATTCCATGTGTGTGTGGATAGGGCGGGAAGAACACGGTGGAGGTGCTAGCAGGCGATATACTCACCATCTTGTCACCGGGCGGGGGCGCTTATGGTGCCGCCACGCCTTAACATTCACAAAACATATATATGTTCAACTCTGTATGATTCATTCGTCAAGTCCACTGTGTTCCAACGTTATGACACTTCGCATTCCCGTACCAGTTTGAGGCTATGAATATAGTACACTACTGTAGGTATTGGTATCAATATTATTGATTTCCAATTTTTTTATTGGTTTATCGAATCAATATTGCACCACGCTGGGAAAGTTCTGATTGGTTGAATATCCTTGTTCTTTTTGATAGAGCCAATCAAATCCACTCAAAAGTGGATAAGCCAATAGCGTCGATTCGATTCGATCGGGTGTGAAAGTTTATACCGAATCCACAATATGTTCGAGATACAACTTTACTGCTCGGAGTTCGGGTATTCATTTCGAAATTATTATACTGTACGTTGTATTTACCGTATAGTGTATATGTATTGCGACAGGTGATATTTCACAACCGGCCGACACTCGTTCTCAAAATTTTGTTAATCCATTGCGTCATACAAATTTGAAGTATATTCGTCATATTCACAAGTAAATATCAGTTATTACAAGAAAATTATCAGTTATTACAGGAGTCGCAATAGACTAATCCATCGCAATACATATACACTATACGGTATATTGAGGGCATGAAAACAATACCCTATTGGCAGCAAGCCACGCTTGGTGTCTGTCACGCGTCCTTGATGGCTTCAAATCGCACCCGGATGTAGTCTGCCCGCCATACTTCATGACCATCGCACAAACTCTAAACAGTATCGCACACATCAACATGAGCAAACATTGTTGTGTGTACATACCCATTTCAGCACGTCTTGGACCTCGTGCATGACACTGTCTCGCATGTCCAACGGCACGTCGTCGAAGAAGTTGTCTCCAAATGTCTTGAGCCACCCCACAATCCCGTCGGGCAACACTGGCTGCCGCGAATAACTCACCATCGACTTGACGCGGAAGCCGGCCTTGGTCAAGTGCTCTTCCCACTCTCTCGTAGTTCGAAAGGTCCATGGGATTTTGGGTCGGCCGTCGATGCCATGCCGCGCCAACACGGCGACGACGGCCGTGACGATGGACGCGATGTTGCCAAACCCTCCGCACTCCACGACGAAACGTCCCCCGGGCTTCAGCGTCGCCGCCACCCCGCTTAGAATACCGTCGGCGTACGGCATCCAATGCAACGCAGCGTTCGAAAACACAATGACGAATTCGTCGTTGGGGAATGTCAGCGCTTGGCCATCCATGACGTGCGCATCCAGACCAAAATGCTCTCGCGCATGAGATACCATGGCTGCACTTGAATCCACTCCTACAACAGAAGCTCCTGTCGCCGCGATCTGAGCGGTGAGGACGCCGTCTCCACACCCCAGATCCAGGATGACGTCGCTTGACTGAGGACATAGCAGCTCCAGGAGGCTCTGGCCAAACTCTCGAGCGACAAACCCCGCAGCATGGTTGTACTGCACTGGGTCCCATACATTGAGCTCCACCACCATGTTGGATCCGAGTGCAATTGCAAAATGAAATGTGCAACATGACAGTCGCCCTGACGGTTCAAGATCGACCTGTTTGCGCAACGGTTGTTATCCGGAAACGAAAATTCAGTCGGAGTGTTTTTATTGGTGCAATTATTGGCCAATCAATTGATAGAAAAATAAAAAGGAGAAAAAATGTTTTTTTGCTGCCTCCAACTGCATCCTGGATCCGTTGTTTCATTGGACAAGAGCTGACCAATCCCGTGTCGTGAAGCCTATTTTTAAAACCGCTCAATTCTCTTGCGGAGGCATACTATATTATAATTCGACGTATCTTATTAATATGTACTAGTATATTTTTATTCGAACGAGTCAGAAACCCGCATGCATTCCGGATGGATTATTAAAATGCAATTGTTCCTATTGTTCTGCGACGACTTCGGTTTCTTACTGCCATGAGCACTGCCGCCGCTGCCGCAGTATCTGCGGCCACAACCAAGCGACCGGCGTCCAAGATGAGCTTCGACGATGACTACGTGTTTGTGGGGCGTGAGAATGCCCCCCCTGCACCGCTTCATGCGTCCGACGCTGGGTTAGGGTCGTACACAGTCAAGAAGGTCCAAGTCGTGACCCCCGTCGTTGAAGACATCCCTGCTGCAGACGAGACGATTCCGTACATGCCGAGCTTGGGCTCGTCGACAGAGATCAAGAAGCTGGACGATTTCAACGAGATCATCAATAATGCGCAGGCATTCATTGACTCGCGCATGTTGCAGTTCTCCAAGTACACTGGGTTCAGTCCGGGCGGGTGCCTCGAGGACTCGATGATGCTGCTCACTCCTCGTCACAACCCCCACGTGCAGTTTGTGAAGGAAGACGACGACTTCCTCGTGCCGCACCCCAAGAAGAAGACTCCGGGAATGGGATGGGCGAAGTGTCCGTCGCTCGACACCCAGAGTCGGCAATGTCTGCGCCAACTGGAAGAACTGGGCGTATCGTACGAGCCGCACGACACGGCGTACTCCGTCAAGTACCTCGCGCCGGTGCTTCCGTTCGGGGACTGCCTCTTCCTGTCGATGGAGCAACTGACGGCACACACGGAGGGCGTGGAGCATCTGACCCCGTCGCGGTTGCGCCTCGAGGCCGCCAAGCACTTCCACGCACACTACATGTCTTGTACTGCCGACGCCAAGGCCAAAATCGACAGCGCCATCCGCAACCTGTACTACCCCGACCTCCGCGGCGGCTGGGGTGTGTCGCCCACCCAGGCGCGGCGCTTTGTCGCGCTGCGCCACGACAAGGACTGGCTCGTCGCGCGCATCTTTGAGCTGCAAGATCGCGGGTACTCATGGCTCAAGGCGGCGGAAATGGTGTATTCGGAGCATGCGCAGCCGGTGCTGAATGCAGAAACGTACTGCAAGTACATGTGCGTGGGTAGCGACTTTGACTCGAACACGCACTTTGTCGTGTCCATGACGTACTCCCGCCACGGGCTCGTGGGCATCGACAACGACCCCGATGGCCGCCGCGTCGCGTGGGGGGACGACTTCACGCTGGAGGCGCTCGCGACGGCGTACCAGCGCGACATCTTTGTGGTGCTCGTGGGCGGCGGCCAGATGTTCTTTTTGCCACACCGACCCCACCCCACGACGTCGTCGACGTTGCTCCAGAACTCCATGTCCCTCTCCTCGAGCCTGGCCAGCAAGGCGACCAAAGGGCTCAGTCCGTGGTTCCTCCTCATGCGTATGACGGGCGGCGATCGCGGCGGCGATCACTACGAGCCCATGCACTGCACTCGGTTACGGAGCGACGGGTACGAAGAGTTTGGCAGCATTGGCGACCTTTAACACCAAACTATGATCATATTCCATTTGTACGTACGTCATGTGTGGCAGTAGCAGGTCAGTCGATGCATGCATGGTATGTGTAGGGGGGTACTGTATAGTAGCAGATTAGATACAAAGCACGCTCAGTGCGTGAAGAGTTGCTTTGAGATGGACATCCGAGTCGGTATGGTTTGGCGAGGGTAATGGAGGTTGGTGACTACCGAGTGTATGCTATGCTACCAGATCACGTCAGATCGAATGGGCATGCTGAGGTGGTCGTGGAAGGAAGCAAGCATGGACGTAATCCACATGACGTTCAATCCTGTGTATGTCGTCATAGGCGAGGATGCAGAACGAGGACGTCAAAGTCTATTCTGGCAGTACAACGTTACATGGCTTAGTTGCCGATGGTGTCCAAGCTCTTTTCCCACTTGGCAAAGTTGCCAGGAATCTTGGACCATTCGTCAAAGTTGTCGTCGAAGAGCGAGGGAACTTCAGTGGAGGCGTTCGAGGCGGCGGCGGGTTCTTCCACAACGGCCTTCTTGCCGGTGGGGAACCAGAAGGGGGCGGTGAGCACGGCGTACGCACCGAGGGTGGCCAACACAATCTACAATACAGCGAAAGTGTGAGGGGTCGCCTTGTGTGCAAGTCAATGCAGCCGTACGTCGTGGTCGTTGGGGAGCTTGGCGCGGATTGTGGCTTCCAAACCGGTGTAGGTAGGAGGAGGGCCATGCGAGGCCATGCCGCGGGTTTGGCCGGCGGCGGCGGGCTTCACAGCGCGGGTAACTTGAGTCAAACGGCCCAACATGTCTTCTTTGTCAACTGACTTGCGATTGTGGCTTCCCCACCATAGGTAGGCATTCCTGTAACATTTTATACACTTTCAAAACAAATCCAATTTTGTTGAAAAAGCTCGAAAAATCGCTTGAAATGTGCCAAATATCCGGATAAAATTCAATTTTCACATATTTTTCGACGATGACGTGGATTTCTTGGGTGAAAAGGCATCACTCCCTATGTAAATTGAACGAAACATTTCTGTTTTTGTGATACAAAATATAGCTCAAAATTTCAAATTCCGCAAGTCGAACTCTCCATTTTGACCATCATGGCGGACGATGGCACGATCCCAGTCGAGCCGCGAGTGCTGTCGATTCAATCTCATGTCGTGCACGGTTACGTCGGCAACCGAAGCGCGGTGTTCCCGATGCAGCTTCTGGGCCTGGAAGTGGACGTCCTCAACACGGTAACATATGCCCATTACACCACTTGGCATGATGCATGCCAATGTGAACTCTTCCACTTGGTAGGTGCACTTCAGCAACCACACAGGGTACAAGAAGTTCCGCGGAGAACGCATGACTAGCGAGCAGCTGGAGAACGTCGTTGCCGGTCTGGAAGAGAACGATCTGCTGCATTACACGCACCTCTTGACGGGATACGTGGGCAACCCGGCGCTTTTGCGCGCGATCACGAACACGCTGCGCAAGTTGCGACGCCAAAACCCTTCCTCGTACGTCCATCCTACGACACGAGCATGGGTGCTCATCATGCCACCATTAGGTTGTACGTGTGCGATCCTGTCATGGGCGACGACGGCAAGCTGTATGTGCCGCCAGAGTTGGGTACGTCCATCATCGTATCTCTGTCAATGTTGACATTCTCCCATCCTTGCGCAGTGGACATTTACCGCGACGAAGTGCTGCCGTTGGCCGACATCATCACCCCCAACCAATTCGAATGCGAACTCTTGTCTGGCATGACGCTCACGTCCGACGCCGACGCCATCGCCGCCTGCCGCAAGTTGCATGCGCTGGGGCCGCGCATTGTCGTTGTCAGCAGCTTCACGCCGCCCGAGGAGCCCCATCGGTTGTGGCTGTATGCGAGCCAAGCGGTCGGCCAGGGGCTGTCGAACACGTTCAAGATGGAAGTTCCGCGGCTGCCAGCGTATTACTCGGGCACAGGCGACTTGTTTGCGGCGCTGCTCTTGTCGTGGCTCACAAGGCATCCGTCCAATCTAAAACTCGCGCTGGAAACCGTGGTCGCCACCGTCCAGGCCGTCATGCGACGAACGAACGACGCGCAATCCGCCAATCGTACGTTCGTAAGAAGCTACGAACGCACGACCACGTCGTTCACACTGTCCTATTCGTATGTAGGCGAACTCAAACTCATTCAAAGCCGGCGCGACATTGAATTCCCCACGGTACGATGCCGATATATATATATATACATTGAAATATATATATATATATATTGTCCTTTCAGCCAACATTGGATATTTGTGTGCTCCTGTATATTGATTGGCTACGTGAATAGTGTTCTGGGTTTTGATTGGTCGATCGAATTGACAATATATATATCCTGAGGTTGATGCCATGACGAAATCCGATATATGCCCCCATCCACCTCCCCATCAACGAAACTTCTCGTACGGTAGATTGTCCTCACGGCGCAATTGATCGACGGGCCCATCACGCACGTGTTGTGGGATGCGCGGCACTTGGTATGATCTTGAAATCACAACTGGATAGATTCGACAGACTGACTTGTAGGCGGCCCACCAACCAGAAGGAGCGGCGGCGCTCGTCGCTGCCGGTGTCACAGTTGTGTTCTTGACCGACGACAAGGACCACGTTGTACGTTATACTCTGTCCTCTCGTGACGTTATCATATCCTGACCACGTCCGCACGCAGGCCATCAAAGCGTCCACGTTGTCGCATATCCGCCGCCAGTTGGTCTCGTCGTTGGACGCGGCTTCGTTTGCGTGGGCAGATGTGTGTGCAGCAGCGGAGGTCCTGCCAGGTATGACCATATTGAATGTGTACATGTTGAGCAATGTTTGGTAGTGAACGCTGTGCTTTTGACTGGCGTCGATGGACCCACAGCCAATGTGTATCATGTGGTGCACGACGTCGCCGCCGCCGCCGCGAAAATCATCCACCCCACACGTCCAACTACTAGTACATAGTAGTAGTAGTACTAGTAGTAGTTCCTTGGAAAAAATATGGCGATTTCTTATGTCCATTTCCACCGATAGCGGCACTACTTTCGTTAACAACTTGTTTCCACCTTGAGATGTTATGTTTGAAAGCTACTTGGAATTGCCCCTTAACTAGTACATTTAGTCATCATACAAATATTAATAGTTAGCATATACTAGTATACTACTGCTAAAAGTAATTTATTGTTGATTGGGTACAAATATTTCCAGTCCCCATCGTATCGATCGAATATCGAATCACGAATCGACGCTATTGGCTAATCCAATTTTGAATGGATTTGATTGGCTCTTGCAGAAACGACAAGTAAGTATATTCAGCCAATCAGAAGTTCCAGCGTGATTCAATTGAAAGGTAATAGCGATTTCACAATAATACTAAGTGTTGCTTAAGTCGAAGAAATCGCTCCGCCACGCTCGGCCATGGACGCGTTCAACTTGGCGAGTGCCGCCGTCCATTTCGCCAGCGCGTCCACCGTTTTTGTCGACACGTCTCTGGACGTCGTTCTAAAAAAATCACAAAAAAAATTATATATATATATATATAACACAATCACGTACGACGAAGCGACGACGACGAGCACTTTGTGGCGCTGGTCGATCTTGCGGGTGGCCAAAATGTTGTCGTTGATCAACGACGCAGCCAGCGCCTCGACGTCGGCTTCGGACATGTTCATGTCCTACACAAGCATCGGATTATTCCACAGATCCTATATATATATATATATTTATTTATATCCATTCCGTAGCTAGATGTAACCATGCAGTAGTTGTACTAGTCGTCACTCGAGAATCATTCCAGTGTCGAGCGATCATATTGTCAAGTCGATTCGAATTTGAAGTGGGGTGCTGCGCAATCGAATGAGCAGGTATTGGCCATTTTTCGGCCAAAATATGGCCATTTGTACTGATTTGCCAAATCCATCGATCGATTTATGTACTGAATTTTGTATGTAAAAAATGTCCAGCGATGATGCCGATCACACTAATTTCACTCACACACTAATTAGTTGTTGATTGGGCTATCCTAAAATCTGATTGGCTAAATTCTTTGGCCGATTCTTCTGTACATTTGGTTGTGTCGATAATACATTCGGCACGTCACTCCAGTTTTGAATATAAACACAACAATATTGTGAATATTCGCTATAAACTTCCAAAATTCGCGTGGTTTTGTCTAATCAATATTGAATCACGCTGGAGTTGGCTCTGATTGGCTGCCTATACTTGTCCTTTCGAGCCAATGAAATCCACTCAAAATTAGCCAATAGCGTCGATTCGTGCTTCGATTTGACGAATCGACCGACCAATCAAAACCGAGAACACGAATCAAGTGGCCAATCCAATCTTCTCTTCAACCATTCATGTGTATCTTATATAAGTAGTGAAGTCCGCTAGCTCCAAAAGCAGCTAGTACGCGGCCGATGCCATTAAGTGCCCGCTGAGTGATCTTAACTTTACAAGCGTAATATATATATATATATCATTATATAAGTATGACACTGGACGATTTTACATACAAAATTCAGTACAAACTCAATCCATGAATCGATAGTCCATTTTTTTCTGGGGGACAAGGACAATAGCACACACAAGAAGAATTCATAGCACCTATATAAATATATATATATATATACCTTGGCAATCGTGGCGAGTTTGATGGTTTTGTATGGGCCGACTACTTTGACCAGGACGTGGCTGCGAATGTTGCGCACGAGCGGGTCGAGGTACCTTCATGTTCCATCATATGATCATGTCAGTGTCAAAGATGGAGCGGTAATACCGTTTCATGAGCGGGTCCGTCGTGATGTGGTGCTTGGGGTGGTTCAGAATCTTGTTAAAGGTCGTAATGTCGTTGTTGCCGTACGCGTCGCGCAGCTGGAGCATCGCGTTGATCTCGTCCACGTCCTTGAACACTTTGGCTTCCCGAGAGTCGAACGGGTTGATGTCCGAGCTCGCGAGCATGTTGGCTAGCACCACATACCTACTCATACGTCACACATGTGTCCAAGATAATAATCAGGTCGAGATTGTAGATCGCGATACATACTTGAGGCACTGTTTTGCGCGGGCGTTGCCGGCTTCCTAGTCACATGTCAGTCAGGCTGAGACACTGGGTGTCTTTCTTTACCTGGTAATTGCGAAATGATTCAAAGAACTCGTTGTACGCGAGGTGCCACTGCCCTTCTGCCATGTACATCTTCCCGCCCTCTTCTCGGATGACTCTACACATCGTCACATATTGCTGCAAATGTAAATATATATATATAGGTACCCCATGGTCCGCGGGTCGGAAATAGCAGCATCCAAGTCCAATGTCTTGGGGTAAATCGCCTTCAACTTGGCCGTGTCGTTGGTCATTGTGCACAGCTACAATACACACGTTGAACTCGTTCGATCCTTTCATTCATCATGACATGGGAACATGCAGGGTTCTCCATGTGTATCCTGTCACAAGATCTGTGGGTCGCCAAACGATGTCACACCTGGATTTCGAGGCAGTACACGTCGAGGAGCGATGTGGCCTTGGCCAAGTCGTCGTGGCCGTCGGGGGTTTTGCAAGACTCGTGCAGCTCCATCAGCACGCGCTTCACCGGCGCGGCCTCGCCCATCTCCAAGTACAGGCGTCCGAGCTTGACGTTGGTTTGAAACCACAACCGGTCGTTATGCGCGCACTTCAACGCGTCCAACGTGATTTCGTACGTGGTGGACACGATACCTCGCGCGGAGGGCAGCGACGACACCAGGTCCAGGATGCTGTTGACAGTGTCCGTGAACTCGTTGCGGGTCACGTGGGGAAGCAGCGTGAGCACCTCGCGGTAATGCTGCAGCATCGCGTCGGGCTTGTTCAAGGTTGCACACAACTTGACGACGTTCTCCAACGACTTGAACTGAAAGTTCTCGGGATCCTTCACGTCGTCGGCAGTACCCTGATGGAGAGACAGCACCTGCAGGTACAGCTCCAGTGCGCGCGTGGGGTTGGACGTTTTGCAATCGTCGGCTTCGTAGAATGTGTTCTACAACAGTCATGTTACGCGTTGGAAGGCCAAGGATAGGCGTGTCGTACCGCAATCTTGATGGCCGTCTCGTCTACTACTTCGTCCTCGTTTGCGTCGTCTTGGGACCCGCCGTAGTCGCTTCCATACTCGTACTCGGAGCCGTCATCGGAATCCATGTCGGTCACGCGATGTCTGCGGCTCGCAAGTACTTCTGCCGACCGAATATCCTTTTACCATGTTATTTGACCTGCAAAAAGGTTCATAATACCCGGTATGTACCGGGTATATATTATTATTTACCGTTATGTTATATTTTGTAATCCACTTTGATGGCAAGAATAAAAACACGTTGAACTTCGACCGGTAGGTCCTTCGAACTACGATTGTATCGTGCAGACCAATTGAATTTGAAGCGATGGCAAAGCGGACAAGCGGCAAGGGGTTTCAGGTGTTGCGGTCGCTGATCAAGGACGTCGAGGTGCCGCCGCCGCTGAAGCCGCATGAAGAAGCCTTGGTCAAGAAGATCTTCGCGTCGTCCGTTTCTCAGCGCATGAAGAGTCTGAGCAGCAGCGAACGCGCCGAAGACCTCCCAGCGTGGGACGGCCCCGAGATTGCATTTGCCGGCCGATCGAACGTCGGCAAATCCACCTTGATCAATGCGCTCACATCGTCCACCATCATGAAGACGTCAAAGACACCAGGACGAACGCAGCAGCTGCATTTCATCTCCGTGGGCGGCCGCGCCGGGACTCGTCCAGATCTGTCCCTCGTCGACATGCCGGGTATGTTGGCCACTCTCGTGACAAAGCTACTAAGATCTGACACTTCCATCTTCCATAGGCTTCGGGTTCGCCAACGCTCCCAAGAGCATGGTCGACGACTTCCATCGCCTCGTGGGGCGCTATATCAAGCACCGCACCAACGCCAACTTGAAGCGCGGTATGGTCGAGCGCATTAGCATGTTGTTTCGAAGTCCCATCATCTTTCAATGTTAGTGATGTTACTCATCGACAGTCGCCGCGGCATCACGTCCGTGGACACGGACTTTATGGAATTCCTTGAGAACCTGGGCACGACGTTCCAGCTCGTGTTTACCAAGGTCGACACGTTGAACGCGAGCGGCGTCGATAAGACGCTCATGTCCGCGCAGGACTGCATCCACAACTTCATGATGATGCACCCCATCACACACCTCGTTAGCTCCAAAGACAACATTGGGATGCGCGAACTGCGCAACGAGATCGTGAGTGTCAGCGGACTCATCTATGGCCACACCAAAGCGCAACGAAGGGCCATCCGCGAATCACTAGACGACTTGAAATACCCAACTGACCAGGACAAGCCGTAACCAGATGGTTTTTATCGTATATAATATGCAGAAAAACCATATACTACGCTACTTGGCGCCGTTTGTTTGGAGAGCTACTACCAAGGGGAATGTATAATAGTAGTACTACTAGTACAGTACTTACTACTGTACGTTGTAGGTCGTCTCGTATACTAGTAGTCGAGTGTGCGTGCATAGCTGGCTACAACAGAGTGCTCAGGAGAGCAAGTACGCAATTCGTAAACGCTGAGGACACATGGAGTCGAACGGTCACTCGAACGATATGAATTGGCTAACGATGTAATAATACTTCTATTGTTAAGCCGATTCGATATTTGATTGGCTACTTGATTAGTGTTCTGGGTTTGGATTGGCCGATCGATAATATCGTTCGACCAATCCAAACCCAGAACACTAATCAAGTAACCAATCAAATCGACTCTTGGACTAGCTCAACATTTGTGTCACTTAACTCTAGTAGTACAACTATGCGATATGGGTACTGCGACCAACACGTCGAAACGTTACTTATATACACGACAACAAACAATCAATGACCAACATTAAAGTTGAACCACTAACCCAGTGTGGGTATACTGTATGGCAGCACCAGTCTCGCATTCTACACGACGTCCTCGTCACGGTTGTGACAGTGTCACACGCGTCTTGAACGCGTGCCACCGGCACGTTGCGTATCCAAAGTAGTCAAAGTCGATGGTGGACTGCGTGGCTTGGATAAAGCCCCAGAGGGCCCAAAACAAGTGCGTGGCGTTCGCGTACACGTTGGCTTCGTGTCTTAGCTGGTCCACGTGTGCGTCTGCCACGTCATCGCAGGTCGCCGACTGGGACGACAAGTAGGCGCGGCAGAAGCGCCGCTGGTCCGCCGCCGTCGGGTACTTGGCAAAGTCGCCCAAGTGGGGCGCGTCGCCGTGGTAGTTGTAGCACCATTCCGAAAAGTGGTTGCCGATGTCGTACCCTCGGGGGTTGTAGTGGCTGTACTCAAAGTCAATCAGGACAGCATCTTCGCCGTCTTTGTCTTGTCCAGTGCTAGTCGAGAGCATGATGTTGCCGTACTGCAAATCGTTGTGGCAAAACACGACGGGGGAGTCCACGGTCGCCAGCAGCGCCTCCAGCGCGGCAATGTCCGCCGCCATGGCGTCCACGTCAGGAAACTGCCGATGGGTCGTCGCGTATGCGGCCTGGGCGTCCTTGAACAGCTTGCGGATGCTCGCGAGGATGCGTGGCTTGCGGTCCATGTCAACTTGGGTCGTGTGGAACACGGCCATCTTCGCAGCGATCATTTCCGAGAGCTCTGGGCGTCGGATGTCTTCTGCAGTGCACGTACGGCCCTCGATCATGCGCTCGAAGCGGCCGTTTTGGAACTCCCCGACCAACCCAATGCCAAGGTTTAACAGGGACAGTTCCTTAAACACACGGATTTCTTCTTGGCGGGAGAAGAATGCTTCTGTGCCGTGCCCGTACACTCGCAGGAACACCTTTTGCGTCGGATCCGATGACTTCTCACATGTGAAGATGATGTTGGTCATGGCGCCAGAGAGATGGGTGAGAACAACGTCCGCGGCGGGCACGTCCGTCCACTCTGGCAAGAGGCTGCCCAAGACCTTGGAAACATCAGAGCGGAATTGCAGCTTGTCCGCCTCTTGGCTGGATGGACTCAGGAATGACGTCGCATTGAGCGAGAAGGTCGTGCAGCTCATGGATATGCGCTGGGATTGCTGGGATCGCGTCGATTGAACAAGTGCTCGAAGCGTCCTGGTGGTAAACATGCACTTATTACTACAGGTACTAACGTTACCAGTATTTAGAATTGGAAATATACTGACCAATCACAATCACCACTCGTTTCTCGTTGACGAATCAAATGCGTCCAGTTTTGATATCCTCTCCCAGGTTAAGAATTGATTGCATTTTAGTAGATACAAACGACTACTGGTATTTTTAATAGTGAATACTATACGTATACTTGTACGTAGTCTCTAGTATTATTTACATGTTAATAACGTTAGTAATACTCGAGTACTTTGAATATATACTAGTACTACTAGAATGTCAGTAGTATAACGTTATTAATATTAGTAGTTAGTACTAACGTTAAGAAACACATACTATTAATACTTGCTGGTTTTGTGTTGTGGTTGGAAATCGTAGTGCAAGTTCCACTACCTTCATTATTTTATCCAATCAATGATTTTTATGGTTTTGATTGGACATAAATACACTGAGGCAGACATACTTTAGTCGTCGACACAATGCCCAAAAGGCACACATGATTCCAAGGGTATCGTTATGTGATGGACGAGTTGGTGGTGGTATACAGGATTATTAACTTTGCATCACTTGTGTACGTAATCACTACAAATAAACACGTAGCATGAGGAGATGAGTGAATTGGTTGCTCCTCTTAGCATCATCCATCCTCCAAAGCTTCCTTGCACGCCGATGGGACCCCAGCATCAAATGGTACAATCAACTATCACTGCCACACATCGTAATCCGTTTTCACACAACTTAGAGTGTATTTGATGGAGTGGTGGCGAGATGCGCAGTGCCGGTGGTCACAAGCGCTGCGCATGTCATCACCATGCCACCAAAACACCCTTCTAGTGAACAAAGTAGTGTGAAAACTTGGTGGCCGTTGGTGATCGATTTAGAGGAAACACAGAGTCGATATGACATGGCTAGTCGTGGTGATGTACTGCATGTACAGTACAATGGAGTGGTGGGGTGGTCACATGTGCAGCAATCGTAGTCACTAGGGTAATGTTAGCAGGGTTTTGGGCATTATTCTGGAGCGTAGGGATGGGGTGGTAGTGGTGGGTGGTAATCACTTTGACTGCTAGTCAGTACCACCACCAACCACGCTCCAGGATAACGATAGTCAAAGTCCAACTACCGTTCCCTGGTA